ATTTTAGGTAAAACCACCTTCCCTCAGGAAAGGTAGGAGATTATCTCACTGTGTTGATTACGAATCTCCCGATCACTTAGAATTACACTTTTGGGGAAGGTTGAATCTGCAATTAGGTATTTCACAGGGAAAGCAGAGCAAGTAAGCCACACACAAACTGGGATCAGTGTAAAGCAAAATTATCCCCAGCAAGGCAGGAAGGAGCTCAGTTTTTCATATAGACCCCTGACAGTCATTGTTGAGCTTGGTATCTGATGACAGGGGTGGTTTGCTAACTCCTTGGTACACTTCTGGTCTGCAGCTTGCTGGGCAGTGCAGTTTCCTTTAGTCCTGAGGAAAAGAGTCTCACCCATAGAGAGGCAGATGTGGCTTTGGAAGTGGTGGCGTATATTTAAAGGTCCAAGGAAGAGACTGTCCCCTTGTAGAGCACCAGCTGGGGTTATCCGCTACAATAAGGGCACCTGGTAAGTCTCCTGCTCTGGGTCTGTGGGTGGCATGGCAACAACCAGTTCAAGTCCACTCTGTGCATCTGAAGGAAGAGAAAGTCAGGTGAACCGAGGTAGGGTAGAGGGAGGGATTTTTTTTTTTGGTTCTCTAAGGATGCCAGATATTTAACAAACTTTAGGGATAATGTTCTTTAGAGCTAATATGCCTCTTTATCTTTGGAACTGTTCTTTGCTTATCACAAGAAGTAGAAATTCTATACTGCTAATAGGTTTAGGATTTTGTTTTGAATATTCATGTGACACTAACATTAGTAGTTTACTATCCTATAGTTTTTTACTATTTTTTTTTCTGAAAATATCATGACTTACGCTTTTCTTTATTCTTCTTTGAAAGTCACCTTTTAAAGGTATCTAAATTAGATTTACATTTTACTTTTGGTTCCTCCCAGAGTCTGAGCTTTGATTCACATTTAGATTCATATGTCTTTTGTCACCATTCAGAGTTAAGCAAAATGACAAAGAAACCAATTATTTCTGCTACTTGTTAAGTTCCTGGGATGACTGAATGAGGCAAAAAATGTTGCCAATAAGAAATGCATTTAAGAAATGCACTTTCAAGTACTTTTATTGCTTTCAAACAGTGCCAGAGGAGACAGAAATAGGAATATTGTAGGTAAAAAGTCATTAACCCCAGAGCTTTCTGGGCTGTAAGGTGCCTTAAAATTACCTCTCAGTTGTTGTCCTGTCCAGAGGAATTGCTCAGTAAGTGCTGGTTAGCATTAAAGTTATTTCTGAAGATAAAATTTAGGGCTATCATATCTGTTAAAGAAAAAAATGCCACTGCTTTATAATGTGATGGTTTATAGTATAAAATGTTTTTTCTTGGAGGTCCAAAAATTGTCTTGTTTGAAAGTTCGGCTACAAATTCGTCCTGAGAACCAAACTGTGGAACATCTATTTATGGAGTATTAGCTGTGGTGTCTGTCACTCGACAGCCCAAGGGGCAAAGGAGAGGTCAAGTTCTAAAGTGAACTTCACGCTCGGGAAGATTATTTCATGCAATGACAGAGCTGAAAGGGTCATAGAGCTCACTCATTTTACAGATGAGGAAAATGAGTCCCAAAGTAGTGGTGTGATTTCCAAGAGGAACACACTTACCTGTAAATTAAATGGCATGCAGCTTAGAGATGAAGTGGATGGTAAACTAATTCTCTCTTCCCAGCCTTGGGTGCCAGCTGTTTTCACTTGTCCATCTGAATGATTTGGGTTTGGACCAAGGCAGTTGGAGTTGCCACTCTGGATAAGTGCTAAGGTCGACATTCATAAATTATATTCTATGGGAAAAAAATTAACTGATGTTACTTAAGGTATTGTTCTGTGCTTGTGTAAGCACTTTAAGAAGCATAAGCAATGCCAGTGGTTGTCAGACATGCAAGATGAAACAAAGGAAGCCAGTAGGTTTCTTTTTCAGTCTCTGTTTCTTGGAGTCATTACAATGAATGTTCCTGCAGATTTCATAGCCGGTTATGAAACAGCATTTCCCACACTTGTTGACAATGGTAGCTTCTTCTCAAGAATCAGCTAATGAGTCTTAAGAACTCAAACTGGGAGAGGCCATTCCCTTGTTTATTTATGAGGAAAGGAAGCCAAAGAGGTTACTTGGGACCAGCCTTCCATTTGGGAAAAGTTTAACCAGGTGCAAAGTCCACTCTAGGGAGCTATCTACTCAAATGATAATTCCAGGGTATACCAAGTAGGCTTTGTTTTGATTCTAAAATAATCTTTAATTCCAGGCCCATAGTACCATTCTTTCCCTTCCCCAAGGGTATGTTCAAGTCACTGAAAAATGATAGAAATGACCCAGTTTTTCAGTGACTTCCACATCACCTGTGTTCAATAGGTCAGTTAGGCTGCACATTTCACGATGAACTGTATTTCCTAAATCAGCCTACACTCCAGGCAAGTTCCTGGCGCAAAACTGCACTTAGGAACCAATAGGATAGTAGTTGTCTACTGTTTCCCTTCCCATATTTGCTATATTGTCCAACATCCTAACTTTCAATGCTATGTGACTGAGAGTGAAAACTTATTGCTGACAAACTCTCTCCTCTTCACTTTCTTCCATGGAAAACAACCTGTTCTTTTCCTGGTGATGATGACCAAAAGATGAGTGAGATATTATTTCAAACTCTGTCAAGTGAGTTAGGCATTTTCAGACTGTTGATTACCATGTATAAACCTAAAAACAATTTAATCAGTTTTAAAAAGAACCACTTCATAAATGCTATCCCAGGAAAATTTAGGTGTGTTGGTGTGGCATATATAGCACCTCATAAAATGCCACCTCCATCACCTAGGCTTCTCTGTGACAGCTTCCTCCCCCAAGACCAGCTCATAAGAAAACTACACCCAAAGAAGGAGATCCAATACTTCCAAAACACTGGGGAAAAAACAAACAAACATGTAAACCAATGGCACATCAATAAAAAAAATTAAAAAATATTCATGAACACAGAAAGGCATATTCAGTTTCAACAATAGTTGCTTGAGCTAAAGGCATCTTTTGTTGTGAAGTCTGTGGGTGCTTCTACATTCATATTTACACATACATATATAGATAGATACCAGTAATGAGTAATTTTAAAAATGGCCTTATTTTCAACAACATTGTAAGGTCTTCAATATTCAACCTAGTGTTCAGAAAAACATTATCCTGGGCAAAAATACACACAAATACAATTTGTGTGTGAGGGATGAGAATTGGAGGTACTACCTATGAAGTTAGTTCACAAGTCACAAGAAAATCAGCTTTCCTATTTATCTTTATATCTTATTTTGGAAACTCCTTGGAAGTTAACAATTACCTGGCTTCCCCCCCTCCCCTTTTTCTGAGATCTATTTGCAGTCTAGTTGGAGCAATAGTTTGTTGGGGCTACTGCAAGGGGAGACAACTGTCTCAGGAGGACTCCTTACCTCAGAAACCACCCAATGTAAAACCTTTCTTTTTTTTTTTTTAAAGATTTGTTTTATACAAGAGCTGGGGGTATAGGCCAGAGTCGCACGCAGGTAAGAGGATTCACCAGAGACAGAGCAGGGAGCAGAACAGGCAGACGGACCGAAAGCACTGCTGAGGGGAGCAGTGGGTGGGATAGGAGAGGTGCTGATGGGAGCAGCGGGAGAGACAGGAGAGGTCTGCCTCTCCATGTGGAATTCTCCCTGACCAGCCAGGAATCGAACTGGTGCTGCAGAGGCTGCCGACAGCTTCACAGGGCTGCGTTCAACCCGCTGTGCCACTGGGGAGGCCCCCAAAACCTTTCAAAGTGATATTAGAGAGGTTAGAAGCAACTTGCATGGGTTTTATGATAAGCAATTCCCTTTTATGGTTCCAGGGAATCTCGATCAAAGGCACATAAAGCGTGGCCTGTGATTGACCGAAAGAGGAAGTTTTTGGACACAGATCTGCCTCATGATTCGGAAGAGTTGTTTCAGGATCTCAGTCAACTTCAAGAGGCTTAGTTAGTTGAGGCACAAGTTCCTAATGATGTATAGTTTGCCCCAGATTTTCAGTCTGATAACTTTTCACTTTATGACCCAGTTCTGACCAAGTCAAAAATTGCCCAGGCTCTCCTCTGAAGCCTGACACATTGTCCAGCAGCCAGGAGCAGGCTCTCGGTAATAACTATAGAGAAAGTGCCTCTACAGCTATCGTGTCTAAGATAGGAAGACTCCCTCTGGATTCAAGCCATTAACCCCCTGTCATTCACCCATCAAAATTCCCTATCTCCCAAACTTCAGACAACTTTGCCCACCTCAGCACACACCCCCTAGAGTGGGCCCTGTCCAAGAGGTGGGTCCTGCGCCTGCCCTTTCCTCTCATTCACTTCCAGAAGACAGCAGCAAACCTTTGCAGGCCCTGGCCACTACATCAGTCACTGCAAATGCCAAAGGTGAGGTCTGAACAGAGATTTCAGAAACAACTATCTAAATCCTGTGAAGCTGTGCGCAGACTCTGCAGTGCTGGTTCGATCCTGGCTGGCTGTGGAGCTACCCACATGGCGAGCAGACCTCTCCTATCTCCCCCGCTGCTCCCCTCAGCAGTGCATTTCGGTCAGTCTGCCTGTTCTGGTCCCTGCTCTGTCTCTGGTAAATCCTCTCATCCTCCCACACATCTGGCCTGTACCCCAGTTCTTGTTCTTTTAAAAAATAAAATCTTTAAAAAAAAAAATCAGGGTATTTTTTACCTTCTACATAACAGGCAGCCCATACTTTGAAATGCTATTTTCCACCATTGTTACATTAACAAACAATAGAAGGCGTTGCATTTACAACAATGCATGGGTTTTGTGGCTATGGGCACTTAAACAATGTAAAGAGGGCTTAACAGGGGAGTTGCTGTTCTGCCTCTCTCAGTGTTGGAGTCTCTTCACCCTCTCTGCCTGCCTACGTATGCAGTCCCCTGTTTCATCATTAAAGGCTTGCAAAATCTACTGAAGGCTCCAGATTTTCTTTTCATTTGCAGGAACTGACAATGAACCTACCTGGGCTGGGATGGTTGCCCAACATCATGGAGAATATATGCAAAGCAATATTCAGGTTAGTACCCACAAATGGGGAAAGTGTGTGAAACTCTGTGACTTACTAAATGCCTTTACGAGGAAGGGTTCAGATTTGTGAAATTTACTGAGATTGCAACTCCCTAGAATAATAGGTGAGCTAAATTGGGAGGCTCTAACATGAAGGCTTACAAATATATCAAAATCGGGAGAGCTCTCCTAGCTCAATCTGAGTTATTCCCCTTTGGTCTAAAAAGAAAGGGAAGAAGCCAGAACACCTATAACCCACTCCACCGTTCTCAAATAATAAACTATTGCTATTTTGAATGGGAACCTTCTGGTCATGTCACCAAATAGAACAAGACCCCTTTTTCTTCCCAGGCACAGGCTCTATGGATGGCTTTGATTTTAAGAGAAGGGTGATTAACACTGTTGACAGTATTTTGTTTTGCTTTGATTTGCTGGATTATTTTGTTTTGGTGGTTATTTTAGAAAAAGTTTATAAACTATATTTTATGGTTTTGGTATTTGAAGAAAAAAAAGAAAAACTTTTGGTAACTGCACTATGTCCTTTGGACAGGGTGGTGCAACTTAATGATACCATAATGTAAGGTTTTTAGGCCTAGTCTCCCAGCCAGGAATGGATCCCAGGCTTTGGTGGCAGCGCCGAGCCCCAGTCACTGGACCACCACCAGTTGGTGTCTCACGAACTGCAGCAGGAACTTTGCAGATGCTCAGGCAAGCAAGGGAAAAGAGGCAGATTTGTTTAGAGAAAGAAAAAGTTTATTAGGTAGAAAAGGAACAGGAATAAAGTGGGATTCCTAGACCTGTGGAACCAGGCCAGGGAGGGGCGAGGAAGCCAAAGTGGAGTGGTGCCTCAGGGAATATACACATTCTTTCCCTAATTACTCTAAAGTTCCACAGGTCTCTTTGTGATTGGTTAGTTCTCGGTGGTCTTGCTCACTGCCTAAATGTCTCTGTGCCCAGAACTAAGTCTCTGTGTCCCAGTCCTTATCTTAGAGTCCTTTTTCTTTATCATCCTTGTCCAGGAATGTCCGTTGCCTGTAGTCCTGGAGTGTTTGATTAATCCCCATTGGAATTTGTTGCCTTTATCTCTGGAGCCTTCCTTAACTCTCCTGACCGTGCACTGCCCCTGAAGCTGCCTAACTATCCCAAACTTGCCCTAGGACTCATTAAGTATATGTGCTGCCGAAGCGAGCACATGCCCTAGGACTCATTAAGATGGTGCAGCTTGAAAGGGGTTTTGCTGGGAGTTTCCCCTTAGCCATGTATAAGCCCACTTTATTGCCTGCTTTGTTTCTGCACCAGACAGCCTGATGACACATTTGCATCTGTGTTCTACATTGTGGAGGTATACAGGGCCACTGAACACACCGCTAAGATTCCAGGTATATAGTTCCTGTGTTCTCTAACATGCCTCTCTGGAAAGCATGTGTACATAACCATGTCGTATCCATTTGGTGGGTCACTTGGTGGGATTCTTCCCCTGACCTGGCTGATTATGGTTTCAATTTCATCAATTTGCTTTGTTCAACATTTTCTTTTATTCTGGGATATGATTTTGCTTATGATTCAATAGGGTTCAAGACTTACATGTGACGCTGACAGGTGAAAACATGCTAGCATTTTAGTTTCCTGCCACCATTTTTTAAAAAAAGTTTTTTCTGATAGCTGTATTATGTTGGAAAAGCTTTAAACAACCAACCTAAAGCTATGTGAAAGTGGACCTCAAAGTAGAGGACAAGTTATTAGAAAGTGGAAGTACCTTGCTGCCTACTATTGATAGAATCCCGTGCTCCCCAGGAAACAGCACATTAAGAATGCCTGTGCTGGATGGTGCTGACTCTGTGAGGGTGACACTTGTTTTGAATTGTTTTCTGTTAATGGAGCACTCCATAATCTCAATCTGCCCCCTCTTATGCCCAGCAACATATTTGTGAAGAAGTTCATGGGGACAAGAAGTGCATTTTATAGCAATGGAGACATAAGGTTTTCCTCTATTGAAAGCTAATTAGCCCACAAAGGTATTGAACCTACAGCTTAGGCCTTAATTAACATTGTGCTCTAATCAAGGACTCATTCCAAACCATTTTTATAGCTTTCTAACCTACACATATTCTATACATAGATGCATATTTTACCTCCAACTGGCTTGAGATTTATTTGTTGTGAATGCTGTATAGGATTTGGTATTCCTTTCTCTATTTACCCTAGTTTGGGTTCTGTTTTGATGGATATGTGCTGTCCTAGCAAGTATGAAAATACTTTCTTAGCCACAACTAAGGTTCCATACTAATATAGATTTATATTCTTACCTGCATATCCTGTGCTGTAACTCATGGCCTGTGCTCTCAGGGCACAAAGGACTGTGGCATCACCATTGCATTCCCATTGGACTCATGCATCTCCTACATGGTTTGGGGGTCTTTATTTGTTTTGGTTTTGCTTTTCCAGAGTGTGGAAAGTCTACAGCACAGAAAGGCTTTTACTTACCAGTTGCTTTGAAAACCTTTCCCCTGCACAGGGCAATATGCATCCTGCCAAACTCTGTTATGTTTGTACTGTGTACCAGAAAGAAGTTTGCTTTTAGTTAAAAGAAAAAAATTCTGATAATTTATAACAATTGAATTGTTTGTGGTTAGTAGATTGAAAGAACAATTTGGGGCTAGGCTATGGAGAGGGAGAATAGAAGCAAAACATTGAAAACCTTGTCTGAGAGCCATTTCATGCCTTGATCAAGAGACAGGCTGCTTCAAAGTCATAACTCCATACAGGAAAATCTAATGAAAGTGTTCACTTGAATGATAATTCTACATCCCAGTCTTACAAGAAATTAGGGATAGGAGAAGAGAAACCTAGACATGGGTGAGGGGCTAATTTAACTTTTTTTAAGATTTATTTTTTAATTTATTTATGCATATAAGAACTGGGGTGTAGGCCAGAGGTGCGGGGGATGAGAGGATTCACCAGAGACAGAGTGGGGGGCAGAACAGACAGATGTACTGAAACACACTGCTGAGGGGAGCAGCGGGCAAGGCAGGAGAGGTCTGCTGTGCCATGTGGGTTGCTCCCTGGCTGGCCAGGGATCAAACTCAAGCTGTAGTGGCTGGTGATAGCTTGATAGTGCTAAGACTTAGCCCCTGAACCACCAGGGAGGCCAGGGTAATTTAACTTTAAAAAATCTCCCTCTTCCATGTTTATGTATTTTACATGGGGGTTTAATTTTAGGGAACGTTAGTAGGAGGAAGTAGGAGTATATAGAAGGATAAGTGGGCAACATTGGTGGAATTTACTGTATTCAACATGGATTTTGGAAAGCAGATAACACTTGGGAGGTTTGATAATTAAGAAAACTCTAGTCCATACTAATGTAAATTTGTATTCTTACCTACATATTCTGTGGTGTTATTGAATCTGCATATTTCACAAATGAATATACTTAATTGTATGTAATGTAATATGTATTTCTGATGTACTTTATTAATGTCTGATTACATTGACTTAAAACCCTATACTATATAGAAGAGAACAGAGATCTAAGAATGTCAAAACATACCATTTTCTATTGCTTAGCTAGGTTTGCAGCATCCTCCATAGCATAGTTTCTAATTTATTGTTGTCTATTACTTCCCTACATAGCCCTTACTTGATCTAAACAAGGTTAATCTTTGTTCCCCAAACACACTTTCCCGCATTTATGCAGCTGCTCATACTATCCACTGATTCTGGAATGGTCTTCCCCCTCTTATTTCCAACTTAGGGTTCTAGCCAAAATTAAATGCTGTGTCTTTGTTTGGATTCCAGATGGCAAATTGTGCACATGTCCCTTGGTCATAATGAACAGATATAATTAGTTAAGAAGATGCTCAATTTTATTTACTATCATATTAATCATGGACATGTAACCCGTGGCTAAAGCCAAAAGACTGTTACAGGTGGTGCCCCCTCGAGGGGGTCGTAGGTGAGGATAGGATAGTCCCAGGGAAAGTGCTAAAAAGTGGGGTGGAGCGACTGATAAAATATGTAAGTGACTGCAGAAGGGGGCACGGGGTTATTCAGCATTTTGGAATTCAGCATGAGGGGCCAGTGGATTTGGGCCCCCACCATGCTGATTTTCCAGAAGACTGTTGTGGGCCTCTGAAGGTGGGGACTTCCAGCAGCCAACCAGAGAGAGAAAGAGTTCAGAGGCTTTGCAAGTAGCTGAGTTATTGAAATTTTTCCGGTTTTGCTGCTGTTGCAGCCTGGCAGAGAAAGCAGAGCCAGTCATCTTACTGAGCAGCGTGAGTGTGGCCATTTATTGGGTGATTTGACTGCTGTAGCTGCTGTTTTGAGTGTTACTTGTCTGATGTTGTGCTGGAGCATGTAGGCAGTTCATGGGGCATCTTCTGTTGTGTCTTCTGCTATCTTCGTGAGTTGGAACTTGGCCTATAATCAGGCTGCTGTGTGTCTGTAGTGGCAGAAAGACACCATCTTGGACATGTGGCCTATTGTTTGCGAGAAGAGCACTGCATCCTCAGTGGCAGGAAGGTGCCATTTTAAAGATTATTTATGCATACGAGAACTGGGGTACAGGCCAGAGTTGTGGTAGAGGTGGTGGTGAGAGGATTCACCAGAGACAGAGCAGGGAACAGAACAGGCAGATTGACTGAAATACACTGCTGAGGGGAGCAGTGGGCGAGTCTGGAGAGGTCTGCTGCACCATGTGGGTAGCTCCCTGGCCGGGGATTGAATTTATGCTGCAGTGGCTGCGGATAACTTCATAGGTTGCATCTTAACCCCTTGCACCACCAGGGAGGCCTGAAGATGCCATTTTAACTGCTTTTGTTTAGGATTGAAAAACATTGGACAAAGCTTTGGGTGAGGTTAACAGCCATTTGTGGCGTCAGTAACTCTTTGTTTTTTTCCTGGTTTGTTAAATAAATCCCTTTGTTGTTCTCTGAGCCTGAGTAGTCTTCCAATTGTGCACGCAGGTGAAGAACTGAGACATGCCTCCCTGGTGGCACAAGGGGAGCGCCATTGCACTGTGAAGCTATCTGCATCCTCTGCAGCAATCTCCTGGCTGGCCAGGGAGCTCTCCACATGGAACAGCAGATCCTGTCTCTCCCTCTGCTCCCCTCAGCAGTGTATTTCAGTCAGTCTGCCTGTTTTGTTCCAGGTATTGATATAAAAGAAATAGAAAAAAAAAAAAAGATCCAGAAAACATCAGGCTAGCAAAAGTAATATTGAAAATGTGATAAAAGGACGTGATGGGTGAAAATTCTTGATGGTGACACTAGATAAGAAGTCCACAGAGTATAATTAGAGAAATTTGGCCTTAAAATTTCCCTATTACTACACCAGAGTATCCCAATATCTTATTCACTATTTCTCCTTCCTCAGCAAGTTAGAAATACAGTCTCCCTCAGGACAATTAGAAATACGTCTGTCTCTGGTGAATCCTCTCACCCTCACACCTCTGGCCTGTACCCCAGTTCTTGTATGCATAAATAAATAAATCTTTGAAAAAAAAAAGAACTCAGACAGTGACCAGTAAACTATTTGGGCAGTGCCCTTGGCCAGTTTTTGTGCCCCTTGCTGTTCTGTATCAGAGAGGGGAAAAGTACATGTTTGAAAATGTGAGATTACTTTCTAACATTGAACTAAAACAGAATGAATTACAGTATGTTTGGCCTTAAATCCATGTCAAAGTAAGGGTGACCCACAGGGTTTTGCCTTACTATAGTGGGTTGGACAGAGATTAAATAAGTGGAAACTGTTTTCAGGTAGAAAACTATTTGGTAATTTTAATAAAATAGTGTCTTATATTCTGACTGGCTTAACAGAGCAGTAACTTCTAGTAATTTAATTTCCATTTTATTTGCTCTTACTGTTTAGAGATTGAACCCTGCATTCACTGGTTGTGCCTGTATCCACACTTTGCTTTGAGGAACCATCTAAATAAATAGAAAATCAGTCAGCCAGTTACATATGAGAAAGACTGTATTTCTTTTTTATTTATTTATTTGTTTGTTTGTTTGTTTGTTTGTTTGTTTGTTTATACAAGCACTGGGTACAGTCAGAAGCGCGGGAGGGTGAGAGAATTCACCAGAGCCAGAGCGGGGAGCAGAGCAGGCAGAAGGACCGAAGTACACTGCTGAGGGGAGCAGCGGGCAGCAGGAGAGGTCTGCGCGCCATGTGGGACACTCGCCCGGTGGCGGGGGAGCAGCCAGGGATTGAACCCGTGCTGCAGAGGCTGAGGGCAGCTTTGCAACCCAGCGCTCAACCGCTGCGCCACCGGGGAGGCCCAAAGACTGTATTTCTAATTGTCCTGAGGGAGACTGTATTCCTAACTTGCTGAGGAAGGAGAAATAATGAGTATGATACTGAGATACCCCCCTGGTGTAGTAATAGGGAAATTTTAAGGCCTAATTTCTCTAATGGACTTCTTATCTAGATTCACCATCAAGAATTTTCACCTATCACATCCTTTTATCACATTTTTCAAAATTACTTTTGCTAGCCTGATGTTTTCTGGATCTTTTTTTTTTTTCTATTTCTCTTATATCAATACCTGTAACTTGCCTATAGCTCACCTGCTGTGCTGCAGGAGTGTGAGTATATTTATCTCAATGAAGATTGTCAAATGTCAAGAAGAAAGCAGTTAAAGAAGGATCAAAGCCCTCAAAGTCATGCTTATTTTCTCCTAAATTTTTTGCATGGATTTGGTATTAAACAGGGTGACAGTTAACAAGAGATTAAACCTAAATTTGAACCCCACATACTAGAAGTTAGATAAAATTCCATTACATTCAAATAGGTCTAAGCAAGCAATTTGTTACCCTTTATACTTTAGTGGAACTGATGAACAGGTGGTTTTCAGATCACTTAATATATTTAGCTTCTGAAATTTGAGCAACTGAAGATGTGATTGGCTGCTCTTGCCACATGATAATTCAGAGCCCAGGCACCACACTGGCTCTTGTCTGGGGTTCTCGGGAGGGAAGAGTTGGGAGAGGCTTTGCTGCTGAGGAAATTGATTTGATAGATTGAAGGTAAGGTCAGTTTATGACTTTTTCAGTGATTTCTTTCAGGAGATGTTCCCTTGAAGTATTTCCCAAAAATTTGGGTCAAAACTAGAGAAATTAGGCATGAAAATGTGACTAAGAACTCTGTAACCCTGTGGCCCTACTCAGGCCCTACTAATATTGGATGCATAGTGTGTGATTGCTAAGTCCTACACTAACCAGTACATTGTTTGGCTGAATTGGTTCACATTATATTTTTTCTCTTTGATTTTTTTTTCTAAATATGTTATTACTAAAAAGGAATCTATGTTCCGTGTTCCTATAATTATCCTGTTCTGCTGGGCTTCATTTGCCTCAGAAGGAGTGGCAGTTTCGCTAGCTTAACAAAACCAGCCCTGTGGGTGTTGGTTTACAAGGCAAATATCTTAGGGCGAATGGACAGCTGCTTCGAGTCATCATCCACTTATGTCAAGAGAGTCCCACTCTCTGGCATCGAATGAGGAGGCTTTGGGAGACCCGTTCATTAGTTTCTGAATTAGTAACTTAGGCCAGAGATCATCTTTTATGTCCTTTAATGCTTTAAAATTTGCTATTTTTCAGGTTTGAACAAGAGCTACAGAAGCGAAAGAGAAAAATCCACACTAACCGATGGTGTTTGGAAAGCAAATAACTGCATTGCCTTGAGGTTTCTATTTTTCTTTAAAAATATATTGGCAGATTTATATTTATATTTTCTAATGTGAAGCGTAAGATATACTGCACACAGTGTATTAGAGCAGCATGGAGACCTGAGACAGCCTTCAAAATTCTGGTGCCACGGGGAAGAAGTCTAACTTCTTCGGAAAGTCAAACCGACCTTCTTTTCACTAAAATTTTTGCTTGAAAATGTTTTTCTCTAAGTATTTAGAAATTTAAATAAATATTCTGTTCCTTTGAATCCAAACCTTCTCATTCCCTTACCCTACTTCCTTTTGCAATTTTAACTGAATTGATCACATAGCTAGAAATAACCACACTCAGCATGTTACTGAGGGAATGAAAAGATGTTTGAGCTTCCAGATTTTTAGACCTGTCTGTAAATGTCTTATCTCATTTATCCTGCAAAAATATATGATTATGGAAAATGGATTAGTTTTAAATTTGTGTTTATAATGTTATAAGACGCTTTCAGTCCTGGGGGTAGATACTAATGTATTTTCATTTGTCTGGACTATAAAAAGTTTGTAGGTGCTTCTACTACTCTGGGAAAATGGCAGATGACGAAGAATATGAGGAGGTGATAGAGGTAAGATGGAAAAAAAGAAAACAACTCTGACAGCAAAGTATTTTATGTAGTGACAATCAAAGCTGTGTAGGTGAATTAATCATTTGAAAAATACATTGTCTATTATAACTTCACAAAGAAGTCGTCATTAAAGCATAAGTGAGGTATATTTTATGTTCAGTTTCACTCTAATTATGTGGGATTTGGAACTGAAAAGAAATATCACTGTTTCCTACTTTTGCTTTTCTTTAAATTCTAAAAAAAAAAGTGTAAAAGCAGATTCTAATTTGTCTTCTAAAACTACCTTCTTCCCCGCTCCTCAGTCTCCCAAGATCTAGGGGACAGAGAAGATGAAAAGATAGTTCTGAAAACTGAACTTTGCTTCTTAGTGTCTGCATAGCAATAGAGAAAAAGTTGTCTTTTTGCTTCAACTACCTAATTATCTAAAGGGATCTTGTGTAGATAAAAGTTCAGAATTTTACATATATTCACATATATTGCATACATAATTTCACATATATTGCATATGTGAGATTCTATATATCTATGTACACACATGCGCACACATGTACAAAAATAAACTCAGAGTGCTCACAAGTGACAGCTGGAGCCACACATTCCCAACTCCATATATTAACCCAAGGGAACAAGAGTAGCTTTGGCTTTTGAATTTTGAAAAAGAACAAAGACCACAGTGGGCACTGAAAATTTTCCTCCAGATTTTTGGTGGACATCTGACTTATTTTACAAAGCAGTTAATTCTTTATTTTATAAAATTTTACTTTTATGATGTTAAGATTTTTTTCTCTACCAATGCTTGCCTTTAGATTCAACATTATAGAAATAAAATCTAAATGCTTGGAGGCTATAAGCCGTGTGAATATATTGTCATTGAATAGAAAATGCTTAATGATTGCCAATTAATGATCATGAGCTAAACATACGAAACTCTCCAAGTGTATAAGACACTTGGAGGCAGTTTTGAAAATCTGTGGGTTTTATTAATAGCTACCCAGAACCAAATTCCAGATGAAAGTTCAACAATTGCCTTTAAAAGATTATTTTAATGACCGTTCTTTATTTAGATGAGGAAAACATTTTAATCTGCAAATAAAGTTTACCTTTATTACAGAAGAATATGAAAAACAACCCACCAGTCAGAAAGAAGCTTATACAATGTAACATCCAACGCTCTGACTTAAATGCAAAAAACTACATCTTTATGTTCAATGTCATCACTAGTGTACAACTTACATATGTCCTTAGCGGTCAGAATAATCACTATCAAACTCCCACACAATTATAAAATGTGCCTTCGTAATTCCAGGAACAATTTTTAGCCTCCAACTTAAATATCCTTTATCTTCATTAAATAATGGTGCTCATAGGTCATTGGAAATTGTCCTTAGTGCATGGTCTGATTGATTTACTAGATGTCATAAAAATGGAGGGTGCTATTTTTAGGCCTCCCCTCATTGCCATTTTGTTCCCATTACTGCATCTGGGACTGACCAGCAGGTGCTAAACCAGTCGACATCCTGCCAGTGAATGTTGAACCAAGGTCTCTCTGACCTCAGAAAAGATGCCACGAGAATGGAGCAATGGCAGATTCTAGAAAATGGTCAGGAAACTTACAAAACCAAATAGGAACTGCTTTAAAAATGTATATCCTAGGGATCTTGGACATCTAAATAAAATTGTACTATCATTTTCAAACAAATTTGGAAATAAAGGAGAAACAGCAAAGATGTGCTATTTAATTAGTGGCACAACTAAAAAAAAAAAAAAACCTTTTGCACATAAGTGAATGTCAGCTATTTAGATAACGTTACCTTTTTTGTAAGCTTGTTTCTAAAATATATTTACTGGTGGCAAGAGCATGGCAAAAGTAAAATTGAATGGCTACCAAAGAGTTGCTTTTGCTTAGTTACAAAGAAAATCCAAAATAGTTGTGAATCATTCATTTTAGTTTAGTATATTGTCTCAGGTAACTGACGTTTTGTGTCACCAGAGGGAGGTTTTGTGTGAATCAGCATCAAACAGCATTTTCTAAAGTGTCCAAATCATATTGTGCAATGGAGGCACAAGCAAGTATGAGAGTAATTCTCTGTCCTGTAAGAGATTGTGATTTCTGTCACAATGTGTAAAGGCATGTAGACAGAATTAGATTTTAAATGTGAAAAACAGGAGAGAAGCAAAGAAATTGCAAGAGTGAGGGAGATTAGGCAAGTTTTATACTAATTTTACTGCAGGTGTAATAGAGCATGTAGCCTTGACCATGACTAAATAATTTGATGAGACTCCATTGAATCAAGAGCAGAAGAAAAAAGGCCACTGAGGGAAAGTTTGCATCTTAGTTTCTCCTTCTCTCTGAGGAGATACAAAAATGAAGCATAAAATGTTATACGTTTTGCTTATTGAGACAATGAGACAAGTATTTCATTTTTATCCCTTTCCTTGTATGCCTTGGCCTAAACCTGCCTTTCCTTCTGTTCATCCAGCTTTGCTGGGTGAGGTTGGGGGTAGGATTCCTCTCTTCTTACGTATCTGAAACAAAATGTCAGCCAGTTCTTACCCAGGTCTATTTATTGTGGGTGATGTCAGAAGTAGAACAAGAGTAGGTTTGACTTCAGATCCGTCTTGCAGGCACCTAGGAGCTATCAGTGGCAAATTGCATCCTAATTTCACCATATTTTGTGATGAGGAATTTTTTTCATTTTTGACTTCACCTCTTGGTATTTGTAAATTTTCACGAGAACACCCCCTTTGGGATCACCACACTACTGGAAGGGATTCACTCATTCCAGATAGTAATCAGGTATATGGGAAACTGAGATGTGATTATGCTTTTGGATATTATTTCCACGATACACTCCATTTAAAACTTTCACACTAATGTTTGTTTTTTTTTTTTTTTTTACTCAGCAAACAGTAAGCTTTATCACATTTCCTCTCTTTCCAACCCATGCACTCAAAATAATGTTATTACAGTCTTCCCCCAGCAGATTCTACCATGGGTACCACAAGAAAAAAATTTTACTTGCCCCAAGTAAAATAGCTTTCCTTGATTAATAAGTAGTCTTAGACACATTTCTTATCACTCTCTTCTCTTTAGGGCATATGCTTTAGTTTGAAGGTTTCACTAAGTTAAAAGGGGTTCCAAAACATGAACAGGTTCTCTCAACTATTTCTTCCCACAGTTATTGCAAACCAACCAATTTAGTGAAATAACCCAAGTGTTTCAGCTGAGGCTCAGGAGAGGTGATTTCTGCTTTGGTTCTCATGGAATTATCTTTGTGCTCTATTTACAGTATTATACAGAAGAGACAATCTATGAGGAGGTGCCGGGAGAGGTAAGGCCCAGCCAATACCACATGCACTTCACACTCATTAAATCAGGAAGAACCTTCACCTCTCATGGGGCCACAGAGTTTGTAAAAGGGAGAATCTAAGGAAAGATCAACCAACCACCTATGTTTATCCAACAGCTGGTTGTATAAGAATGAATACTATTTTTGACAGGTTATAATACCATTTTTGCTAAACAACATATTCCAGATGGCTGGGATGATTTCCTTATTGGAAATGTGGTATTTTGGTGTAGGTGATGCTAATTACAGTAATGTCCAAGGCAGTTGGCACTCTGCAACAAAGGCATAGACTTGGATTTGTGATTCACATAGGGACCAGCAGTTTTACTGTGCAGAGATGCAACTTGTGGGGCACCATCTCTGCCAAGAGGAATGTTGCCTCCAGGTTTTTGTCCCTGATGATGATGCAATGAAATGCTACTTAGATTTTAGCAAATTAGGAATTCTGAAAGATAAGTATCCCAGTTTGGAACTTCGTTTTTTCCAAGGTGAAATCTTTTTGTCATGCTTCAGTTTCTTGATATGCATGACTAATCCCTGAAGCCTCCTTAGTGAGCCTGTGACAGCATGAAAACTAACAACTGCAGATGCTGTGAATTGGTTAGTTTCTCATGGTGAACCATACATTTATAACAAGCAGAAAGCATCTTAGTAGAAATGATCTGACAACACTAGGGGGAGTTGTCCTAGATGTGCAGTGTCCTTAGGTTTCTCTTTCATAATTGATGCCAGAACTCTATTTTGGTATAGATAGTAGCTATAAAGGAAATTATGGTATGAGCTGGACTGAAGGCTTGGCTGCTTGTCTTCTTTTCTTGCATACAGTATTTTTAACCTTGGACTGGACCCAAACATTGGGCCTTAGTTTCTTTCACCATTGGCTGCTATAAGAAACAGTAATTTACCACCTATCGATACATAGGTCTGTTGTGAGGATAATTACCTCATTATGTTGTCATTACTATTCTAGTCCACCTAAGCATTTATTAGTGTAAATGGCACTCCAGTTTGCATTAATTAACTGACTAAGCCAAGAGAATGGTATTCACTTATAATATTTATGTGATTTATTTTTTTAAAGTTCATTATTCTTTGTCTGATACTACAAAGGAGAATGCCTAAATACCTACAGGACAAGAAACAAACTTTTTCTTAGACTCGTATAAAAGTTAATATGAAAGTCAAGAACTTGAGCTTTATTTGTCTTAATCTTTCATTCTCTGTTCCAAAGTTTGCTTTTACTTTATGCAGACAATTTAAGATTTTTAAATGTTTAAGATATTGTAATTTCTTATTTCTATCCTACCTTAGAGTGTTTGAGTTCCTTTCTGCAAATGGATTTTTAAGGCAATAATGCAAATTAATAAGCAACCTTTTACTATGTGAAATCTCAATTGATCAGCATCCAGAATCATGTAACTTAATGTGCCTTCATATGCATAGCGTATTGTGATTTCTACTTTGGCGTATTTTAGATATGGAGAAGTAACCCCACTAATAGCAGTCTGACTTGAAGTCAGAAAAATGTATATCAAGATCCTGAATCACAGTTTTTACTTTTGTAACAATGTTAAACTACATGTCAAATTTTCAGACAATAACAGAAATCTATGAAACTACTACAACAAGGACAACATCTGACTATGAGCAATCGGAACCTTCCAAACCAGCACTGGCACAGCCAGAACCCGCAAAGCCGGTGGAGAGGAAAAAGGTGATCCGGAAGAAGGTGGACCCTTCAAAGTTCATGACCCCCTACATTGCACACAGTCAGAAAATGCAGGATCTTTTTAGCACAGTAAGTTTCTTTTTAAATTTTTTTTTTAGAAGATTTATTTATTTATTCATACAAGAACTGGGGTATAGGCCAGAGGTGTGGGGGGTGAGAGGATTTACCAGAGACAGAGCGGAGAGCAGAACAGGCACACTGAGTGAAATACACTGCTGAAGGGAGCAGTGGGTGAGACAGGAGAGGTCTGTTGTGCCATGTGGTTTGCTCCCTGGCCGGGCTGCAGTTGCTGTGGATACCTTCATAGGTTGTGTCTTAACCCCTTCCACCACCAGGGAAGCCCACGGCATGGTAAGTTTCTAATGCAACTTTTGATAGCTTGGATTTATTATAGAGAAATTCCTGTTCTCAACTGATGCTTTTGATTGCTGGCTAGATTTTGTTTCTCAATTTGTATGAGACAAAACTTACTTTGCAAAATATATAAGTTCTTTTGACTCTTGAAATTTCTTTTCATGTAATTCATTTGTTCCTTTGCAACATCAGGATAAGCGTCCTTATTGAAATGATTCCTAAAAAATTAGCATAAGGCCAATCATAAACCATTTACTGGTACTTGATCACTATCTGTTAGCCAATTTAGAATAATGCAATTATAAATGTAGATTTGTTTGAAATCAGTTCATGGAAGCTTATTAACATCTATTTAAACTGTCTGAACAAGAAACCTTCTCAGTAGACTAGCTTGCAGTTTGAAAAAAGGTGCCTTCTAAGAGATGTATTATGAAGAACATGCAGTTTAGAAGTAGCATCAGACTAAGAATTCATTTGAAATCGAGGATTAGAATGTCAAATGTACTCTAAAATAGTGGGGTTTTTTTGACTGTGGCTACAGATTGGAATCTCCTGGGAGCTTTCAAACTGCTGATGTCTGGGTCTGGCTGCCTCAGTCCAAGTCCAGGGTTCAGGTCTTTACAGAAAAATATTTTTTTTTTTTACATTTTTAAAATTTTATATATTTTTTACAGAAAGACTTTTAAAGGTCACATGGGAGATTCCAATGTACAGCCAGGTTGAAAAGTACTTCTGATGGTCCCTAGACCTCAAAGGCATGTACATGTCTGTAAGTTATACTGACTAGGAGCAGACTGAGACCCATTTGAATGCAGCTAACTTGCTGATAGTCTGTGGTTGGCCAAGGTCTCACTAGATGACCTGATTATTTTTTCTCTGGAGGCTTAGAAAAAATGACAAGTATCTGAAGGAAATGTTGCATAAGGTAGAACTAGTATTCTGTTGTTGGTCATTAAGTATTCATTTTTGGTTAAGTGTTATCTCTTAGGGCCTACTTGGTAAATTTCTAGCTTAGATTCTTAAATTATGTAGAACTTGGGTTTCTAAGATTAGATTTTGCAATAAAAAATTACCTTGACTCCTTTAGAACTGCTATATTAAGCAAATATAGGCTTTTTGGGGAGGGGGTCAATTTATTGCTACAAAAATCTCATGAATTCAGACATTAATGCCCCAGAATTTTGGGTAATCTGAAGAAAATGTTGGAAAATGTTTATAGTATTTTTAAAGTGGTTAGTAATAAATCAGTAATTTAATTTAGATTGTTGACTGCACCATTCAAGAGTACTCGTGAAGCATTAGTAATGATAAATTACATACATTATAGTTAAAGCTAGAACTTGTATTTTAGTAGAAACAATAAGATTGAATGTCTTTTCAAAACATTCTATAATTCACACTTTTTGTTAATTCAATTGGTGTCTCAGATATCCAAAGAACTGAAATTTAGCTACAATTTCTGAATTAAAAATTTTTGCAATGTATTAGCAATAAAATCTTTTCAGAATTGGCTCAGCTTCTATTTTTATTTTCTAAAATTATTAGATTCAGGCTTTTTATGTGTACTTTCAGACAATAAAGACTTTGAGAGAGTCATTTTAGGTCATTTCCAAGACAATAGTCTGTAATAAAATTTCAACTGTCTCCAGTACTGAGCCATGTTTATGAAGAACAACGAACAAATCTATTTTAATTTTTGCTGAGAGTCAGGGTAGAGAACAAAAAGAAAACTATTATAACTGATAATTGTTATAACTGGTAGGGTTTTTAACTATCAGATGGGTTGAGTACACTGCCTGGAATTTCTACTGCTGTCTTTTAAGGTTTTAGGTTAACATCTGATGTTCTTTTCAGAATAAATACAAAGAGAACTATGAGAAAGCAAAAGGACAGCCAACTGCCATCACCACTGATACCCCAGAACTTCGCAGGATCAAGAAAGTACAGGATCAACTCAGTGAGGTGGGCTGTTTGCTAAAATAAAGGAGAAGGACATTTCAAAAGTATGCCTACCACTTGGAAGTGAGGGCTCTAAATAGGCATAAAGAAAATAATGGTTGAATTACTGTGAGGAGTCTAGAAATCTAGAGGAAGACATAAATTCTGTTGCTCTAAATGTGAACCCAAAGAAACTTCAAAAAGCTTGACTTGACAATTTAACTTAAGAGGCGATATGAACTGGAAGTTCCAGCTGACAGTGACTCCACAATGAAGGGAGGGTGAAACTCAGCCAGGAATGCACACAAGAGGTAAATGCAATGCCCATTACATCTCTGAAGATCAGTTTTCTATCTAAATGCAGAAACTTGAGGGATGTAGACATAGAGCAGTTGATTCAATGTTCTTGGGCATAAGATATTTCTAAAATACTCACATATTCGTGCCTGTCACGAACTCTAATTGTGCATTATTTCTGCAGGTTAAGTATCGAATGGATGGTGATGTTGCTAAAACTATCTGTCACGTAGATGAAAAAGCAAAGGACATTGAACATGCAAAGAAAGTGTCGCAGCAAGTCAGCAAGGTAGGGTCATGATATGAATGGTGAAGGTACTAAATAGCATGTGTAATATGTAGTAATAATGTGTAATATTTAGGCCACCAAAGTAGCATGTGTAATACTTCTACCTGGCCTTAGAGGCAAAAACTGGTCAGGCCTGATTCTGCTAAGTAGTTCCACTTGAGTCCATAGGCATTGTGAGCTCTAATGCCCATGTGAATGATTCATGAGTCTCTTATTTATTTTTAAAATAAATTTTGGCCTTGTTTTTAACAAGCAACCTCTAAATTTCTAATGTAAGCTACTGATTAAAAATTAGAAAAAATATAACAAAACATGTAAGTCAAAAGAAATACACCTATCCTCTAAATTCAACCAATGATGGATAGGTTACAATCTTTGAAAAGACTCTATAGAGAAGTAGAATCATGATTTACTTTTAAAAATTAGACTTTTAAAGTAAAAACTTACAACTTGGGATGTTGATGGGTTTAACATTTCCACAGCTGATGCCAGTAACACATCAGCACATCATCAGTCTCCATGCAAGGGCATGTTGAGTATGAAAGATGCTTCATACTTCAGCATTTTCCTTTGCTTTCTAAGTCCTCATGTCCTTGAGGAAAGACATCAAGCCATGGATTTTCTGCTTTTTTCTGTCTAGGTTTTATACAAGCAGAACTGGGAAGACACCAAGGATAAGTACCTGCTTCCCCCTGATGCCCCTGAGCTTGTCCAGGCCGTCAAGAACACAGCCATGTTCAGCAAGGTAAGTGTAGACCCTCTGCTGCCCTTTGGGCATTCCTGGATATCACTCTTATTGAAGATCTATTTTGTGATAGTAACTATGCTAAGTACTTCCTGACTCTATATAATTTCAGTAGTATTAATTGCAGGAGGATGATAAAATCAGAGCGTAATCTCATTCTCTCATAACTTTTCACTCTTTTCTGATTTAGAAACTGTACACTGAAGACTGGGAAGCCGACAAAGCCTTGTTCTACCCATATAATGATAGCCCTGAGCTGAGGAGAGTCGCCCAAGCCCAGAAAGCTCTCAGTGATGTAAGTGGGTGCAGTGGGCACCATTTGGGGTGTGCACATTTCCGAATTGGAACTCCTCTAATTACATCTCCTGGCCAAATATTTATTACAATTTTTTTTTTTTAGAAAAAAATGATGAAATAACATTATTGTAGAGGACTACATCTAAGGTCATTATAACTTATGATGTCTGATTTAAAATGGCTTTTATAATTTGAATTAGACATAATTTAGTTCAAGTCCCTCCTTACATACAAGGAAGGAACATGAGTCTGAGGTCATGTAAGTAGTTGGTGGCAGAGCCCAGAAAAAAGCCTGTCCTTGTGACCCTAAGACTAATGTTCTCTTCATTAGAGCATGAGCTTTATATCCCTTGGGCTTCAGTTGAAATTTTTGGGTGACAATAAAATGGCATTAAAAAAAAATCTATTGGAATCATAGCCACCTCCCTAAATCTATTAAGTGAATAAGGTTATGGAAGGATTTTGATTTGCTATCCTAGTCATGAAGTCTGAAAAATTGTGTGTCCCCTTTTTTCTGCATAGGGAACCTGACTCATATGCTTATTGAAATATGTGTGTAAAATATGTGTGTATTGTTATCCCTCAAAGAGCGCTTGCCATTGGATGTGCATAGAGGATATTTCAGACTTAGCAAAAGATTAGCAGTTCCACTGAAAAATTTCAGCATTTTAGAGGAACTTGAAAGACTTAATAGAATCCTTAGGGTTGAAATCAGCAGCAGTAACAGAGAACCTCACGTGGGTCCATCACTTTCCTGTTTTGAGATATTCTATTTCTTGATCTCTGGATTTTTAAGAGTCCATGTTGAAAAAATCTAAAGGCTGCTGGGTAATCTTCAGGAGACCACTGTGTTATAAAAATAACATTTAATTGTCATTTTCACTCAATTGTCAGCTAGTCCCCTGGAAACTCTTGCATGCAATATGGGCTTAAAAAGCCATTTGGCATCTTGAAACTTATTGGGATTTACTTTCAATAGATATTAGGATCCTATTTTGCCTCAACTGAAAATATGCATATTCATTCAATGGTGTCTTCAAACTTTGAGTTTCTAATATTTATTACTTTTAACTAGATGTGTCCTGAAAATTTAGTATATAAAAGTTCTACCCCAGTTTTCATAAAATTGGTTAAAATACAGCACAGTTCTTCTCTTATCCTTTTATAGAGTAAATTAGGAACCACAGAAGGCATAATAAAGTTTTTAGGCCATCTAGTACATGGTTACAATTGTCCATGTATGGGAACCTCTGACTTCTCTTTTAAGATTAGCTTTCTGGTTCTAGATCTCATAAATACATAATATTGTTGTGTGACCTTTATCAAGTGATCAATAGTTATTTTCTGAGAGTTCATTATGCATGCATGCATTCTTGGCAAGACAGAAAGGTATGACAAGAGTTTTTGTCCTTTCCCTTGAAGATTTATAATCAAGCTGGTAAACTGAAATTGTTATATATCAAACAACAAGAAAAAAGTAAAAACAACAAACCTTATAGTCTAATACTTGCTAAGAGAAACACAGGACACATGTGTGATCAGAGAAGGTTGTGTGGAGGTGGTGATTCCAAGGTAAAGGGCAGATAAAAAGGAAAGGCATTTCAGATATAAAGGGACAGAGGTAAAATGAGTTTGGAGTTTTAGGGGTTAAAGAAAGTAAATGCTGCAGGTGCTTAGTTAGAAAGACATTTGTCAGAAACTGGTGGCAGGACCTTGAACATCAGACAAAATAACTTAGGCATGATATGGTAGGCAATAAGAGCATCATAAGAGTTCTGAGAGAAAAACAATATGCAAATAGAATCTGGAGATATTGTGGTGAAGAATATGGTGGATTGGGACTAGGAAAAATTGTGATGACTTGTAGAAGCCTATTTAAGTAATATAGATGATTCAGAAGGATGAAGACAAAGAAATATGAAGGTGATAAGTATTTTATAACAAGTGTTAATCACATTGGATATTAGAGATGAAGGAGAGCAAGGAATTGTAGCTGGATTTATGACCACAGGCTGGTGGTCTGGGTTGGCGAAGGCACAGCTGGTAAAGATGCATTGTAGAAAAGTGAAATAGAGTTGAGATAAGTAAAGGGCCATTCAAAACAAGGCTCGTTGTGGGTAAAATAGAAACACAAATACTATTGCATAGGTGTGAGATCAGAACCAGAGATTGATATTTGAGAGTGATCAGAATAAAAGTGGCAAGTGAAGACTTGAAAATGTCTGAGTAAAGAAGAACAGTGTGTGGCCAAAGGCAGAGTTTTGGTGGATACTATACTTAGGACATCTGAAAAGGAGATAACAAAAGAACAATGGAACAAAGAGACAGAGAAGCTTAAGGGGAACAGGAAATGCCATGTCATGTATGCCAAGGGAGAGGTTTCCAAGAAGGCACATAATCTCCAAATATCTTCCTTTAGCCATTTAAAAGGAGAGACGTCACTCAAATGCTCTTGACTTTGAACAATAAAGTTGAGCACATATTTTGAGATACATATTCCCCCACTGTCCAAAAATAGATGTGTGAAACCATTTGTAGCCAAAACAGCAGAAAGCACAGAAACAATTACCATTAAACTTAACATGGAAGAATTTTTGATTATTCCCAGACCCAAGACAAATTTATTAAGTCATACTAAATTAACACATAGAAACTAAAACCATACTAACTTATTTAAAAGCAGGAGTGATAAGTAGATGTAAAACCTGTTTAATATAATTCCTGGGGAAGGAGCTTGATGGTGCTGTTCTTGGTGCTCAGGATGAGTGCTGCCTTTAGAATGGCTGCAGCAAAACAAATACTGAAATTTATTTGTTCTTTTTGCATTTGTGATAAAAATGAACATCCTCTTTAGTTTTATTTAGCAAAAACAGCGCTAATGTAGATTCTTAATAAAAGTGAAGTGACATAAGGCAAACTTTCAAAAAGCAGGGAATACCTGTATCTCAATAGAAGACATAATAAAGGAGAATATATAATAATGAAGTAAAACTGCCCATCCTTCACAGAAAAACTTGACAGTGAAAGGTATGGCTTTTATTTTTATTGTACTAAGTATCAGATAACTGGCGTGCCTATTAATCCTGTTGTCAGCACCATAAATTTTTATAGTCATTGGGAATAGAGCCCCAAGCAAACTGTTGTTCACACAACATACCATGGGGTAGACATGGAGATTCTGAGCTGAGAGTTTGGCTTCAGAGGCTTCTCTCTCTGCTGTGTCCCTATTAGCTGCTTGTGTTTTCCTTATTATCTAAGCAGAGATAAAATCTGTTGCAAACACTGTCGTTAGCGTGATCCAGAGTATAGAGTTCCTACTAGAGAGAATTTTTTTAAAAAGATTTATTTATTTATGCATACAAGAGCTGGGGTACAGGCCAGAGATGTGAGGATGTGAGAGGATTCACCAGAGATACAGTGGGGAACAAAACAGACAGACTGACTGAAATACACTGCTGAGGGGAGCAGTGGGTGAGTCAGGAGAGGTTTGCTGAGCCACGTAGGATTGACCTTGTGCTGCAAAGACTGCGGATTACTTCATGGTACAGTGCTTAACGACTTGCGCCACCAGGGAGGCCCTAGACAGAATTCTGAAAAAAGTTCTTGAGAAATTAGGACTTGTAGCTATGATTTTTCTCAAAGTTATTGACAGTTTGTCACACTTAATAAGCATCTCTCCTGGAAGAATTGCTTTCTGTCTGAGAATTCAGTCAGCTATAGAAAATACCAGTTGCCCTATGTCTAAAATAATGTCTTCACTTACTTAAAAGAAATTAAGCATATTTTAAAAGTTGTTTTTGGTAACCTAATTGATTTAATATTCATGAAAACTTTTGTTATTATAGGCATTATATATATATATGTATTATATATGTATATTATTAGAACAAGATCTAGTTAGATTTGGTTAAAGCATGAAGAAGATGATTGGGACCTTGGAACTATCAACTTATAACTTTATACATAAGAATGCTGCCATACAGAAAAAAGAAATAATTTGTAGAAATCTCATGATCTAATATTGGAGGAGTGAGGAGCATAATTCTGCTCCTCAGATTTCCCCTAGGGTTTCATTTCATAAAACACACTCTCAGAAATCAGTTCCCGAACTGTCACTCCAGCCTGGCAATGTGCAGGACACAAAGATTCCCGAATGAGGTTATGTTCTTTCTCACTCCACAGCTCATAGTCCAAGGTGGGAGAGCTGCGTCAACAACCCCTTACAATGCCATTTCATCACTCCTTTAAAACAAGGAAGGGCCAAGCTGAATGAGATCCCAGGAGAAGGCCACTGAGGCAGGGAAGGCGCAGGAGCTAGACTGTTTGTTCTGAGATGTAGAGAACAAGTAACAGTTTTCAGATACAGGGGGAGAGGGTGGAGTTGTGACATGTCAGGGAAAGCAACAGCATGTTTGAAGTCTAGAGGTAGCAGAGGATTTCATGTGTCTGGGGACCTATGAGTAGTTCTGCATTGTTGTGGGCAGGGGTCAAGATTGCTGGAAGAAATAGCTAGAGAGTTCAGTAGCAAAGAAAAAGAAATCAAGAGTGAAAAGGGTGCATAGTTAGGGGATATGATACTTGATTCAAGGCAGAGAGGTCCTTTAAAGGAGGAAGGAAGTTAAAAGAGATTTTGAGCTGTAAGAGAAAGATGGGGGGTGACATAGAGCTGGATACAACGAGTGCTGGATGGACTAGCACTCGTGATGCAGGAGCTCATGTTCTGCAAGGGACGCTTCTCCAAGCCATGCAGCAGGTGGTAGGGTCAGGGAGGAGCAAAGATAATTGAATATATAGAAGGAGAAGCTGAGAGTGAGGTGGAGTTGATTGGGGGCTTACAAACAGTGTGAAGTTTCTGACTAGCTACTGGGATTAGAGTCTGAGCAGAGACACATAATGGGTGTTGAAGCATTAATAAAGGGAATGTAGCAATTTGATACCACAAATTCACAGTACTGGACCCAGAGCCCCATACAGGTGTTGTCCACAGAACATATCATTTTGAGCTAAGGGCTTGACTCCCCTCCCTCCTTTGTACCTTCCTTCAGAGTCCCTTTTAACCATGCCTGTGTTATCACTCAATCCATAGTACTGGGTGATTTTCTTCAGGAGCACTCAGCATCCTGAATAAAAGCAGAGGAAGAGTGGTGGGGTTGATCCAGAGCTAATCGGTTTGCCAGCTGGTGTGATGTAAAGCAAGATACTGGGAGTTGAGGGTGCCAGTTAAGAAAATTTCAGTTACAAATCATGATGTAGAGATGAATAGAAGGAAATGGATCCAGGGTCAGTTGTCGTGGAGAAGAGAAAAGACTCAACTACACCAATATGATTAGTAATACTGAGAGCACGGACATGAAACATCTAAAAAGATAAACTATGGTTATGTGGGACACTAAAATTTAATACTTTAAATAAAAATAAAACGTCTTTTTTAAAAAAATGCCAATGAATGGGGAACATGGGAGACAATAATTTTCTATGGCTCATGAGCATCCCTGTGTTTTATTTTGTCAGATTGCTTATAAAAAAGGACACACTGAACGGCAAACTCAATTCACATCTCTGCCAGATCCTCCAGATATAGAATTTGCCAAGAAAGTAACGAATCAAGTGAGCAAGGTAAGTAAATAGGGGACTCTAACCCCCTTTGGAACACTGCCTATTGAGCTCAACCAGCAGAAAAAGGGATAAAGTGAACCTAAACATACAGCACAAACACACAGTACTTTTTCAGTATGACCTTAAAACATGCAGCAAAGGCAGCGTGTCTGTTAACATTGTGGAAGCATGTTAATAAATGTTCAGCCAGTTTGACAACTTGGCGATTGATGACTGTAAAAGCTGCGTTTTGAAAACAGAACCCATGTCCTAACATTTTTTAACATATTAATGTACGAAGTGTTACTAACAGAGGAACCACACATTTCCACTAAGGGTCTGATTAATTCAGTGTGAAGATCACATATAGTTTTATGCTCCAGTCAGATTGGAGGAAAATAAGAATGCACGAGTGGTCTCAGACATGGAGTAGCTTGACAGCCATGCGCAGTGCTCTTCATAACTTCTAAGGTCCTGGCAAACAGCTAAGCCTTCCTAAATTTAGGCTGGTAAACCAGCTCTGAGGAATGCAGCCCTCACAGGGAATGCAAAGAGACAGATGTTCAACTGATGAATAGACCCATGCAAAATGCCTATTTTAAAGTGTTCCAAATCAGGCCACCTTCTCCTGGCACTGCTGTTTTTGAATATTTTTTCTCTGCCCTCTGTGGAATTGAATATCATTTGGGTCTTCTGATTGCATTTTGATGGAACCTCAAGATTTCTGTCTTCTTTAAGTATTTATTTTTTCTTGAAATTATGTCTCCTGTAAAGGAGAAGGAAGATAGGCTGTCTGATGAAATCTATTCAGAGATGGTATTTAGTGTCTGATATTACAGATTACCTAACTGTATAACCAAAGGCTATTTGGATAAAAGGTCTAGTAAGTACAATAATATTTCACTAATAAAATTACCATGAGCCTAAAATTGTGCCCAGAATAAGCAGAAATTAACTTCAGAACTGTCCATAAAGAGACAGCCCACTGAAAAGTGTTGATATTGTAAATAAGATTGGGGAGCAAGGATGATTTATCTTTCTGGAAAAAAAAGGAGAAGTTATTTTCAAGTGGCCATTTAGAAAGAAAAATAAATCTATTTTAAATTTTTATTTAAAGCATATTTTAAAAGATATCTTACTAAGCCAATATTCTTTTACCTTATTTGATTATGCAGTTTGGGTGCTTGAAAGCAATAAAAATATCATTTTTAGCCTCCTCTGTACTCAGTCTCCCCACTAATTTAGGCTTGCCAGTTAGTTTAGAGCTATACTCTTAAATATAATAGCCACTAGCCAGATGTGAATATTGAACACTTAGAATGTGGTAGTGTGAACTGAGAAATATACATGTATGTGAAATATACCCTGGGTCTTGAACATTTAGTATAACAGAAGCAATGTGGAACAGCTCATTACTTCTTTTTGGATATATTATGTGTTGAAACAACAATATTTTTATCTACTGGGCTAAGTGAAATATCTTAAAATTAATTTTCCACCTATTGTACATTTTAAAATATGGGCACTAGAAAATTTAATAGTATAGTGATGGTTTGCATTATATGTCCCACAGCAGTTGGGTACAGTGGTTCATTGAGCAATTTGAAAACACAGACAGGGCTGGTTTACCCTTCTGGAATAACAACATGAGCCAAGGAGAGAAAGGCAGTGGATGAAAGTTATCAGTTTCAGTCACTGACATAATTCGTTGTAGTCTTACCAGAAATCCATGTTCCCCAAGACCACTGTGCATCCAAAATCAGTCATATTAGAAAGAAATGCGAAATGCCAGCGATTGTCAGCAGTCCCTCCAATAACAAACCATCCAGTGAAAGAGGCATTTCTCTTGAAGTCTTCCTCATATCAAGCTACTTTGACCCAAGATTCGGTGTCACCATTGTCCTTCTTTCCAACACAGAAAAAAAATCTTTACTCACTTTCCTGTATCTAAACCCTCAGCTTTTCTCGGTGGAGTTATGTCTTCCAGATCATCTGTCTTCTAGCTTCCAATATACCAGCTAATATGATGATCATGTTTCTGTAATGATTATGTTGCTGTGACAGTCAGTTTATCAGTCTTTCTTACTATACCTGTCAGAATCAATTCTGCCATATTTTGTCTACATGGCAGCACCTCCTCTGGCTCAGCTGCATTCTGTAGATTTCACATAGGTGGACCAGCAGGTAGAGTAATTCATATAAGTAGGCTTTCTAGGTGAGGAAATTATGCACACTGAAACCAATCACAAGTGGGGTCCCCAATCACACTGGGGACCCTTTCAGTTTCTCTGTGCCTGCTTCCTTCTTCCTACCAGATTCATAATAGGAATAAAATAAGATTTCAGTGATACACAACTGCAGTCTAAAATTGAAAGGGAAAATTCTGATTCCTCTGTTTTTCTACTCACAAAACTTCTCACACTAAATGTGGGTTTTCCCCCTCCCTACTAACCAATTCTTGGATACCAACTGGGTGTGTCACAATTCTTCCAATTCTAACATTATCTCCCTGCAGTTAGCATCAGATCCCATAAGCTAAGGGCTCAATCTGACAAGACTGCTCCCCCTTCAAAAATTAATCTCAAGTCTGGGGTTCCTGTATTTGTGACCAACCAGCTCTTAATCCAGATTCCTCTTCCTTGGGTTTGACAAGTTGTAAGAATGACCCACAGAACATTTATTTACATTTATTATATAATAAAGGATATGACTGAAGAGGCATATTGGGAGAGGTATGAAAGTCTCCCAGTTTCTCTCTTTGTGGAATTGGGGTACCCCGATTACTTAGAAGTTCTCTGGACTTTGTACTTGAGAGTTTTTTATGGAGTCTGTATTGCACTGACATAGTTGATTTTTTAACTCAATCTCCAGCTCTTCTCCCCTTCCCAGAGGGTGAAGGATGGGGCTGAAAGTTCTAAGCTTCTAATCATGGCTTGGTCTTTTAGATAACCAGCCATCCTGAAAATATCCAGTAATTGCTTCATAGAACAAAAGACACTCCTATCACCCAGGAAATTCTAAGGGACTTAGGGGTCTTTCAGGAGCTGGAAACCAGGAGCAAATGTGAGAACAAGAGATGCTCTTATCACCCCATCATGTGGGAGATTATATGTGTTTTAGGAACTCTGTGTCAGGAACTGAGAGTAGGTATGTTTTCTTATTGTTTCACGAGAATGTTAAAATAAAAACATCTTTTAGTTACGCATTGCTAAATTGTCACACAGCCTGAAGAGGCAAGGTTTTGGTCTTCTGAAGGCATGCAAACCCTTCCATTATGCAGAATTAGGAAGATTCCCATTGATTTCACCAGGAGTGATTGGAATGAGTCAGGAAAAGAACCTGGGCCCACTTTGTACAATGAAATACAAATGGGAATTCCTTGTAGCCCCTCTGAGGAAGATAATTTTTCTATGAATGAAGCTATCAGTGTCCCAGTATTTAGCTACTCACAGAAGTGCAATTAACTGACTTTGTAGCCCTTCCCTTCTGACAACCGCATGGAAACCACAAAAGCACATGTGGCATGTAGGAAATGAAGCCATGTGTTTACACAGATAACAGGGAGCCCAATTTGTGGCAATGAAAGTACCCACAGCTGGCTTCCCATGAGGAAGGACTATGGTCTTACTACATCTATCAACATGTAGTTACACTCTGTCCACAGGTGTCCCAGAGCCTGTAGTTGACCAGGTGTGCTTTCCTGTATTAAATGAACAATTACAAAATCTTGGAGATGTTACCCAGTTCTTGCTTTCAAGTTTCAGCATTGGAATGAAGGGCTAGAGTGGTAACTGGGAGAAGTTGGATATTGAACCCCTGATGTGGCTGACTCATCCCCTAGTACCACACACACACTCTGACGTGCTGTAAGATCCCTTGGTTGGCACAGGGGGTTCCATAAATGCATATAACTGCCTCACCCTCTGAATATCCATGGGTTCTGAGTGAACCAAGTCCTTAACTTAGCAAGGGAGGGAATTAGCACCTCCACCCTCTCACCCAAATTTCACTTAAACAATTATTTTTTGTATTGAAGCAACATTGAGTTATAACACCATATAGGTTTCAGGTGAGCATTGTTATAAATCAATATGTGTATACACCACATTAAGCTCACCACTAAAAGTCCAATTCCATCCTTCATGGTACAATTGACCCCTTTCACTCAATTTTACCCACCCTTCTCTTCAGGTAACCACTAATTTGGTCTCAAAACCTAAAGTTTGTTTTTGTTTTAATCACTCCCTTCATTTTGTTTCTTTGTTACCACATATGTTGTGAAATCATGTTATTTGTTTTTCTCCATCTGACTTACTTGACTAAGCATAATACCCTCTAAGTCCATCCACAATGCAGATGGCAGGATTTCATCTTGTTTTGTTTTTTAAATAGCTGAGTTGTATTCTATTGTCTCTCTCTCTCTATATATATCCAACACTCTTGCTGGGTAAATTGACCCCATACTGGAAGATTTGAAGACCTTTTTAAAGAACCTAAAGGAAGGCCTAGCCAAGATATTTATTATTGTTATTTTATATATTTTTACATCATTTTTCATTTTTGCACAATATATGCATTTTCATCTTGGTTATAGTCCCCATACAATTTCCATACCCCCTTGCTTTGATCTCACTCCCTCATGGTCACTTCATTTATTCTCTTACTTGTCTCTTTCAGAATTTCACTTGTCTTTTTTTCTTTGTCTTTTTTCCCTAGCAAAAATACAAGGAGGATTATGAAAATAAAGTCAAAGGCAAATGGAGTGAGACACCTTGCTTTGAAATTGCAGCTGCCAGAACGAATGCTGATAATTTCAGTGCAGTAAGTTGAGAGAGGTGGTGAATGTCCTTAGTTTGCAAGGGTGACCCTTCCCTGGATGGTTTCTGGCCACTTGCTTCTGAAACTGGCAATGAAGTTGGAAAATTAGAGTCCAGAAGCTTCATCTTAGGGGGAGAGTTCCTGTAATGAAAGAAATCCCATAACCATGCCTTCCTTTTGAGAAAGGATATTTTGATCAGATTCCATTATTCTTGCTTCAGTTTTCATAGGTATATACAATTTCAAAGTTAGTACAGGCTAATGGTGTCCTTTTAAATTTGTTCTTTGCCTGAGGAACCAAAACAGTACATTTATGAAACTGATTAGTTTCTTCCAGAATTTCCTCACTAGAAAACATTCAATCCTCTATTTAAGTTTTCTGCCCCTGGCTTTCGAGAGCTCTTTTTTATTGGCTGTCTTTCAGCCCATTATAATTGCTCCAATCTCTGTTAAATTGCTAATTTTTTTGTGACGGTCCCATAGTCTATAATTGTAATCTGACCTATGTAAGCCAAGGGAACATGACTTTTGAGTAATTCTCCAAATGACTTTTCTGCCCTCCCATGTAAATCCCTTGCACAGTTTGTTCCCATTGCATTTCTTCAGTATGTTTAATATCTTACAGAGGAAATACCAGGAAGAATTTGAGAATATGAAAGACCAGATCTACTTCATGCAGACTGAAACACCGGAGTATAAAGTGAATAAACAAGCTGGAATGACAGCTAGCAAGGTACAAGGACATTCTTTCATTCATTTATCTTGACAATCTTTGGGTGAATTTCTTCAAAGACTTTCTTTTGTTTATAATGTAAAAAAAGGGGTTCCTGAGGAGATAGCAGATACCAAGCCAGTGGATACCAACCCATTTGAAGAGTATTATTAAAACAACAACAAAAATTGCTTTGGGATTAATATAGGGTTATTAAACTTTGAAAAATTGCTATATAAAGTCTATACTTTAAGGAATGAATTTATTAAAAATTGCTACACAGGAGCATTAGCAATACCCAATTCTTCAGTATTTCAAAGATTTTGATATCTAGATTTTGATACATTTTGATACCTAGAAGTAGAAAGACTGTAATTTCAGACAGAAGAACCCCTTCTCCCAAGAAAAGAATCAGCAGCTTTATATGATATGGACACTCCCACACTCACCACTACCATCCTTTTTCTTATTTCCCATTAATGGGTGAGTATATAGTCACAGACAAAACACATGAATCCATGAATATACTCACATATTCTCTAGAGTATCTTCAGTAAATAGTCAGACTCCCTGGCATTCTAAAGCATAAACTTCAAAACCAATCTGACTTGATTCTAATTCTGACCTTCGCTCTGCTGGAGTGCTCAAAGCAGGAAAACCATGCCACTGAAGAGGTTACTGCATGATCCAATTACAAGACAGTGAATGTTTGGATGAGAGGGAGGTGGGACAGATGCTGAGGAATATTTTGAAAGTAAAGATGTTCTGATTTACTGGTGGGGCAGGTGTCAGATAGGAGAGAAAAGTTTTGGTTCAAGCAGCGAGATGGGTGGGGTTTTCTTTTATCAAGACCATGGAACAAGTGAATACAATTTTTTTGAGGGGAAAAGCGGCCTCAGCTTCAGACATGTTAGATTTGAGATGCTTTGTTGGCATCCAAGTAGAAATGTCAGTTGATTATATGAGTGAAAATTCAGGGGCAATACCTAGGAAGAGTGTAGCAATTTGGGAGTCATTAACATGTGGCTAGTTTTAGCCATAAGACTGGAAACCATCAAGGGAGTGAGTGTAGACAGGAAATTTCGAGTACTGAGAATTGGAATGCTTCTATGTGAGGACATCAGCATGATGAGGTGGGAGCAAAGTCAGGAGTGAGGATGCCTTGGGCAGCAAGTGAGGGGAGAAAGGAAGATCACCTGTGTCAAATGTGTCTGAAATGGAGTTATCAATGCATGAGAGAGGTTCATTAGTGAATGAGGAGAGAGAAATAGAAAAACATGAATATTCTCAGCTGTTTTAAAAGCATTTTCCTGAAAAGAAAAGATAAGAAAGAATGCACCATGTTTGTACACTGATGCAAAAATTCCAGTGTAGAGGGAAAATATGATGATGTTGGAGGGGGCAGAGTGACTGGACTATTGTCCCCTTGAGAAGAGAAAGGGTAAGGAGATGTGGTACTTAGGACAAGATGGCTTTGCCACTAGCCCTGATTGTTCATCCATAAACAGGAAAGGAGGCTGGGTATCCCAGAGGCAGGTAGAAAGATAGTTGAGTTTGTGGAATTTCCTTTCTGGTTGTTTCCATTTTTAAAGGGAATACATAATTGTATAAAAGAGGAAGTCTCCTTACATCTCCCATTCCTGTAGAGATCTGCTGTGAGCACTCTGTGTGGACTAGAGAGGGGGGGGGCGTCTGTGTTTCAGTTGTGTCTCTCCTACCTTTAGTTTCCAATCTGATTGGTTTTGTTTTACGAGGTTCTTAAATGTTGATAGGTTATGTGTGTGTATAATAATGTATGTGCATACATTATAGGTGGGTCTGCTTAAACACAGTTATAGACAAAATATAAAAGGGTAGGTAGATGATGCTTCTAGCTTATTTTCTTAAAAAATGTGTTGGCAAAAAGGCAGTTGGTGGCTAAGAGCTGTGTGAGGGTTTCTGGGAGAAGCAGGTATCTGGGACAGGATGTACTGTCATTATTTGCGTATTTTTCCCTCTCCCATTATTTATGTATCTCTCTGTCTTTGAGAGGAGGAGCCAAGTGTTATTCAATCTTATCTTTGTCCCAGAGCCAGGCATATAATCGACACCCTCTGGGTATTTTTGAATGAACAAATGAATGGGAAGAAAAAATATCCTGGAAATTTATGCAGTTTTTCTCCTGCTATTATGAGTTACTATGAGTATTTTGTTTATAAAATGTCAAGCTGCCATTTCTCTAAAGAGAAAATTGATTTGTGGAACTATGCCATAATATCATAATAGAAACAAGAACAAAAAGAACCTGGAGAGTTATTTTATCACTTTATTTCACTCCTACAGGTAAAATACAAAGAAGACTATGAAAAGAATAAAGGAAAAGCAGATTATAATGTACTTCCTGCTACAGAGAACCCACTGCTCAGGCAGCTGAAGGCAGCAGGAGATGTCCTAAGTGATGTAAGTATATTCTTGTCAAAAAGTGCTTTTTAAACCTGCAATAGAGATGAAATGCCTCTCCTTCTGTAATGACTAAATGCAAATATAACTTTGCAAATACTTTAAGGTTATGGTTAGCAGTTTCCCTGGAGTGCTATAGCCATGGAAGGCATAAGAGACTCTGATTATGCTGTCTGTCCATTTGGGGGCCGTGTGAAGTTAGCTCAATGGGTAAGGAAATCCTCACATGTTTATAGGCTCTGGAGGCCTGTGCCTCTGTATGGTCAAAGACGTCATAGATGTGATACATTTTGATCGAGAGAGGAGACTTTGAAAGGGGAGGGGAGAGAGTAAAACTACCTCAGCACACTGCCCTCATATTCTTCAAGCCTGTTCCTGGGAGAATAAGGAAAATGTCCTGTATTTCATAACTTCTCTCCCCCATCTTCACCATTGTGCACTCAGATTTTGGCCTAAGGAACCATTTTTTTTTTTTAAGATTTATTTATTTATGCATATAAGAGCTGGGGTACAAGCCAGAGATGTGGGGTGGAGGGGTAAGAGGATTCACCAGAGACAGAGTGGGGAACAGAACAGGCAGATTGACTGAAATACACTGCTGAGGGGAGCAACGGGCGAGTCAGAAGAGGTCTACTGTGCCATGTGGGTTGCTCCCTGGTCGGCCAGGGATGAAACTTGTGCTGCAGAGGCTGCAGATTGCTTCACAGTGCGGTGTTTAACCCCTTGCGCTACCAGGGAGGCCCATGGAACCATTGTTTGTAGACAGCAGGGCATAGAAGATGGCTTCCTAGTCTTCACAGGGATTTCTACCGATGCAGTCACTAGAGCCTGATTAATCCATCAGACCTAAGGTAGCTTAGTTAAGTGAGAATTCAGACTGGCATTAAAAGACAGTCTAATGCTACTTTGTTTATATAAATAAAGATTGAATGTATGTGATCAGGTGAGTCTTTCCCTTATGTTTACATATTCAGCTTTCCCAACATTTGGGGAAAAAACATACATATGTTTGCTGTGAAATATTTATCTTTCCTTTGTCCTTTGAATTGTCAGCAGCATAGAAAGGTATAGATGTGATTGAGGTATGGGGTGAATGATGTGACAGATGAGAGGCTGGAAACAGATTTGTCCAAATATCTCTCCTGGATATCAGTACAAAGCACATCTCTGCTTCTAAATTAAGGTTATCTTTATCAACCATATAGAAACACAGGTTCAAATTCATTTTATTGATAAAGACAGAACTATAAACATAATAAGAAAGCACCATTTACCATTTCAAAATCCAAAAGGAAAAGGTGACAATGATCTGCTTTCTCACTTGCACATTTAAAACCTAGTAGTTGTTTACTGTTATCATCCCAGCAGAGAACCAGTCAGTAGAGTCATGATTTGAGTTCTTGTATATACCTAATTTTTAGATATGCTATGTTTGCACAAAAGGGGGCTTTTCCTTGGAAAAGGAGGGAGACAGAATGTATATTTCTCAACATAAACAGATTTTTTGTGAAAGCTTGTTTAAAGAAAAACTCCCTGTTCTCAGAACACTCTGATTTGCCATGGCACTCTCTATGAGGAAAATGTGTGCCTGGGAGTTGGAGAACGCAGCAGTGCAGAAATACACAGGAACTGCTACAACTAAGGGCTTGGCCTGAGTTGGCAGGTTGACTTCTTGATTTGGGGGAGAATGTTAACAGCTGTGGCTTTACAATAATTACTAATAGAAAAGCCTTGTCATTCATGACACTCCAATGCTTGTCACTTTTTAAAGAGTGTTGACAGGCAGTTATCTTTTTTCTTCTTCTTTTGCTTCATGTTTGAAAATACGAGTGTTATTATCAGTGTGGGAGTGACAAGAATTAACTTTGTGATTTTTGTCTTTGACAGAAACTATACAAGGAAAACTATGAAAAGACAAAGGCAAGGAGCATGAATTACTGTGAGACCCCCAAGTTTCAGCTTGATACAGTTCTGCAGAACTTCAGTAGTGATGTAAGTATTCCTGTGGTCATTTCCTCTGGTAAAGAGAAGAGCCATCATTTCTCAAACAAAAACATGAAATCTGTTTTGTCTTTCAGACTAAATATAAAGATTCCTACCTAAAGAATATTTTGGGACATTATGTGGGCAGCTTTGAGGATCCATATCATACACACTGCATGAAAGTCACAGCTCAAAACAGTGATGTGAGTTCTAATTCAATTGTTGAGCTTTCCAAATAACACATTTCTTAGGAAGTGAAACAATGGTTGCATCCTTATATCTGATTTTTCTTCCTAATAGAAAAACTACAAAGCAGAATATGAAGAGGACAGAGGTAAATGCTTCTTCCCCCAGACCATAACTCAAGAATATGAAACAATCAAGAAACTAGATCAGTGTAAAGATGTAAGTCTGTGGAGTGAACTTTGAATATTACTCCTTCTGTAGCCTCTCCTGGTCAATATGTTTAAAATGTTGACGTATTTACCACTAAATACAAGTAAGGAAGTTTTAAGAAATAAAATTTATGTTGTAATAGATACGATATTTTTATCCATCATCATCCATATGTTTCAAGAGTTAATTCTAGCTCATTTTCCCAAAGAGAAGTTATTGGGAATCTGAAGATACGAAGTTTCTTATACAGAGGTAAGAACACCTTTCAAAGAAACTGCAGTCTAATGAGAAAAACATCATGTGTTTCATTTACTTGTTTTTTGGAACTAGGGTTCTGCCTGCTTGGCCTATTGGTTAACTTGAATTAGACAGGTGATCCTGCTAAACCTGCTTCCTCTTCTCTCCCACAGCATACCTACAAAGTCCATCCAGATAAGACAAAATTCACTCAAGTTACTGACTCTCCTGTTTTGGTGCAAGCCCAGGTCAATTCCAAACAACTGAGTGATGTAAGTTCCTCTAAATATCCAGGAGATCTTATTATGGGAAATAGCATAGCCTATCTCTACAAGTAAAATCCAATGACATCACAATGATTTATTATTAAAAAAAGTTTAAATTTTTGGAAATTTAACGTGTATGTATTTTTAATCATCTAAGATAGTTTTTAATTGGTGGTTCTGTAAGGGAAACTGATGGAGCCTAGTGCTTGTTCGAGTCAAATAAAACTGGATTGGAATACCAGCTCTATCTTGACCTGATGGCCTAAGCAAAATTTTTTATCCTGTCTGTACCTCTTCTTTCTCTTTTATAATTTATGATTGATTGGAAGATTAAGTGAAAGGCAATGTGTGCATAGTGCATACCTTTGTCCCCAAACAAGCATTCAATACATGAAATTTCTCTCTTAAATTAGTTTTTGGGAAATGGAGCCTTTGAGTTCAGTCCTATGAGCATTAAGTATTAATTTCCAAGTTTGTAGCCACTGAAAAAAATTGCAATAGAAGTAATCTCAGAAAACTTCAATTCAATTAGACTTCAATTAGAGTATCAACAAACTGTAATGTATATGAGGGGATATAACCCTCCCATTATATTCCCTCTTTGTTAGAAAAGGTTCTGCATTTCTGGAGCACTAATAATGAAAAGGAAGAAAGGGCTGTCACTCTCAATGGCCCCAGGACTACAGAGCCGTTGTGATATGCTTAGAGGGGAACATGTGTGAAGGAGTCGCCTCACACCATTGGGATCATACCACAGTGATAGCTTCTGTTTGTCTGGCAAACAGGATTGTCAGCAATACACGGGAGCCCCACCTCTGGCTTTCTCTTTCAATCTCAACAACTTTGTCAATTGTCACTTAACAAATTGCATTTTACACTTTATTATATCAAACATACCACCCAAGATTTTGTTTATAATTTGCAACAATACTTCAGAACTAATTGGTGTGTGCTCTGTTTTCTTAGCTAAATTACAAGGCAAAACATGAAAGTGAAAAGTTCAAGTGCCACGTACCTCCAGATACTCCTGCCCTTTTGCAGCACAAAGTCAATGCCTACAACCTGAGCGATGTAAGTTTGTAGCGCATGGTGCTGTGTGCTCTGCTGAAAACAGTGTTTTTGTTTTTTTAATTATTTCATTGGTTAAATATTTCAATATTAAAGATGGAAAGCACAGCTAACATTTGTATCATGTTCCTATGTTCCTGCCAATGAAACTTTGAATTCACCTTCTAAAATGGGGGTGGCAATCTTGTAAGTAGCTTCATACAATCAGACAATCCTAATATATTTTAACCAACTCTCAAAATACCACTACTCATGTATGTTTAATTGCAAACCTTAAGGTTAGATCTTGTATTCATATATTAATTTGTACTGCGCTAACATTACTTTTCTTTTAGGACCTGATTTCTAGATACACTTCATTTCACTTATTCACCAGGCCTTTATTGTCCCTTATTTCACACAATTGATACTCATTTCTACAGAAAGTCAGAGATAAAAATTACAACATAATTATATGACATATATTGACTATATTAATACTTACCACAAAAAGTAAATTAAACATATTTGTGTCACTATAAAATATTCAGTGTAGTAATCAAATATTAATTTAATTTGTTAAAAGAAAATTAAAGAAGCTTGATAGTGGAGAATTAGAAGCTTAAACGTGAGGAGAATTATCTAAAATACGCATGTTCCCTGAAAAATGAAAACAATCCATTTACTTTATATAAAAATAAGGTACTGAGTTATCCTTAGTCTTTAGGTGTGACAATGTGCATATCATTTTTACTGATTACTAAAAATTTCCTGTCTAGAATGTGTATAAGCAAGACTGGGAGAAGAGTAAAGCTAAGAAATTTGACATTAAAGTAGACGCCATTCCCCTGCTGGCAGCCAAGGCCAACAGCAAGATCGCTAGTGATGTGAGTACGGACCGGCCATCTGGGCAGGGAGGCTGGGAGACATTTCATGACAGGTGGAATCTGGCATGTGTGATGTCTTTGCAGGTGATGTACAAGAAAGACTATGAAAAAAGCAAAGGGAAGATGATTGGTGCCCTCAGCATTAATGATGATCCCAAGATGCTGCACTCTTTGAAGACGGCCAAAAACCAGAGTGATGTGAGTGCTTCTGTCACTCTGTCTTGTTTTCAGATATGACTATACTTACTGATTAAGGGCACCTTGGATGGGATGTTAGCCTGAATGAAATCTGAGATTCCGGATAATATGTCAAGCATGAATGCCCACTAGTAAAGCATGGTTAACTCCTGAATATATCTCTGCACTCTGAGACACTAGTGAATATTGTAAAGATTCCCTTAGTCTTCTTAATGCTCTCTGTTTTATCAGGGGGCAGTATACTAGCCATATTTTTCAAATTGTTTTTCCTGGAAATGGGTTTAATATCTCTGTATGTAAAAGCATATATTCATTCCCTTAGATGACCTGACTTAACAGGACTTTGTGAAAATACAAATAGAAAAGTAAAAGACAAGACGTGAGAAAAATCTGGCTAAAGACAAAATGGGGAAAACTGAATGAAACAAAACCCCCAAAGCAACGTATTTAATTTTAAGAATTTTATAAAATATTGATCTTATTTTAAAATATGTATTAAAAATTTGAATTCTTCACAAAATTTCTTTCCTAATCATAACAAAAGATTCTATTCTATATCATTCATAAAGTCATGTCTTTATTAAATGTGCTTTTTATTTCTATACGGTAGAATTATAGAAATGTAAAGGAATACATGTTATATGCAATAAAACAGAGAAACCATCTTTTCCTGCATTACTGATATAATGTTAAATATTAGGTCTTAGTGATAAAGAGCCTCTTCCAGGGGTGTTGTAAAATATGCTTTCATGAAATGCTGAGCTGAATACTTTTCTAGGACTGTATTAGTAGCTACAGTCCACTTTATACCTCTTATCTCATTTTATACCAACTCTTAAAAAATTCATTTTCCTTCCAACACATTCAAGAGGAAAGAATTATTTTATGAAAAAAAGTTGCTTAGACAGCAGCAATGGTGTGCTATGATTTATTCTGGATGAGAAATAATGTGATGAAAGTAACAGACATTTATGGTTATTAACAGACTAGATTATATAGGACATAAACCTCTAACATATTAATTCCATTGATTGTTTTTTTTTTTTTGCATTGTGAAAATAAACACGGAAAAAATTCAGAGTTTTTACCTTTTGGTTAAAAATATAACAATGACACAAATGACTTTTATACCATGAGGTACATTTTTCTTTGTTTGGTTATCACTGTTTGATTTTTGTCTTTTGACAGAGATTATACAGGGAAAACTATGAGAAGACAAAGGCAAAGAGCATGAATTACTGTGAGACTCCCAAATACCAACTTGATACTCTGCTGAAGAGCTTCAGTGAGGTTTGAAAGACTATGATTACTCTAGGGATTGAGGGCTTTCCTACTGTTGACAAATACTTTGTGAATTTGAGCTGCATATGTTTTCTTTTTTCAGGCTAAATATAAAGATTCTTATGTACAGAATGTTTTGGGACATTACATAGGCAGCTTTGAGGACCCATATCAAATACACTGCATGAAAGTATCAGCTCAAAACAGTGATGTAAGTTTGAAGACAATTGTTCAAGACTTGCAGTGACATTTTTTGGGAGTAATGACAGCATGATATATTTTTGTTTTTTCTTACTATAGAAAAATTACAAAGCAGAATACGAAGAAGATAGAGGGAAATGCTATTTCCCTCAGACAATAACACAAGAATATGAAGCAATCAAGAAGCTAGATAAGTGTAAAGATGTAAGTTGACTGCCCTGGATTCTTAAATGGGGTTTGGGATTCTTGTGCCATCTAGTGGTAAATATGGCAGAAGTTTAAGTGCTAGCATCTAGAGTTTAAATGCTAATAATAAGTGTCTAGCAGATGTTTACTTTTAAATTTTGATTTTTGGGTGAGGATTACAAAAATTGCTGTAAAGAAATCTATTCATTCAAAATAATTTCAGGTTTTGTAAGTTGTGGTTTTTACTCTAAAGATTTATTTATTTATGCATACAAGAGCTGGGGCATAGGCCGGAAGCATGGGGGGTGAGAGGACCAGCCAGAGACAGAGTGGGGAACAAAAAAGGCAGATTGACCAACGTACACTGCTGAGGGGAGCAGCTGGCGAGACAGGAGAGGTCTACTGCGCCATGTGGGTAGCTCCCTGGCTGGCTGAGAATCGAACTCGCACTGCAGAGGCTGAAGACAGTCTCATAAGTTGAGTCCCAACCTCCTGCGCCACCAGGGAGGCCCTGTTTTTACTTTTTTATATACACATGATTTTGAGAAAAAGGAGAACATGGAAATGTGTTAGAGATAGGTATTCATTCAGTCAACACATTTACACAAGGGGCTAGCTTATGCCAGATGCCCCCGTTGGTGTTGGGAAAGAATAGGTGATAGAGTGTGCTGCCTCTTGTGAAGTGTGCATTTGAGAGAAAGAGGCAGACACTAAACAAAGAACATAGAAACAAGAGAGATCAGACAATGATAAGGCAACTGATGTATAATAATGCTACAGAATTAAATAGGATAACATGGGATAAAGACCAAATGGACACTGTAGGCTGGGTATTCAAGGAAGTTATAAGGCAGGAATGTGCAGCTACACCAAGATCAGGTAGTGGGGGAGATAGCAGGAGAACAGCCTAAGGAAAGAGGAGCTTGGAATTTAAAAACTTGAATTGATGAGTTGGTGAATGAATGGCCCGGGGAGGAGGACAGTAATGAGAGGTAAAATGGCAGGAGATGAAAGAGGGGTAGAATAGGGCGCTTATGAATAGGGCACTTAAGCCAAAGTAGAGTTAAAATTGAATACCATATCCAGTGGAAAGTCATTGTGAACTTCAGCAGAGAGGGGGATTAATTTGGTAGCTGAGTTGGAGCAGGGAGACCGGTTTAGAAGCAACTTCAGTGGGGAGAGATTGAGAGAGAAAGCAGGGAAGGATGTGAGAGGGGATCAACAAAGTTTTCAGGAACAATTTCAGGAGCTATATTTGTCTGGAGGCTTTTTTATGTTAGTGTGTATATGAACCAGAATAAGAAGATACATTATGAAATTTCATTAAAGAACATCTTCTTTTCTAGCATACCTACAAAGTTCATCCAGATAAGACCAAGTTCACAGCTGTTACTGATTCTCCTGTACTATTGCAAGCTCAGCTCAACACAAAGCAACTTAGTGATGTAAGTCCCTTGATTCATACAAGTGTGTTTGACTCCGAATGCTTTGCCTATTTGAAACATAAACATTTACACAATTTTCACTGACTCAACTATCATCCCAATTCAAGATTTGTGTAATAAAATTAAAAAGAAGCTGCTAGATTGAATAGTAGCACAGGGGAAATTATGTGAGACAATAACAAAAATTAACTATTACCTCTTCAAGAAAGCACTAATTTTTAGTGGACATTTGTTCATTAGGACCTGTCAAAAGATCCAAAAAGATGCTTACTAAAACTTCATGCCAAGTTAAATAAACAACAAAAGCATCCACTTTGGTTGGTAATAAAACAAGTATTTCCTCTTCAAAAGTTTGCTAACAAAAAGAGCACAGAAAGACTTCAGGCAATAATGAGAAAACCAATGTAGGATGATGATATAGAATTAAAAGAGAATGACATGAAAGAATGATGGGTGGCCGTTTTATATCGGTGGTTAAGGAAGGTCCGTGGTAGAATGGTGAAGCTGTCCCAAGATCAGAGAAGAGCTGCAGTGCTTCTCAAACATTCATGATCACATGGACCACGTAGTGACTCTTGTAAAAATGCAAATTCTGATTTAGTAGGTCTGAATCTGTTCTGATTCTCTAATAAGCTCCTAAATAAAGACAATTGTGATTGGTGTGATTGGTAGACCATGCTTTGAGTGCACATCCTTGTCAAGACAGGAAAATGAAGTATACTAAGTTCTCACTTAAAGTCATGGATAGTTTTTTTGAAACTGTGACTTAAGCAAAACCATGTATAATGAAAGCAATTTTACCATAGGATAATTGATATAAGGCAGAGTTAAGTTCCCATGGCATATTTCTGGTAACAAAAACATCAAACTTCCAAATAATAACCCCAAACACTTCTAATACGCAAAAATTATTTGTAGTCATTCATTTTCCAACTTGCTTATTCTAGTTCAGGCTTATGGTTAGCCAGAGCTTAACCTGGTTACTTAGGGAGTAAAGCAGGAACCAACCCTGGACAGAACCATTTCTTTGCAGGGCACCTTTACACATACACACCCTCCCCATGTGCACTCAGACTGGAACACAACGATTCCAGTGTGCCTCCTTGGGATGTGAGAGGAAATCTGAGTAATGGGGGAAACCCATGAAGATGTGGGGAGAACATGCTTTTATGACCATTATAATAAAATGTATTGAACAAAATGGAGGTTATTCTAGGACCTGCTATATATAGTTTGTTCTATTATGCAAAGTGTTTTAGTAACACGATTAGCTCATATGCAATTGGTCAAAAAAAAGAAAATGGTGTCAGTATAATCCAGAAATCGTCTAGGTTCATGTGCAACATTTCCTATCATCTTAATATTTTGAGTCACAAGAAGGAACAGCAGCCTAGATATTAACATCACTGACCCAAATGAACTTGACTAGCTGCAGAGGAATACCATGCTCTATCGAGGTCCCTACCACCATGCTCTCTTCTCATTGAACTGTTTATGTTCTGTTTTGAAGGTGCTTATAAGCACAGTTCTCTATCTTGAGTATCAAGAGCTGTATTCCCTCTTTCCATTCCCATCCTATGACCTACTGTCATCTTTCTAAATATTAAATAAACTACTATCTTTTATAAATTTAATAATATATCTTTAAACTGTGCTAGTATTTTATTTTGAATTACTCTCATTTTTTTTTTTAAATAATAAATTTTATTTTTATATTCCCCCATACAATTGCAAAAGCCCCATTCTGACCCCAATCCTTCCCTTCCCACCCCCCACCCCCCAAAAAGTGTCTCTGGTTCATAGTTTTTTGTTGATTTTGATTTTCACTTTCTTATATTCATTTTCCTGGTCCCTTATTTAAGTTTTCTAGATTCCTGCTATGAGTGAGACCATCCGGCATTTTTCTTTTTCTTTTTGGCTTATTTCACTGAGCATGATCCCTTCCAGCGCCATCCATGTTGCTGCAAATTGCATGTGTTTATCTTTTTTGAATGCTGAGTGAATTACTCTCATTTTTATTAGTGCTCTGATTACAGAATTTCATAGATTTTGAATGTTCATGTCTTTGTGAAACAGTCTAGACGTTTAAATCAGTGAGTTTTATTTTTTTTAAAGATTTATTTATTTATACAAGAACTGGGATACAGTCAGAGGTGTAGGAGGGTGAGAGGATTCACCAGAGACAGAGTGGGGAGCAGTACAGGTAGATGGACCAAAGACACTGTTGAGGGGAGCAACAGGCGAGGCAGGAGAGGTCTGCTGCGCCTTGTGGGTTTCTCCCTGGCTGGCTGGGAATCGAACCCACGCTGCAGAGGCTGTGGACAGACTCACAGCACTGCTCAACCCACTGCGCCACCAGGGAGGCCCTAAATCAGTGAGTTTTACTCATATACATTGTGACAGCATTTTCAAAATGACAACCTGAAGTTTGCTTATTCTGCAATTTCTGATGAGTGAGTGACAATCTGGACCTTGTGCTGAACTTTGATAGGATTGACTATTTCTTTGAAGCATTTTTCTAAAATGAGTAGTAATCACTTAGCCATATATAATCTCTTCGGTAAATTGAAGTTCTTACTCTAAACTGTTTGGCCATCCTCTATTGTTTTTCAGCTAAATTACAAAGCAAAACATGAAGGTGAAAAGTTCAAGTGTAATGTACCAGCAGATGCACCACAGTTTATCCAACATAAAGTCAATGCCTATAACTTGAGTGATGTAAGTACCAAATCCACAAAAACCTTTGTTTGTATGCACGTGCAAAGAAATGTTATATGTGTTATAACAGACTAGATTAAGAGTTATGCAAACTAACAATAGAGATTATTACCAGATGATAAATGTAGCTTTTAAGGCCTAAATGCTCTAAGGCTCTTACTTATGTAAGATTTCATTTTCCACTGTCTTGTTACCATTGGGAACACTTTCAATTACTTCTCTACTAATTCCTAGAGCTTTATAGGATCGCTTGTTTGTAAATGTTACATGTCATCTTCTCTAAGTGGGATTCATTTTATATCATCCTTTACACATTAGAATAGCAGAGTCTTTGGAAAGGTCACAGGTTATTAGCAAAATTATATTTATTAGGGGGTGGGGAGAAGAAGCTAGGTGATAGGTAAATCAATAGTTATACTACCATTTGGTAAATAAAGTATTTATAGGTGAAATAATTCTCTATATACAGTCATATATCATTGAATAACAAGGATAGCTTCTGAGAAATTGTCATTAGATGATTTCATCATTGGGCAAACTCAGAAAGTATAAATAATTACACAGACCTAGATGGTATGGCTTACTACACACTTAGGCTATATGGTGTAACCTATTGTGGCTGCTGTTGTATAGAGGTCTGTCATTGAAACAGAATTATACAATGCATGACTGTAGAAATGTTCAGAGTTTTTAAATCTTTTCTGGAAGAATCCATGTTAGATGTTGTATTTACAATTCCATTGTTAAAATCTTCCTGTCTAGAATGTGTATAAGCACGACTGGGAGAAGAGTAAAGCTAAGAAATTCGACATTAAAATGGATGCCATTCCCCTGCTGGCAGCCAAGGCCAACACCAAGATCACTAGCGATGTGAGTATGCCCCAGTCTCCTGGGCAGGGAGGCTGGGAGACATTTCATGACAGGTGGAATCTGGCATGTGTGATGTCTTTGCAGGTGATGTACAAGAAAGACTATGAAAAAAGCAAAGGGAAGATGATTGGTGCCCTCAGCATTAATGATGATCCCAAGATGCTGCACTCTTTGAAGACGGCCAAAAACCAGAGTGATGTGAGTGCTTCTGTCACTCTGTCTTGTTTTCAGATATGACTATACTTACTGATTAAGGGCACCTTGGATGGGATGTTAGCCTGAATGAAATCTGAGATTCCGGATAATATGTCAAGCATGAATGCCCACTAGTAAAGCATGGTTAACTCCTGAATATATCTCTGCACTCTGAGACACTAGTGAATATTGTAAAGATTCCCTTAGTCTTCTTAATGCTCTCTGTTTTATCAGGGGGCAGTATACTAGCCATATTTTTCAAATTGTTTTTCCTGGAAATGGGTTTAATATCTCTGTATGTAAAAGCATATATTCATTCCCTTAGATGACCTGACTTAACAGGACTTTGTGAAAATACAAATAGAAAAGTAAAAGACAAGACGTGAGAAAAATCTGGCTAAAGACAAAATGGGGAAAACTGAATGAAACAAAACCCCCAAAGCAACGTATTTAATTTTAAGAATTTTATAAAATATTGATCTTATTTTAAAATATGTATTAAAAATTTGAATTCTTCACAAAATTTCTTTCCTAATCATAACAAAAGATTCTATTCTATATCATTCATAAAGTCATGTCTTTATTAAATGTGCTTTTTATTTCTATACGGTAGAATTATAGAAATGTAAAGGAATACATGTTATATGCAATAAAACAGAGAAACCATCTTTTCCTGCATTACTGATATAATGTTAAATATTAGGTCTTAGTGATAAAGAGCCTCTTCCAGGGGTGTTGTAAAATATGCTTTCATGAAATGCTGAGCTGAATACTTTTCTAGGACTGTATTAGTAGCTACAGTCCACTTTATACCTCTTATCTCATTTTATACCAACTCTTAAAAAATTCATTTTCCTTCCAACACATTCAAGAGGAAAGAATTATTTTATGAAAAAAAGTTGCTTAGACAGCAGCAATGGTGTGCTATGATTTATTCTGGATGAGAAATAATGTGATGAAAGTAACAGACATTTATGGTTATTAACAGACTAGATTATATAGGACATAAACCTCTAACATATTAATTCCATTGATTGTTTTTTTTTTTTTGCATTGTGAAAATAAACACGGAAAAAATTCAGAGTTTTTACCTTTTGGTTAAAAATATAACAATGACACAAATGACTTTTATACCATGAGGTACATTTTTCTTTGTTTGGTTATCACTGTTTGATTTTTGTCTTTTGACAGAGATTATACAGGGAAAACTATGAGAAGACAAAGGCAAAGAGCATGAATTACTGTGAGACTCCCAAATACCAACTTGATACTCTGCTGAAGAGCTTCAGTGAGGTTTGAAAGACTATGATTACTCTAGGGATTGAGGGCTTTCCTACTGTTGACAAATACTTTGTGAATTTGAGCTGCATATGTTTTCTTTTTTCAGGCTAAATATAAAGATTCTTATGTACAGAATGTTTTGGGACATTACATAGGCAGCTTTGAGGACCCATATCAAATACACTGCATGAAAGTATCAGCTCAAAACAGTGATGTAAGTTTGAAGACAATTGTTCAAGACTTGCAGTGACATTTTTTGGGAGTAATGACAGCATGATATATTTTTGTTTTTTCTTACTATAGAAAAATTACAAAGCAGAATACGAAGAAGATAGAGGGAAATGCTATTTCCCTCAGACAATAACACAAGAATATGAAGCAATCAAGAAGCTAGATAAGTGTAAAGATGTAAGTTGACTGCCCTGGATTCTTAAATGGGGTTTGGGATTCTTGTGCCATCTAGTGGTAAATATGGCAGAAGTTTAAGTGCTAGCATCTAGAGTTTAAATGCTAATAATAAGTGTCTAGCAGATGTTTACTTTTAAATTTTGATTTTTGGGTGAGGATTACAAAAATTGCTGTAAAGAAATCTATTCATTCAAAATAATTTCAGGTTTTGTAAGTTGTGGTTTTTACTCTAAAGATTTATTTATTTATGCATACAAGAGCTGGGGCATAGGCCGGAAGCATGGGGGGTGAGAGGACCAGCCAGAGACAGAGTGGGGAACAAAAAAGGCAGATTGACCAACGTACACTGCTGAGGGGAGCAGCTGGCGAGACAGGAGAGGTCTACTGCGCCATGTGGGTAGCTCCCTGGCTGGCTGAGAATCGAACTCGCACTGCAGAGGCTGAAGACAGTCTCATAAGTTGAGTCCCAACCTCCTGCGCCACCAGGGAGGCCCTGTTTTTACTTTTTTATATACACATGATTTTGAGAAAAAGGAGAACATGGAAATGTGTTAGAGATAGGTATTCATTCAGTCAACACATTTACACAAGGGGCTAGCTTATGCCAGATGCCCCCGTTGGTGTTGGGAAAGAATAGGTGATAGAGTGTGCTGCCTCTTGTGAAGTGTGCATTTGAGAGAAAGAGGCAGACACTAAACAAAGAACATAGAAACAAGAGAGATCAGACAATGATAAGGCAACTGATGTATAATAATGCTACAGAATTAAATAGGATAACATGGGATAAAGACCAAATGGACACTGTAGGCTGAGTATTCAAGGAAGTTATAAGGCAGGAATGTGCAGCTACACCAAGATCAGGTAGTGGGGGAGATAGCAGGAGAACAGCCTAAGGAAAGAGGAGCTTGGAATTTAAAAACTTGAATTGATGAGTTGGTGAATGAATGGCCCGGGGAGGAGGACAGTAATGAGAGGTAAAATGGCAGGAGATGAAAGAGGGGTAGAATAGGGCGCTTATGAATAGGGCACTTAAGCCAAAGTAGAGTTAAAATTGAATACCATATCCAGTGGAAAGTCATTGTGAACTTCAGCAGAGAGGGGGATTAATTTGGTAGCTGAGTTGGAGCAGGGAGACCGGTTTAGAAGCAACTTCAGTGGGGAGAGATTGAGAGAGAAAGCAGGGAAGGATGTGAGAGGGGATCAACAAAGTTTTCAGGAACAATTTCAGGAGCTATATTTGTCTGGAGGCTTTTTTATGTTAGTGTGTATATGAACCAGAATAAGAAGATACATTATGAAATTTCATTAAAGAACATCTTCTTTTCTAGCATACCTACAAAGTTCATCCAGATAAGACCAAGTTCACAGCTGTTACTGATTCTCCTGTACTATTGCAAGCTCAGCTCAACACAAAGCAACTTAGTGATGTAAGTCCCTTGATTCATACAAGTGTGTTTGACTCCGAATGCTTTGCCTATTTGAAACATAAACATTTACACAATTTTCACTGACTCAACTATCATCCCAATTCAAGATTTGTGTAATAAAATTAAAAAGAAGCTGCTAGATTGAATAGTAGCACAGGGGAAATTATGTGAGACAATAACAAAAATTAACTATTACCTCTTCAAGAAAGCACTAATTTTTAGTGGACATTTGTTCATTAGGACCTGTCAAAAGATCCAAAAAGATGCTTACTAAAACTTCATGCCAAGTTAAATAAACAACAAAAGCATCCACTTTGGTTGGTAATAAAACAAGTATTTCCTCTTCAAAAGTTTGCTAACAAAAAGAGCACAGAAAGACTTCAGGCAATAATGAGAAAACCAATGTAGGATGATGATATAGAATTAAAAGAGAATGACATGAAAGAATGATGGGTGGCCGTTTTATATCGGTGGTTAAGGAAGGTCCGTGGTAGAATGGTGAAGCTGTCCCAAGATCAGAGAAGAGCTGCAGTGCTTCTCAAACATTCATGATCACATGGACCACGTAGTGACTCTTGTAAAAATGCAAATTCTGATTTAGTAGGTCTGAATCTGTTCTGATTCTCTAATAAGCTCCTAAATAAAGACAATTGTGATTGGTGTGATTGGTAGACCATGCTTTGAGTGCACATCCTTGTCAAGACAGGAAAATGAAGTATACTAAGTTCTCACTTAAAGTCATGGATAGTTTTTTTGAAACTGTGACTTAAGCAAAACCATGTATAATGAAAGCAATTTTACCATAGGATAATTGATATAAGGCAGAGTTAAGTTCCCATGGCATATTTCTGGTAACAAAAACATCAAACTTCCAAATAATAACCCCAAACACTTCTAATACGCAAAAATTATTTGTAGTCATTCATTTTCCAACTTGCTTATTCTAGTTCAGGCTTATGGTTAGCCAGAGCTTAACCTGGTTACTTAGGGAGTAAAGCAGGAACCAACCCTGGACAGAACCATTTCTTTGCAGGGCACCTTTACACATACACACCCTCCCCATGTGCACTCAGACTGGAACACAACGATTCCAGTGTGCCTCCTTGGGATGTGAGAGGAAATCTGAGTAATGGGGGAAACCCATGAAGATGTGGGGAGAACATGCTTTTATGACCATTATAATAAAATGTATTGAACAAAATGGAGGTTATTCTAGGACCTGCTATATATAGTTTGTTCTATTATGCAAAGTGTTTTAGTAACACGATTAGCTCATATGCAATTGGTCAAAAAAAAGAAAATGGTGTCAGTATAATCCAGAAATCGTCTAGGTTCATGTGCAACATTTCCTATCATCTTAATATTTTGAGTCACAAGAAGGAACAGCAGCCTAGATATTAACATCACTGACCCAAATGAACTTGACTAGCTGCAGAGGAATACCATGCTCTATCGAGGTCCCTACCACCATGCTCTCTTCTCATTGAACTGTTTATGTTCTGTTTTGAAGGTGCTTATAAGCACAGTTCTCTATCTTGAGTATCAAGAGCTGTATTCCCTCTTTCCATTCCCATCCTATGACCTACTGTCATCTTTCTAAATATTAAATAAACTACTATCTTTTATAAATTTAATAATATATCTTTAAACTGTGCTAGTATTTTATTTTGAATTACTCTCATTTTTTTTTTTAATAATAAATTTTATTTTTATATTCCCCCATACAATTGCAAAAGCCCCATTCTGACCCCAATCCTTCCCTTCCCACCCCCCACCCCAAAAAGTGTCTCTGGTTCATAGTTTTTTGTTGATTTTGATTTTCACTTTCTTATATTCATTTTCCTGGTCCCTTATTTAAGTTTTCTAGATTCCTGCTATGAGTGAGACCATCCGGCATTTTTCTTTTTCTTTTTGGCTTATTTCACTGAGCATGATCCCTTCCAGCGCCATCCATGTTGCTGCAAATTGCATGTGTTTATCTTTTTTGAATGCTGAGTGAATTACTCTCATTTTTATTAGTGCTCTGATTACAGAATTTCATAGATTTTGAATGTTCATGTCTTTGTGAAACAGTCTAGACGTTTAAATCAGTGAGTTTTATTTTTTTTAAAGATTTATTTATTTATACAAGAACTGGGATACAGTCAGAGGTGTAGGAGGGTGAGAGGATTCACCAGAGACAGAGTGGGGAGCAGTACAGGTAGATGGACCAAAGACACTGTTGAGGGGAGCAACGGGCGAGGCAGGAGAGGTCTGCTGCGCCTTGTGGGTTTCTCCCTGGCTGGCTGGGAATCGAACCCACGCTGCAGAGGCTGTGGACAGACTCACAGCACTGCTCAACCCACTGCGCCACCAGGGAGGCCCTAAATCAGTGAGTTTTACTCATATACATTGTGACAGCATTTTCAAAATGACAACCTGAAGTTTGCTTATTCTGCAATTTCTGATGAGTGAGTGACAATCTGGACCTTGTGCTGAACTTTGATAGGATTGACTATTTCTTTGAAGCATTTTTCTAAAATGAGTAGTAATCACTTAGCCATATATAATCTCTTCGGTAAATTGAAGTTCTTACTCTAAACTGTTTGGCCATCCTCTATTGTTTTTCAGCTAAATTACAAAGCAAAACATGAAGGTGAAAAGTTCAAGTGTAATGTACCAGCAGATGCACCACAGTTTATCCAACATAAAGTCAATGCCTATAACTTGAGTGATGTAAGTACCAAATCCACAAAAACCTTTGTTTGTATGCACGTGCAAAGAAATGTTATATGTGTTATAACAGACTAGATTAAGAGTTATGCAAACTAACAATAGAGATTATTACCAGATGATAAATGTAGCTTTTAAGGCCTAAATGCTCTAAGGCTCTTACTTATGTAAGATTTCATTTTCCACTGTCTTGTTACCATTGGGAACACTTTCAATTACTTCTCTACTAATTCCTAGAGCTTTATAGGATCGCTTGTTTGTAAATGTTACATGTCATCTTCTCTAAGTGGGATTCATTTTATATCATCCTTTACACATTAGAATAGCAGAGTCTTTGGAAAGGTCACAGGTTATTAGCAAAATTATATTTATTAGGGGGTGGGGAGAAGAAGCTAGGTGATAGGTAAATCAATAGTTATACTACCATTTGGTAAATAAAGTATTTATAGGTGAAATAATTCTCTATATACAGTCATATATCATTGAATAACAAGGATAGCTTCTGAGAAATTGTCATTAGATGATTTCATCATTGGGCAAACTCAGAAAGTATAAATAATTACACAGACCTAGATGGTATGGCTTACTACACACTTAGGCTATATGGTGTAACCTATTGTGGCTGCTGTTGTATAGAGGTCTGTCATTGAAACAGAATTATACAATGCATGACTGTAGAAATGTTCAGAGTTTTTAAATCTTTTCTGGAAGAATCCATGTTAGATGTTGTATTTACAATTCCATTGTTAAAATCTTCCTGTCTAGAATGTGTATAAGCACGACTGGGAGAAGAGTAAAGCTAAGAAATTCGACATTAAAATGGATGCCATTCCCCTGCTGGCAGCCAAGGCCAACACCAAGATCACTAGCGATGTGAGTATGCCCCAGTCTCCTGGGCAGGGAGGCTGGGAGACATTTCATGACAGGTGGAATCTGGCATGTGTGATGTCTTTGCAGGTGATGTACAAGAAAGACTATGAAAAAAGCAAAGGGAAGATGATTGGTGCCCTCAGCATTAATGATGATCCCAAGATGCTGCACTCTTTGAAGACGGCCAAAAACCAGAGTGATGTGAGTGCTTCTGTCACTCTGTCTTGTTTTCAGATGATAGCGTCCTTCCAATGCCTGATGGCAGTGGCATGTACGGGGATTCCATATCCTTGGGCTCTCTCAGATTCACAACAACCATCTACATCTACTTTGCTAGTAGAATGGTTCCTCAGATTCTTGTACCTCTCTCATTTGAGGAGAGAAATTACTAGTTTGTACTTGATGTCTATTGAATTTTGAGAAAAGTAGGTGCTAGTAATTATTGACTGTAATTCTCATCACATTTTGGAAAATGTCACTGCATGCTCATATTGACTTCTAGTTGAAAATAACTTTTAAAATGATTATTTTAAAATCATCTTTATTTTGGAAGAAAATCATGAGTCACAGATAAAAATCTCAGTATAGGGCCTCCCTGGTGACCTAGGGTTAAGTCTCGGCACTATCACTACTGTGTCCTGAGTTCAATTTCCAGCTAGGGAGCTAACCCACATATGGTGCAGCGGACCTCTCTTGTCTTGCCCACTGCTCCCCTCAGCAGTGCATTTTAGTAGATCTGCCTGTCCTGCTCCCAGGTCTGTCTCTGGTGAATCTTATCCCCCTGTACCTCTGGCCTGCACCCCAGTTCTATTAAAAAAAAAATCTCGGTATATCTATCTGTCATTGTTCTTTATTGATTTTAGTATTAGTATTGGAGTAGGATCAAATGAAAAATTCTTTTGATTGTAAGTTCCTTAAAGAATCTGATGAAAGATTTGGAACATCTATCTAGAATAACTAGGTTCTTTTCATGCATGACCTTCATAGAATTCATGGATTCTCTGATGCTTATCTGTGGGCCATGCACCATCTTGTGATTACAATTCTTAATATAGGAAGGCAAACACCAACTACTGCAAGTTTTACTACATACTGTTTTTAAAATGTTTAGAGACTTTTAAAGTGGTAAGAATATTCAACAATATTCAGATATTAGTTTGTTTCACTTTAACCATATGTTTACATCGTGATCCACACATACCCTTTTAACTCATTTTATATTTACTATATAATGACTTTCAACATTCCACTTGGTAATTTTCTTTATTAACTTCACTACAAATTATGTCAGTATGTAGTGCACAAATACATAATACACAAATGCATAATACCTGTTCTCTAATTCCTTCTCCATTATAAGAACATTGTAGTTCTTAGTTTATAGTGTGTCTTTTATCTTGGGTTGTTAGACCACAGTAGAACCTATTGAAACCCTAGGTACATAGCAAGTTTTCAATGAATATTTGCTAATTGATTGATGGTGATAGCCAAAAGAAATAGTTAATGGTAAATGATTCTCACATAATATCCAGGCAAAATGCTAAGTGGCAGATGTAGACCACTGTTAGCTTTTAAAAAGAGCTTTTTGAAGTCATTTGGCTCTAACAACATTTTATATGTGCAGGTATGACCAGGAGTAAACAAATCAAGCAATTTAGCCAAAACACCTCTCTCTAAACACTGCTGGTACAACACTGTTTGATCAATATTGTATTATTTCTAATAAAGACAAATGGTCTGTATTTTTTTCACTGTTCTTGCAGGCCACCAGAAAGTTTCCATATTTTCAATTATTTTACAATTAGGTGAGAGTGACTACCCACAAAATATTAGAAGGAAGATCACATTCCTTAAGAAAGCTAAAAGATTGGATCATTTGCCAAAGGACTGTCTCTAGAAGATTTATAATGCTCATTTATACTTGCTAACTTGGGTCACTCTCTTTAATACTTATGTGATTATGAGAAGGCATAATGACTTCAGAATTTTTCTAAAGTCACAGGGTTAGTTTTTTTTCTCTCTGTTAAAATAATTGGTGAGTAGACATGATGAAGCTGTGTTTGACCTAATTAGTACCATTCCTATCCATTCCAGAAAATTAGTCAATAAAAGTGCTTTGTGAGACCCAGTCAGTACATTTGGTTTATGAGAACACTGCACATAAGGGCTAAGATTACTTTAATAACTCAGTTTCATAAACTTTTCTCCTTTGAGATTTTATAATGACTGTAATCTTAAATTTCCTTTAAATTGTTGCCAAAATTAAATTTGGATGAAAAAAAAGTATGGACTTCTCAATGGGCTTTACCTACTGTCAAAAATAGAATGGTCAGTTTGAAAAGTCAGTGCCTAACCATTTAAAGGTGATTTTATGAAAGCCAAGAAGTCACGTGTACAGCTCTATTTATGAAGCAGCCATTTTATAACATCAGAAATGTGAAATAATTATCACATATTTATCAATTAAAAAGTACTTTCTTATTGGCAGTACTAACTCTTTAAAGGTTAGATTACCTTAGTAGAAGTAATATTTGTTAGTGGTCTTTGAAGAACTGTCTTTTAAAATAAAATAATATCTGACTGAAGCAGAAGCAGTTACCTACCTATTCCTAATGTCTGATGATTGCTCTTTGATAAGAAATCTCTTTGATCTAAAAAAGAGATTTGAGAAGATCTATCCATGTATGAATTTTTTTGGGGGGGGGGTCAGATTCAGTGATGTCTAACATAAACAAATTTTAGAAAAAAATTACTATCCAGCTCTTCAGATCTGTTTCCTTAACACATATTTATTGTTTAGAGAGATCTCTGTTCTTAATGGAAATCCATGCAAAATGTATAGTAATAAATGGTAATTTCCTATTTGTAGCGTGAATATCGTAAAGATTATGAAAAGTCAAAAACAATCTACACGGCACCTCTTGACATGCTCCCAGTCACTCAAGCTAAGAAATCTCAGGCAATTGTCAGTGATGTGGACTATAAGCACATCTTACACAACTACAGCTATCCGCCTGACAGCATCAACATGGACCTTGCAAAGAAGGCTTATGCACTGCAGAGTGATGTAAGTACCCAGATTTCCCCATTCCGTCTTTAGAAAGCAGAAACTGAAAGGAGTTTCTAAAATGAGTGATGCTTTTGGCAATTCTCAGAGATCACTGCATTGTCTACTGTATATGGCAATGGAAAATGGGAAAATTACCCTTGTGGTTCTCTAAGAGTTAGAGGGACTTGCTATAGCATACACCTCATCATTGCTTCCCTTTGGAAAATGTATCAGCCTTGCTGAATCTAGAATTCCCACTTGTAAATCTGGGAAAAAAACAAAGTAGTTGTTTTGGGGATTTATATGCATGCTAAATACCCAGTGTGGTGCTAGGTCCTGCCGGGTTCTCAATAAACATTCAGTGTTACGATCATCACCATTATGATAATCATCCCATTCTTCATTACCAATATTTTTAACATAGATTGTTAGCTTGTCTGAAAATAAAATATCATTTACAATATCAATTTTTGTAACACCTGTTTTTTTCTGTGGCTCAAAACTTCTTCATGTAAATTAATTTGCTGAGCTATGCCATTGAACAGTTTATCCTAACAACTCTCTAGTTTTTAATGTGGTGAAATGCACATAACAAAAATTTGCCATCTTTACCATTTTAAAGTCTACATAAAATTAGTGCAGTAGCAGTTCTTTATATATACACTGAGATTACAAGTCTCTAGAGCTTTTTCATCTTGCAAAAAGGAAACTCTACACATGTTAAGCAACTTCCATTTCCTCCTCCTCTTAGCCACTGACAACCACCCTTCTTCTTTCTGTTTCTATGAGTTGGACTGCTTTGTAGACCTCATAGAAATAGAATCACATAGTATTTGTCTCTTTGGGATTAGCTTATTTCACTTAGCCTAATGACCTCTAGGATCATTAGTGCAATAGCCTGTGTCACAATTTTCTTCTTTTTGGGGTTGAATAGTATCCATTATATGTATATACCACAATTTTTTTTTATCCATCCCCCTGTCAGTGAACATTTGGGTTACTTCTATTATTTGGCTACTGTGGCTCATGCTGCTGTGAACATGGGTATGTAAACATCTCTTTGAGAGCCTGCCTTAAATTATTTTGAGTATACACTCAGAAGTGGAATTGCTAGATTATATGGTAAATATATTTTCAGTTTTTTGAGGAACAATCATACTGTTTTCCACAACATATGTATAAGTTTATATCCCCACTACTAATAACTCCATTTTGTGCATTGTTATTTAATTTTGTGATTTCTTTCTCCCTCCTAAATATATCATAAGCCTTGAAAGGAAGGAACCAAATGGCAGCTTGAATTTTCATTCCAATTAAAGATCCATACTACAGATTTATGATTTGAATTCTGTGTAAAGAGTCTACCACCTATGGCCAGGCAGGAGTAGTTCATTATTTTAATAGCATCAAGTAACTGTGCCCCAATAAAACAAATTCCAAATGATAACTGCTCTCCACAAGAAATTAGTAAGTGCAACTAATTTAAAGTGCACTGTAGCCGGTGTAGACACACTGTCACGATGACCACACATGAAAGGCATGCATACCATGCACTAACTGGTCTCTTTTCTTATTTCATCAGAAAATGAACAAAATTACCCACTTTCAAGGTGACTTTCAGTCTTAATTTGACCATAGAAACATCACACTTTAAGACTACTAGTGACTGAACAGCTCTTATTTGACTATCTAAATATACCAATTTTAGTTACTCCTTGAAATACAGCTTTGAATGTAGCATTTGTCCAGATTGGAATTAAAGCTCCACATACTTTCATTACATTGGAAATAAAGATGAAATGGAACATCTGCCAATCACAAGAAGAGCAAAAACCTAATGATTATTAAAATCTTTCAGAAGGAAATATCTAAAATAAACAATGTATGGAGTGATAAAGTGTGGTCAGAAATATTAAAAGCAATACATTGGGCAAAGAAATTTAACCTTTCTCTTGGTGTTTTAGGTTGAATATAAGGCTGACTACAACAGCTGGATGAAAGGCTGTGGCTGGGTGCCTTTTGGGTCCTTAGAAATGGAAAAGGCGAAGAGAGCTTCAGACATCCTTAATGAGGTAAAACCAGTGTGTGTGTGTGTGTGTGTGTGTGTGTGTGTGTGTGTGTGTGTGTGTGAGAGAGAGAGAGAGAGAGAGAGAGAGAGAGAGAGAGAGAGAGCAGATAAGCATACTCTTTTCGGTCACTCAAATTAGTTACATTTACCACTCATGATGGACATATTCTCTAACAACTTAATAAGGTATGATTTGTATAACAAAATTCACCTATTTTAGCTGTACATCTTCACAAGTTCTCATAAATGCATATAATTGTGTCATCCCTACAATTGAATTTTAAAATCCTGCTAGTACCTCAAAAAATTTCCCTTGAAAAATTCCCATTCCCATCTTCAATCCCAAGCAAACACTGATCTGCCTCTTCTGCTTTACTAGAAATTTCTTTTGTATCAGGAGTCTTTCATTTAGTATAATGTTTTTGAGGTAACTATGGATACATAGTTGTATATGTTTCTTCTGTAATTCATTCCCTTTTATTCTTGAATAGTACTCCTTTGTGTGACTATGTTTCATTTTTGTTGCCCTGTTGGTGGACATGCAGATTTTCCCCCAATATTTCTGATTATGAATAATGCATCTAATGAATTTACAGACATTTTCTTTGAAATACTATACTATATGTATTATTGAAGTACTATTACTCTATGTATTATTCTTGATGACTGTGAAGGAGTATATGAATTATTATTCAATCTAGAAAAAACAATATATCCCATTGTTGTGAAGTGACTCTGTCTCTGTCATCAAAGAGGTTAGACTACAGGAAGAAGGGACAGAGGCTCTGAATGAAGGCTGTCTTCACATTCAAGTTTCTTTTTTTGTTCTTGTTTTGTGCTTTTGTTCAGTTTTGATGAAAACTGACCTATCTACTCAGAAATCTTTGAGAATAAGATCTCCTGGGATAGTGGTTTTCAGAAATTTGAAGTTGAAAGACTGATGCACACACACAAAAGTGGGATGTATAGTGTGCACAAAGGAAGAGGACTGGGAGAATAAATGGTGAAGATTGTGGGAATAAGAGTGGCTAGAATTTGCCAACTCCAGTTGGATACTTCCCTTTGTCATCCTCCTGTGCTTGCTCAACTCTGTAGTGATAGCATATGGATTAGCCACTTTAAGTCATATGGATTTAGCCACAAAGCAAAATCCTTCCTCTCTAATTAATAATCTGTAGTTATTACCCTTGTTCCTCACTTCTGCCTCCCTTGTCTGGAGAACTTCTTTACTTCAGTTGCTGATGAAATGACAGGGAGAATGACATCCCTGAGAACTTGTTACTGTCATAGAAATATATTCCTTCAGTCCTTGTTTGTTTTTCTTAGTCCTTTAGAAGAAAACACTGTGATGCTTCTAGATTCTGCTTAGCTAAGAGTGCCCTCTTTTATGTCATAAGAAAGAAATTAAGAGTCAAATCTGGTTCCTAAAAGCTGTATTGGTCTGCCCTGCCCCCCAACAGTGCAAAGTTAAACTGATATTTTTAAAGATTCACTTTTGTATGATATTCATTTTCCCCCACATCAACCAAAAATCTAATACTTTTATATTTTAATTTAGAGAAATTCTTGTCCCCCCCTTCAAAATAAATTTCTAGGGTTTTGACAGATTAGCCCTCAGTGAAAATAACACTATTTTTGCTTTTTATTTCACCAAACAGAAAAAATACCGTCAACATCCAGATACTCTCAAGTTTACTTCAATTGAAGATGCTCCGATTACAGTACAATCTAAAATTAACCAGGCCCAAAGGAGTGATGTAAGTGTTAATCCTATTTGTATTTTAATAAATACTAACTATAACAGTTATATTTGTATTCTATATGTATCAATCACCTGTAGTTATTATTGAGACTCAATTACATGAACAATTGTGTTACTCTTCCAGCTTTTCATTTAAAAAAAACCTCACAAGATTCATATGTTTATAGTATTGAATCATTGTGCTGACTGTCCTGTCAGCCACTGACATTGCTTTTCAAGGAAAACATAAGAGGCTTCTCTGGTTGACAAGAAGCACTACAAGCCTATTTCTAGGAAAGACCAGGAAAATTACCATAGGCACAACATCATATGGAAGAGTTATATTTTAAGTCAGAGCTAAGACAAAAAAAACATATATCATAAAAAATACCCCCAAATCCCTTCAGTCACCCACAAAGTATAGATGGTGGTGTATCCTACACTATCAGCCTTGCCTATGCTTGGGAAAGTCTCTGCAGGTTAACATTCTCATCCAGTCACCTCCCTAAGTCACCTCCATAAGGTGCCCTACGTAAGTCCAGATGCTCCTAGTGCATGTCTAGGGAACTTTGTCAAGGAAAATTCAGCACTAAGATAGGACCTTTTGCAATTGTATAAAAACCTTAAATATACAAATATTTCCAGATGAACATAGCCATCATGCAGACTGTCTTTAGTAAAAAGGACCTCTGTGCCATGGGATCCGCTTTCAAAATATTTTCCTGTGTCATTAAATCATTCCTCCTACATTAATTATTTCTTTGTTTGTTTATGAGTTTTTCTTTTCTTCCAGATTGTCTATAAAGCCAAAGGAGAGGAAATGCTTCACAAATACAGCCTTCCAGCAGACCTGCCCCAGTTTGTTCAGGCTAAAGTTAACGCCTACAATATAAGTGAGGTACGCACATGAGCTTGACTGCTGATTGCCTGGTAAGCCTTTACTAAATGTGGTCTGAGTTACATCCAAATGCCATTTTTCTTTCAGAAAATGTACAAAGCAGACTTGAAAGATTTGAGCAAGAAGGGATATGACCTGAGAATTGATGCGATTCCCATCAAAGCTGCCAAAGCTGCCAGGCAGGCAGCAAGTGACGTAAGTCCAGCCATTGGTCACCTGTATGCCATCAGGAAATGGGGGTGGGTGACCTCTGGTTGGGTTGTTTATCCAAAAGTCACCACAAATGTCATCTCTGACTAGAAACAGGTTTGGTTGAAACTATTTAGAAAGGAAAGTTCTGAATTTTATGGTGGTAAGAATTTCTATAACCTTTACTGAACCATTCTAATCAAGCCTCTAATTTAAATTATCACCTAATTTCTCTTGTGGAAATAAACAAATTGCTATTTTTACGTCATAATAACTTACAGATGGTGAAATTTTATCTCAAAACTTGCTTAATTTATATGAATTCTTCTCTCCTTTTTCAGTCTTTATTCTACATTACTGCTACAGATTAAGCCTAATAGTCAGTGATGAGGTTCTATTACAATTAGGAATTTTGTTTCTTTTCCTAACTTTAACCCAGATGTGAACTGAAGTCACTTAGCTCTGTGAGAGTAAGTTGACTCAAGCCTCCCCCAGTTATTCTGGTGACTTTTTCAGATACTCTGTGTTTGTTGTGCTGACCACCTGTGGCTCCTGGTCTGTATACAATGGTTTTTCTCTGACTTCCTGGACCCTCCTCACCTGGGTTGACTTCCTTTTCTGCTCTGCTATTCTATATATGAAACACAGCCCCTTCCTTTTGATTTTTTCTCCCCACTCCCAAGCACAATTTCATTGGCTGTTTGAAATGAAGTTTACAGAGCACCAATGTAAATACATTACAATTAAATGATAAATGTCCATGTTCAAAATGCCTTGCTCCAGAATTTCTCACAGATTCCAGTTCTCAATAGGTTTTCTGCTCTAGCTACATCCAACCCCAACATACACACAAATCAGCCCTCAAATCTCTGCTTCTGAGCTTCCCAGTTTTCTCCCCAAGGAAACTCACTTTTTCTCCCTTTATTATTCAGAGCCAATTAGTTTTAACATACAGTTCACTCTGGGTCACCCTTTGAATAGCCAAAGATTCATGGAAATTCTACTACTCTGAATATACTACTACAACTACTACTCCTATGTTGCTGTTACAATTCTATTACTAATCAAATAGACTGCTACTTTTCAATGGTATGAATTATGGTAACTCCCTTACCCCAAATCTCTCTCAAGTGGCAGAAGCAACTACGCAATCAAGTGTGCTCTGATATTTTTTTCTACCAGTGTACATTTTATGTATGTGCAAGAATATCTAAAAGTTTATTGAAATAAAATAATTTCTGGGGAAGTTTAATTGCTTCTAATATGATCTCATTTTTTGGGTAAAATCTTCATAACTATTGTTAAAAATATGTCCACCTTTATTTCCAACAGGTTCAGTACAAAAAAGATTTTGAAAAGGCCAAAGGGAAAATGGTTGGCTTTCAAAGTCTCCAAGATGATCCTAAACTGGTTCATTATATGAATGTGGCCAAGATACAATCAGAACGGGAATATAAAAAAGACTATGAGAAGACAAAAACTAAATACAACACGCCCCATGACATGTTCAACGTTGTTGCAGCTAAGAAAGCTCAGGATGTTGTCAGCAATGTAAACTATAAGCATCAACTCCATCATTACACCTATCTGCCTGATGCCATGGACCTGGAGTTGTCTAAAAATATGATGCAAATACAGAGTAATGTAAGTGACATTTACTCCACATGACAACCCAAAGATCAGAGACTGCCTTGAGAGAACCCACTGCCTTGGGAACTCACCCCTCTTTTTCCCTTTTGTTGTAGAATGCCTACAAGGAAGACTATAATACCTGGATGAAAGGCATTGGCTGGGTACCTATCGGCAGTCTTGACGTAGAAAAAGTTAAGAAAGCAGGTGATGCCCTGAATGAAAGAAGTACAGGCAACATCCAGACACCCTCAAATTCACCAGTATCGTGGACTCCCCAGTTATGGTCCAGGCAAAGCAAAACACACAGCAAATCAGTGATGTAAGTATAACAAAAGAGGGAGAGCACAGAGGGAGGGGCTTAAATGAGAGTAAACATCAGCTCAGAGTTTTGATTCTTCTGAGCCAATATCATTTCCTTTAAAATTATTATTGTATTAAGAATGGCAGTCATTTTTAGTTTAGGCACTATAAGTTTCAGTTTTCTTCCATCTTGCCTTCTACCTTCCTTTTTAAAGCACTTGGTCCTCTTCCACTACCTTTGAAATTCTGAATCCTGGATAAATTTGACATGCTGCAAAAAGTTCTGCTTGACATGCACACAAACAAAATTTAAGCTGACACCTAGATACTTTGTTATGGCAAATTAATCATATTTAATTCAATATTAAATTGATCACATTTGGTTTTATATGTAAGATGTTAGTACAAGGAAATAATGCACATGACTATATGATTTTGCTCATCAGAATGCATCATACACAATTACTTCAGGGACTTTAAAAAATATGTTGGTGAAGATTAGTATATTGTCTGCCTGTCCATGAGCAATATCAATGCTCTGGCTGTGTCATGTCTAAAGGGAAGTTTGATGTAAAGGAGAGTCAAAAGTTTTCATTCATTAATTCATTGAATGAATGTTTTTGAGCTCCTTCCAAGTATTATGTGCTGATGGTATAAAGCTGAAAAGAGGAGGATTAGAGGGATATAGAATATAATAAGAATTTACATGAGAGTATAAGACAAAGGCATGGATAGAAACATAGTCATTTAGGGCCTCCCTGGTGGCGCAAGGGGTTGAGATGCAACCTATGAAGTTATCCGCAGCCACTGCAGCACAAATTCGATCCCCGGGCAGGGAGCTAAGCCCATAGTGCAGCATACCTCTCCCGCTACTTCCCTCAGCAGTGTATTTCAGTCACTCTGCCTGTTCTGTTCCCCATTCTGTCTCTGGTGAATTCTCTCACCCCCCACACACCTCTGGCCTGTACCCCAGTTCTTGTATACATAAATAAATAAATATTAAAAAAAAAACACAAGAGTCAATTAGGGAGAAGAATGCTATAGGAGAGGCAAGTGCTAACTAAGTACAAAGAAAGCAGGTAACAGCCTACCAGAGCTTCCCTGATAATAAGGGAAGAGCATTTTCCTGGTCAAAGGGTGTATGTTGATGGTCAAGGAACAATGAATGGAAGGATAGTGAAGGGTTCAGGATTGTAATATGATCATTGAGGAGCGTAAAAGCTATTTTATAGAGTCTGGATGTTATGGAGTAGGTAATGAGAGGTGCTGAAAAATTTTAATCTAGAGAGTTCATTATCAAATTTGAATTTTAACAGAAAACTGGCAAAGTGCAGAGACTAACAGAAGAGAGATTGTAGGCAAAGAGATGAATTAGAAAGCTGTTAGAGAAATCCAACAGAAAGCTTATTTGGATTTCAACTAAGACAGAAGTAATGGGAAAAAAAGATGTTTAGAAGGTAGATGTTTAGAAGGTGGATTCTGTTAATGCTTAGATGTGATTTCTAATGGCAGTGAGGAATTAAAGATTTTTGGCGCCCTTTTTGGAAACACACCATTTGGCATGATCCTGAGAAGACCTGAAATAAGATTGTCCTGATACCTTAATTGCTTTGACATTGTAGACATGGTAAGGAAGGGAGCAGTTTGAAGGAAGCTCTTGTCTCTTCCGCTGCCAGGTTTCTGTTAACAAGTGTGTCTTCAACCACTGAGCCATCCAGGCTGCAAAGATGTCTAGAGTTTATAAGAAGAAATATAGTAAGTTTAGTATTTATACTTAGATAAGTCTCTGAAAATATCCTCTGGAATGGAAATCATTAACTGCTGATATGTGGATGTCATGCACACATTAATAAGAACATAATTGAGATAGTGAATGGGAGAACATTTTGTAAACACTAAGGTGATATGCAAATAAAAGTTATTATCATCATTACTATGATGAAAAAAAAAAAAAAAGATAACTTTTGGGTTCCTAGGAGGAATTGTTTAGCATCGAGGGATTTATTTAGATACCATTCATTCCTGACTTTACTTGTGATATATGATGTTTCACATCGGCATGGGGGAAATAGGGGTATATCTGGCAATGATAATTAAGAAATGAAAATATATTTGTGATTCTGGTTCTGTTTTATAACAGTTTTAGAAATTTAATAATTTCTTTTCCATTACCAAGGGACAGTACAATGTGATTTCTGTATCATATTCTTTGATGTCTTTCAAACATTTTTAAAATGACAAAAAAGTATAAATATGAAATGGTAAACTGGATTTTAATTAAGAGTTAAAAACAAAAACTCAAGACTTTAAGAACCATTTATTCCACTAGCAATGAATAAATTTTTCTGGCTTTGGCAAATTGTTATTCATATTGGGGTTTCATCTTTGAACTTATTTTCCACTCATCTCTGCCAGGCAAATAATTCTATTTTCTGAAGCATTTTCTGTTTTAACACATAGAGTGCTGGATATTTCTAAAATAACAAGAAGCTTGAATTTCTTAAAAAGAGGAAAATATCTGATAATTTTTAATAATACAAATAGCGGTGGGTTGTGCTGGAAACAGCTCTTTAAGCATTCAGCTAATGTATTTCCCTTTTTGTTCTATCAGTAATGAACTTTATTTTTATGACTATGTGTTGCAGATCTTATACAAAGCTAAAGGAGAAGATGTAAAACATAAATACACAATGAGTGCTGATCTTCCTCAGTTTGTACAGGCCAAGTGCAATGCTTACAATATAAGTGACGTAAGTAAGGTCTTTGGGTATGTGAAGTCCGGATGTGATTAAAATAATAATAGAATTTTAGAATAGGATAGGGTCTTGAAAATTTTTAGGTTAATTTCTCACATGTACCAGTTGGAGTGTATCCTGTGATAATTATTCTCTCTTTCTTGAGTCTAACTTTTCAAGGGTAGGCAACTCAAAAAGATAAACATTCTTTTTTACAAAGAGTCCAACATCTATTCCTCTAAAACTTTGACTTAGTTTTCCTATTGTATATGTGGAGAAATATATTATCCTCTAGAAAACTAAGAGTAAATGAATTTTTTTTACAACAAAATTTTTAAAGTAGACCACCAGGTTTTCCCTGGACCTTTTTTCCACAAGATTGATGGACAACTGGCTTTTGTCTAATTGGTCTTTACAGGCTGTGCTTTCAGAACATTTATTACTTCCTCTGGGTCCATTCCAGCATTCCAAGATCCTTCATCAGTATGAGTCACAATCAAACTTTGGTGAATAATTAGTGTAGAGTTCAATAATTTCATGCTACACAAAATGTGACATTTTGCTAAGGTGCTATCCTAAAACAGCATGTTGTATGGGTGATTCCTTTAGTTATTATCTGAAAAATAATGAAATACTTCGAGCAGTTGAGGAACAATTTTGCCAATTAATACCCAGCATGCTGACATCCTTTCTCCTTTCCCATCGCAGGTCTGTTACAAACGGGACTGGCATGATTTAATAGCCAAGGGCAACAATGTGATGGGTGATGCTATTCCCATTGCTGCAGCCAAAGCATCAAGAAACATTGCGAGTGATGTGAGTAAAAATTTTAGGTGCAATCTCGGTGATTTTGCCCTTTATTTATTTATTTATTTTTGATTTTGCCCTTTTAAAATGTAACCAAATGTGTGTTTGTGTAAATGATACCACATTGAAAACAATATGTGAATTAATGACACTCAAATTCTATACAAAATATTGTTTAGAAAACCTGTCACTTTTTTAACATTTCTATAATTCTTTTCAAATCAACTCCACATGGTAGAGCTGTCATAATCTGACAGCTGCTTTTTCCCCAGATTTAGAGCCCAAATTACCTTCACTAGTACATTTCCCTGACAGCTCACATTCATTTTCAGTGGGAACACCCTGAGTGACAACTAACATGTTAAATTCAGATGACTACCTGCATTATAATTGTACTAAGAAGATTGGAAGTTTGCTATATTTATGAAATGTACAAATTTTATAAGCCAAATGGGTGAAAAGTTTACTTTCCTAGAATGTAATTTTGATTTAGGTATGTTATGGACCATTTCATCTATAATAGAAAATATGTACACTTATACTTCTTCCCATGATTGAATAACAAAATTTCAAAAACACACATGTCCTATGGACTTCAATGTCACACATTATTTCAGGGGGCTAAGAACAATCCCCTGGGTTTGAGAAAGGTGATGAAACCACCTATGTGCACAGACCACATGGGAGGGAGAGGTGTAAGAATTCTCCAGCTTTCCTTGTTGGGATGGATGGTAGTGAAAATGTGTTCCTCAAACATTTGTCCATAATTTGAAACATATTTCCAGTTTAAGGTGAAAGTCTAAGATATGATTTTTTTGCGCCAGCTTTTTAAAACATGCCTAGAAATTACTTGATAATACTTTCTCCTGCCAAACCTTTGTTTATAAATCAGTGCTTAAATGGCAAGAGCAGAGTGTCTACAGAGTTTATGTGCATTTGAATTTTCTTGAATAACAACTGAAGTTTGACCTATTAGAGTGTAGCTTACTCTGCAGCCCATTGCTGGCCCTGCAGAGCTTTGAGTTAGGCTTTTCCTAGGAAAGCCCACAGCAAGCAGTTCCTGCCCTTATCTTAGGTCTTTGTAGCATCCCCTAAGCTCTTCCAGCAGTGAGTTTTGAAGAGTAGTTACTGAGAAAGGGTCAAGGGAAGGCCCAATTCCCTGCCTATGCAGCACTTTAATTGATGCTACCTAGAAAGAGGAGGGTTTTTGTTTTAGCCTATTAGGTAAACTTGAGACAACAGCACAGTACTGTTTTCCAGCCCCACCCCAAGAAGATATGTAGGTCAGTTTTGTGTTGGGTGCTTCAGAATTTCTTCTGCACTTGTTATGTATGAGGCCAATGGGAGCAGAAAATGGAAAATTTTCTCGAGAATTTCTAATATTCCATAATGTGAAATAACATACTGGATTTTGAAAATTCACATCCCTGGAAAATCAAGAGACATCCTTCTCATATTTGGAATGTGTTATATTTATATTGTGTGAAAATTCAGTTGTCTTTAAAATTCTATGTGCCAATCATCTACAGGAAAACAAAGTCATTCTATATTTATAATCCAGAAGAATATGAAGTAAATATTTTCATTCTGAATTTTCAAGGGTGGAGGGATGTGGTTTGCATTCCTTGTAAAATCTTCCAGAAAGTCACAATGTTCTAAATGTGTGTGAATATAATTGCTGTACTTAATGTTATCAATGCTTAGGACTTTGTTAACCAAATTCTGCCTCCACAGTATAAATACAAGGAAGCTCATGAGAAGTCAAAGGGAAAGCATGTGGGGTTCAGAAGCCTCCAAGATGATCCCAAGCTGGTCCATTATATGAATGTAGCAAAGCTACAGTCTGACCGTGAATATAAGAAGAACTACGAGAACACTAAAACTAGTTACCATACACCTGGGGACATGGTTAGCATTACAGCTGCAAAGATGGCCCAGGATGTTGCCACCAATGTCAACTACAAACAGCCAATACATCACTACACCTACCTACCTGATGCCTTGAGTCTTGAGCATACCAGGAATGTGAACCAAATTCAGAGTGATGTAAGTATGCAAAACCTAACTCAGAGATTTTGTACATAGGGTTGGTCATTTCTCTCTACTTCAGTTGCCTTCACAATATACAAGGTATTTGAAAAATTCACTTTAAAATAAATGATTGTTACTGAGGGCTAACAAAGGCATGGTAGACAAGTTGTGTTTTGCTGGTTTCTTGTGCTCCTATTTTAATTGCTGACATTGTCTTTATTAACTTCTGTATCAAAAATAACACTATATTCCACTAAATATAAAGCCACCTTGATTCCCAGCAAGAGGAAATGGCAGGCCCCTGATGGGCCTGGTTCAGTGTTGATAACTATATTGAAAAATAGGAGCATTCTCTATTTTTTTCTGAATTTAAGAGTTGTTTTTTTTCTACCCAAGATTACACTCTCATCTATGTAAATCTATGTAATGAGTCATCTAAAATGAACCAGGGAGGCTGTGTGTGATTGCAGCATGATTCATGGAGAGCTGCATGGGGAAAGTGCTTAATATTCAAGACATTTCTTTCTGCAGGAGCCAGATTTCTGTGGGAATCATCTTCTGTAAAGGGAGGAAATGGTGTTTACTTATTGTCACTCAATGAAAATATACCCCTCTCCCCAAAGGAGATCAGGAATAGCTTAGGTGAACAGTATGGGTGAAATTCAAAGTTGTGGCATTGTCAGTGAAATAAAAAAGGGAAAATCCAATTTATTTTCAAAAGAGACTTTTTTTAAGCAGTACCCATGGAAATATGTGACCTAGATTTCCCTCTGTGTTGTATAATGCATTCTAACAACAGCAGTGCTTTTACTTATTGTCAAGAACTAGGTAATAAGTTCTGTGCAGACTTACCCAAACACTGTTACAGACAAGAGCTGTTGACAAGTCTGCTATTCAGTTCCCCTGGATGGAACTATAGCTTTCAGGAAACTCCTTTGAGAATATGCTTGGATATCTGCTCATGTGAGATTACTCTTTTACAGAATGTATATAAAGATGAGTATAACAGCTTCTTCAAGGGCATTGGATGGATTCCTATTGGTTCTTTGGAGGTTGAGAAGGTTAAGAAAGCAGGTGATGCGCTAAATGAGAAGAAGTATCGACAGCACCCAGATACCATCAAATTCACAAGTGTGCCTGATTCCATGGGCATGGTTTTGGCTCAGCAGAACACAAAGCAGCTAAGTGATGTAAGTGGTTTCTCTTCAAAAGGTTTTCTTCATGAATAACCCCTGTGACCAAGTTATCCTACTGTTCTTAAGTAAATGCATAAGGGTGAAGCTATGTTAGCAAATCAACTTCTTTCAGAGGAATAATATTCAATAGAAAATTTTCACTTCTGAAGCAACTTGGAACTTCAACATAAGGATTATATGGGAGGGAGAACAAGGATTTTCCAAATTTGCTTCATATCTCAAATACAGTCTGTGCTATTCATAAGTAGACCTCTACCTGTTATATATAGGAAATAAATTACTATTATCATCTGTGACTTTATATGAAATGAAAACCAAGCTGTTTGCTGCTCTGAGTTAACATTTTGCATAGGAAAAAGCATAATGACCTAATCCCCTTGCATAACAGCTCTATGTTCTGAGAGGCAATAGAGAGAGAGGCCTCTGAGGAAAGGGTAAGCAATTTACTTTCAGAGTCATCCACAGTCTCATTTCTGAGCTGAGGTCTATCTAGGCCCTGATTTTTGGTCAGAAGCTAATTATAATGCCCAGTGCTTCATCTCCTTTTGTAACTTCTGGGTTCTGTTAAAATACCTTCACAAGAAAGAGAGCAGTAACTCAAAAGTAACTTCTCAAAAGAGAAGATTTTTGTGTTTTAGGTCCAGATATTAGAGGATGGGGGGAATGCTTTGCATGGCTCAGGTTTAAGGATTTTTTTTGGATTTTGTTTCTCAGGCCAGTCCCTGCTTCCACATTACTATAGATACTTTGAGATTAATTTCATTTTAATGCTAATAAATGGTGTAGATTCTTCCAATTTCAATTGCACAGAGCAAATTGTTATTTCTCATAGTGTTTTTCCAGTTAACTAGGAAAACTGTACACTCACGAATTAAAATTAAGTCTTCCATATCGCTATAAACGCCACCTACATCTACCTAGTTACTCAAGCCAAAACCCTGGGAGAAAACTGAGACCCTGTACAACTCCCCACTTCTAATGCAAGGGCTGAGTGAGTCACTGAACTTTCTCTCAGCCACCCTGTTGCAGCATTTCCCTCTTTCAGCTGCCCCAAGCCTTCACTCCTCATCCACATCTCCTATATGGACAACTGTACAACCAATTGTGGACTCCTGGTGGGGGGATACATCCGACAACTGGAGACACCACCTTAAAATGAATCAAATCACATTCTTCATAATTTAAACTTCTTAGTAAATTCTTCATTAAAAAAATGAAATCTAAACTTGTTAACTTGGCTGAAAAAGCCCTGGATTTTGTGACTCTCTTCCCACTCATCTATCTCTAGGTTCCCTTCCTCCTACCCCTCAGTCCCTCAAGTGTCTATGCCCTTTCTTCAGGTTTGGACATAAATACAACTTCCTTAGAGAGCTTCTGCTGACCACCTTGTTTCTCCTCTACAGTTATTCTACTTATAACATGCCACAAATTCTAGCCATGTCTTATAGTTTATGTGCTTATTTTCTCTTCTACTGGACTATAAGCTCTAAGAAAACAGGTTTGCCTTTTTCATCATTTTAAATGCACAACTTACCACCCTGCCTGGTCCTCAGTGCTGTCCAATAAATATTGTAGAATGAGAAAAAGAATATATATAGTAATACTACCTCTGTGTGATAGTGTGGACATTTGCCTTGTAATTGGGAAAAAACCCACAAGTATAGCACTTTTTACGAAGGAGTTTACAAACAAAGAGTGTGTGCTTGGTAAAACGTACATTATGACAACTAACAACATTTGCATGCTGCCTCCTTCTGTTTTTAGTTGAACTACAAGGTGGAGGGAGAGAAACTGAAGCACAAGTACACTATGGACCCTGAATTGCCTCAGTTTATTCAAGCCAAGGTCAATGCCCTCAATATGAGTGATGTGAGTATTCTATCTCTTCTGTCTAGTTCTGCCTAACTCTTGTACTGAGAACTTTAAACAGGCAGACTGAGTGAGACCTGTGAGTGTCCAGATTGGACCTCATCATAGAACATGAGACTAGAGGCTACCTGAAGTTTTACTTAATGCAGACTTGTATGTACTATGACTCATTAGTGGGTTGTAAAATCAGTTTAGTATCCTATATTTCATTAAAAAAAGGGAACAAAATTGGATGACAAAAATGAAAAAATAGTCATGCATAGGCTTGTAGTAAAGCTAAATATTGCTGTGTATGATTTTATTTCGATTATTTGTTAGAGCTTCTAAAAAATTTACTGTATTTTTCTTTAGATGCTTAATTATCTTTTCTGTGGCAGGATAGATATCTAATTGATGGTGATATTTACATTCATCATTATTAATTATTTCCTTTTCCTATTTTGCTAAAATCTAATTTAAAAACATAATCAAACCTGTACAAAACTGTTCATTTCTGGAAAAATACCTTGGTCATTCTCGCAAATATTTTAGGCTCTCTTTTATCTCCAAATGAACATTTTTGATGCCTATTTTTATATTTTTGGTTTCTATTATTTTAAAAGTAATATTTAAACTTAAAATTAATTAAATTTTTGTGGTACTACATTTTATATTTATATTTCAGCATCTACACTTTTTTGCAATGTTTCATTAAAAAATATGAAAAAAGTCTTATATGCCTATTACAGAAAAGTTGGAAAATATAAAAAATATGAAAAAAATTAAAATCTTCTGTTACCTCACATTCAGTATTATCTTTCCATTATTTTGTTATGAAAACAAATTTCACAAATGATTGAGGTCATACTATGTCTTAGTTTACAGATGGTTTTTAAACTAATCTGATAGACGCATAAAAGATGAACCAATAGCCCTTTCATGGAACTAATTCCATAAATTCTCTTAATATATATGTGTGTGTGTGTGTGTGTATGTGTAAATATCATAAAGATGAACCTATAGCCCTTTTATGGAACTAATTACATAAATTCTCCATATATATGTTCTGTAAAAAAGAATTTGGCATGCTATTTCATTCTTTTAATTATGTCAAATAATAAAGTAATATTTCCTTTTTTAAAGGCTCATTATAAAGCAGACTGGAAGAAAACTCTTGCTAAGGGCTATGATTTGAGAACAGATGCCATTCCAATTGTTGCCGCAAAAAGTTCAAGGAATATTGCTAGCGATGTAAGTTTCATTTAAAAGTAGTAAACAATCTTGCTGTATATTTTAAAAATCCTTACATAATATATGAAGCTACATGAGAAATATTAGAAAGTAAATGGAAAAACGATCATGTGAAAATATTCTTTAATATCCTGTCAATGTTTTATGTTGCTTAACTCAAAAATCTTTAAAAAATCAATAAATTGTTACAAAGAAGAAAAAAATTTAAATTGAAATATTTGGAATTCTCATTAGCATCATTATTATGAACTTGAACACTGCTTTTTATTTGGATTTTATCAAGATAAAAGTTAAGTATTTTAAAAGAATATAATTTTTGAATTATATGATTTCCACAAAGAAGGAATCTGGTGAAATATGGAAAATTAGGGTGAATTGTAGGTCAAGTAGTAGAATTTAATTAACTACTTTTTATAAATTATTGTATATTCCATATGGTTTGATATAAAACCTAGTCACTCATTTGTACACTAATTCATTTGTCATTAGTATACTAATTTGAATGAGGGCTTAGCTGAAATTTACTTGTGATTATACAAATACTTTATAATTCAAATTGAGAATGGAAACAAGATAAAAAAAGATACACTAACTCCTTAATACATTTTTAGGAACTTTTATTCATATTCAAAGAATCTACTTATGAGTGATCTAGAGACCAAACTGCATATTATTCTAATCTTAATTATCCCAGGCAGACCTCAAAACCATACATTAGAAATACTTTGTTAGATGTTTATTTTAAAATACTGAAAAACTTAGACATTACCTAGATCCACATTGAATTTGGCTTTTATTTAATTGGTCATATAAATTTAACTTAACTTTAGTATTTTCTGCACTCTATCCTATCAAACTTCTGTTTGCCCATCTTTTTCATATAGTTTAAGTACAAGGAGGCCCATGAGAAAGCCAAAGGCAAGCATATTGGATTTCTCAGTCTTCAGGATGATCCTAAACTGGTTCACTACATGAATGTAGCCAAAATACAGTCTGATCGTGAGTATAAGAAGGGCTATGAAGCCAGCAAGACCAGGTATCACACACCCTTGGATATGTTCAGTGTGACAGCAGCAAAGAAATCTCAGGAAGTTGCTACCAACGCCAACTACAAACAACCCTTCCACAACTATACTCTCCTGCCTGATGCCTTGAACATGGAACACTCTAGAAATGCGATGCAGATTCAAAGTGATGTATGTAACTCAAAATTATTTATTCCTAGACAGTGGGAGGGAGAACAAGAACTAGACCATTCCATTTACTTCATCTTAAACCCGACTGACCTCAGTAAATTAGGGATCCCCTTCAGAACAATGTGTAACACACACACACACATACACACACACAAACTTTGCATGTTAGACCTAATATCTGATGTATTTTGGAAAAACTAAGAGGTTCAAATGGGTGCTCTATAATATCCTTCTAGTGCAAAACTCTGTTAGCTTTTTCCCAAGAAAAGTTAATTTTTTAAAGAAAATGTTGGGTCAGAGTTTCCTGCTCTAAATTACCATGACTGTAGTAACTTTTTAGAATTAATTTTTCCAAAAGATGATAGGGAGTAAATACCAGGTTATTCTTTTCCCAGTCCTTTTTTACTCCTTTGGGTCATTAGTAAATCATCTACCCTAAGCAACTCCTGCCCTGATTCTTTCTGAAAGAAAAATCTCCTTTTTCATTCTAAAGAACTTATATAAGTCGGACTTCACCAACTGGATGAAAGGGATCGGCTGGGTCCCAATAGAGTCACTGGAGGTGAAGAAGGCAAAGAAAGCTGGAGAGATTTTCAGTGAGAAGAAGTATCGCCAGCACCCGGAGAAGCTGAAATTCACATACTCCATGGACACAATGGAGCAGGCACTTAACAAAAATAACAAACTGAATATGGATAAGGTAAGGACTCACCTGCTGGCCTCATTGACTTAACCCTCTTAGTGCTCATGCCATTGAACCTGCAGTGATCCTCATCAGCATATTATTCTTTCTCATGGCTGTGGTGTTGGTGGTGGGAAGTCACAGTCTGTAACTTTCATTGTATCTAGAGAGCCCTCACTTACACTGGCCTTCAGGGTGTCTCTCAATACCATGCTAAGGATGCAGCAAAGCTGCAAAAATCTATGTGGTCTAAGGTCAGGGCAAGATATTATTTGTTGTTTCAGTGAAGAGACCTCCTTTTGATGATTTTTTTTTTCTAGTGTGTCCAGTTTTATCAGCCCATCTTCTTGCTATTTCATCCATTTTCTGATGTCAGATTTAACATCTTATACCGTGGTTATGTGACTCTTCTTGTAGCGCTATCTCAAATATGTGAAATCATGTGTCTGTCCTTCTCATTGTAGAGGCTTTACACTGAAAAATGGAACAAAGACAAGACTACCATTCATGTCATGCCTGATACTCCGGACATTGTACTCTCCAAAATAAACCAGATCACTATGAGTGATGTAAGTAGAGTTACAACAAAAATAGAAGTGGGAGAGGTTGAAGGGAACTAATATTTGATTATCTGTCTTCTACACACCAACTATTCTGACTACATGATCCCCACTCTAATCCAAATAACAAATGCTGGTGTCTTCTTGTATCCTATTTAGAAACTGTACAAAGCTGGCTGGGAAGAAGAAAAGAAGAAAGGATATGACCTGAGGACTGATGCCATCCCAATACAGGCTGCAAAAGCCTCTAGAGACATTGCCAGTGATGTGAGTACTTCCATGGGTTTTCCTTAGGATGAGCAAATAAAAGTGAAGAAGCCAAATATGTGTCACGGACTGAGGTCAGCTCCTTCCAGTGTTGGTGGGACCATTGTCTTATGGACACACAAGATACCTTCCTTTACCCTCGAATCATTGTTCAATATTTAATGTAAAAGTGACTGGGTCTCACTAAAAGAAGTTGCTTTTAGAGTGTTCGAATCTTTTGTAAACAAGTCTAAGCAATCATAGGTATGCCCTAAGACCCATGGTCAGGCTTTTAGCTGTATTTGAAGATGCAAGGTGAGGAATCATGCCTGCAGCTTTTTCTGCTGGATAGAGAGCTCAGGGGGAAACACTGCTTTCTAAATCACCCTAAAAAATAACTTATTCACACATTTCTCTGACTAATGCTAACATTTTCTTTCCATGAATTCAAATCTGGCAAGAAATTTGAAGCAAAAAGATTTTACTGTACTCCCTGCTCCTTGTGAGCAAATCCCTTTCTAAGCTTAGAGTAGTTCTAAAACCCTACATTTATGGCAAAGCCAATAGCACCTAATGAATTATATGTGCTCTTTTTTCTTCACTGTCCTCATTACCATGCTGTCTTTTCTTCCACAGTACAAATACAAGCTAGGCTATGAAAAAGCCAGAGGAAAACACATTGGCTTCCGGAGCCTGGAGGACGACCCCAAGTTGGTGCACTTCATGCAGGTGGCCAAGATGCAGTCAGACCGGGAATATAAGAAGGCATACGAGCAATCCAAGACATCCTTCCATACACCAGTGGACATGCTAAGTGTGGTGGCAGCCAAGAAGTCTCAAGAAGTGGCCACCAATGCCAACTATAGGAATGTGATTCATAGCTATAACATGCTTCCTGATGCCATGGGCTTCGAACTGGCCAAAAATATGATGCAGATTCAAAGTGATGTATGTAACAGCCACAGCCTTTGTTGAACACTTATTCTGGATAGTAAAGAAATCATGAATAATCTTAAATGACAAAATCCTGAAAGAAATTCATTTGTAATTTTCCTGAAAAGGCATCAATTGTAGAAACAAAAATCTTATTTTTACTGTTATTGCTATGAGCATTGGAGATGCTGGAGCCAGCAATAGCAAATGAAATTTGGTTTCAGAAAGAATGTGTTAAAGGAAATGTGTCTAGCAAAGAGAGTTAAAAGCTCCTGATAAATACGAGGGAAAGTGGAGATAATTGGTAGTGACCCATTCCAACCAGTTTTCACTCCACTACTTTTAAATTTCTAATTGCCTATTTTGTTGATGAAATAATGAGGAAGTGATGGTTGAGGCTGCTCTTAGAGTGAATGTGAAGAAGACATAGAAAGTAGGGAGCCAAGTATCCAGCTGTAGAAGCCATTTGATGGCTGGAGAAAGTAAATTTACATTATAACCCCAAGGGAGGCTACACCAAGTTTACATATTTATACAGGCTGAGATATTAATTGCCTATGGGTACATAAATGTCCAAATGAAAGGAACCACATTATAGTTGTAGAAGAAAATGTGAGTTGAAAGAGTAAAAATGAAATTAGCACAAAGTACCAGTGAGGTTTCTGGCATACCTGAGGAACTTGAACAGTAGTTGGTGGTCAGAGGCTTACAGCGCAAGAGATAAATGTGGTCCCCGTAAGTTATCTATTAGCCAAGAGAACCTGGGATTTTCTATAAGAAAAGCCAGCATAGTCACTTTTCTCAAGATAATAATCACGTGGTAAATTAATCTACTTGGTTTCTTAGCCCTTACGCTTTTAGAAGATATTATGAAAGACAAATCATGAAGATATTACTATTACTGCTCATTTTTAATTCCTCATGTAAGGAAATGTTAAAATGATAAGTTAGGGATAAAAAAATTTAAGGTTCAAATTATTGTTGGTTGAAAATTGAAATGGAAATTATGAAATACCCTCTTTATGTCCTGGGGGTTTTTGGATTCTTCTCATCCTTGAATTTTTCTTCTTTTGCAGAATCAGTACAAAGCTGACTATGCTGACTTCATGAAGGGCATTGGATGGCTCCCCCTGGGCTCCTTAGAGGCTGAGAAAAACAAGAAAGCTATGGAGATTATCAGTGAAAAGAAGTACCGCCAACACCCAGACACTTTGAAGTATTCCACTTTGATGGATTCAATGAACATGGTTTTGGCCCAGAATAATGCCAAAATTATGAATGAAGTAAGTGGTTCAATCATGTAATGCTTCATATGAATCACAAAGAATCCTGGCATAACCTGTGGGTTTTGCTAAATAGTTTTAGGGCATCATAATTAGTGCTTATTCTGTCTCGGAAATGAGCCTTGTAATTAATGATAGAAATTAATCCTAGTTAGTTGCTCCCCTCCCCACCCCTAAATATTCAATGAAACACTCTACCCAACAAACATAACAAAATAAATCCAGACTCTTTCTTATAATGCAAATCTTAGAAAAAAGAGTCTTGTTTGTCTAAGTGGAGTTTGAGTATAGGTTCATGACCCTGAATCATAAGATTGTTTGCCTAATAACAACTGGGTGCTGCAGCCCATCCCTGCTTCTCAGCTGCTTTAATGGGATCAGAGAAGACTCCTAGATTATGTAGCTATAGCCACATTCTGATCCAGGACCTTCTCTGGGCAATCATGAGAGCAATTATTTTCTCTCAGTAGTTCCTCAATCATTAATTATTCCAGCTTTTAGAAAAGCTGTACTGTATTTTTATATTTATTAATCATAAGTGATATCAGGTCCAAAGAGCACATAAACCTTTAATATCTATTTATAAAATACAAATAATAAAATATCTTCATGATCAAGTTGAAGACATTCCTTCTACTCCCATCCCCTAGCCCATTGCAGAGTTGAGGAAAGTGTGGCTCAGAGAGGCAAGATATCTCCTCTAGAGTCACACAGCAGGCCAATGACTAGGTCTGGACTAGAACTAGCACTCTGATGACTTGCAGTTGCTCTTTCCACTAGAAATTGTGCTGTCCACCATAACCAGTAGCCACATATGGTGATTTAAATTTATTACAATTTCGCATATTATCTATGGTTGCTTTTGCACTATAATAGACTTGAGTACCCAATAACATACATCCTATAACCCACAAAGTCTAAAACATTTACTACTTGCCCTTTACAAGAAAAGTTTACCAACCTTTGGTCTAGAAGAATGCTTTAGAAGTTTTGCTTTTGTTTTCTAATTAAATTTGCTTAAAACAAGGCAATAGCATTTTTTAACCTATAGATTTGTGAGATTAAACAGTTGTGTTACATATTAGTATTGGAAATTTAATGTAAACTTCTAATAAATATTTTGTTAATATTCGTTAATATTAAAAATCCAGGTACCTGATGCCTCACAGAAACACTTGTATATGTACAAAGATATATATAGATATATATATATATATCTATATATATATACACATATACACAATAATGTTTTTTGCACTTTAGGATCTTAAAAAGTAGATGTTAAGATAGAATTTGTAGTGCAGGGCATTTTTTAAGGTATCAATACCTATGGGAGGAGGACTGGGCAGAAGGAGGAGTCCAACTGTGATACAGGCCCCACAAACCCTTGGCCAGTCCCTCAGAGGGCTCTTGAATGCATAGGACCAGATAGATTCATCCTGCATTGAGTAAGAATGGCCAGGTCTTTATATGCCCCCTGTGGTCACCAGAGAAAGGTATGGTCCTGAGCGCAGCACATATCATTCAAGCAGGTGGTAACTGGAGGCTGTCTGCTAAAGTTGAGGCAACAAGTCTTCCTTAAATGGGTGTCTGGGTGGCACATTTCCAGGTCTACCACAAAGATCATAGCCCCATTTCTTGTAGTTAAAAAAAAAAAGACAAAACAGCAGATAAAGTCAACAGAAAACTAGTTAAATCAATCAGGTTATACCTCCCTGTGAAATACTATGCAGCTCATTAAATTAATGCAAATTATTTTAACAAGGTAAAAAGATGTCTACCTATATTATTAAGTAAAAAAGCAGTTTGTAAAACATTATGTATCATTTGATCTCATTTCTATTTAAGAGGACTATATGTGGACTGTAATATGCATAGAAAATTCTAGGATAGAGATATTATCTATAGGTTGTAAAATAGGAGGCTAGGAAATTTTATCTTCCATCCTATATTTTCTCCATTGTACTCTTTGAATGAGCACCATATCCATGTTAAAAAATAAGGGGATTGCAATTGTATGGGGAATATAAAAATAAAATTTATTTTTTTAAAAAAAATTTTTAAAAGAAAATCTAATACAAATACATAAAATATTAATATTTATGTATACTAATATATATGCTGAGTGAGCTCCTTTTAAGATTTTCAATACTAACTTCCACGGTTTTCATCTTTTTTTCTTACTCTCTAGCAACTCTATAAACAAGCATGGGAAGCTGACAAGACCAAAGTCCATATCATGCCTGATATTCCCGAGATTATTTTGGCAAAAGCAAATGCAATTAATATGAGTGATGTAAGTATATTTCCTCAATTGTCATCTTTCATTCTTGCCTATTTGAGCCAGTAAAAACAACTAAATAATGTATCTCAATTATAAGAGAGACTGTTTCGATAATAATTACAGGTATCCACAAAAAATAATTTTTCTAATCTTGCTTTGCTATGAATTGGAGTAGACCCCTCAGTGGGACTTGGGCTGAGAGTCAGGAATTTGAAGGGTGGCTGTATTTTATTTTATTTTAAAGATATATTTATTTATTTATACAAGAACCGGGGTCCAAGCCACATGCATAGGAGGGTGAGAGGATTCACCAGAGACAGAGTGGGGAACAAAACAGGCAGACTGATGAAATACACTGCTGAGGGGAGCAGCGGGCAAGACAGGAGAGGTCTGCCATGCCATGTGGGACCATCACCATCTGGCTGGGATTGAACTGGAGCTGCAGAGGATGCGGACAGCTTCACAGTGCGGCGCTCAACCGCCTGCGCCACTAGGGGAGGCCCTGGATTTTATTTTAGAGGTAGTTCGTCCTTTTTAAACTAAGAGACTTGGCAGAAAGAGAAGGGCTTATGAGTCAAGAGAAGAGATAAAGTGAATTCCAGTATTTCATTTTTGGAGAATGAAAACTTCACTAAACCTTTGAGATGGCCCTAAAGAGGGTGTCTTAGGAAAAGTTAAATGGAAAGGGGAGATGAAAATTTTGAAGAATTTGGGACAAGACTCAAAAATGTGCAGCGCTTACTATTAGAAAATACATACGTATTTCATTTTACTTCCTTTCTTGTCCTCATTATAGTTGCTGGGAAATCCTTCAATCCTGTCGGGATATTTTTGTTTTCTTTGTTTGAATTCCTCAGGGATTTGGGATTGATGATTTCTTTTCTTTTTGGATTGTAGAATCCACACAAATACATAAAACTAAAGTCTCAGTTGCAAAACAGTCAAGTTTTTTTTTTTTTTAAAGATTTATTTTTAGTTTTTACAAGAACTGAGGTATAGGCCAGAGGCACGGGAGGGTGAGAGCATTCACCAGAGATGGACTGAGGAACAGAACAGGCAGGTGGACTGAAATACACTGTTGAGGGGAACAGCAGGTGAGACAGGAGAGGTCTGCCGTGCCATGTGGGATTCTCCCTGGCTGGCCGGGAATAGAACCCACAGAGGCTGTGGACAACTTCACAGTGCAGCACTCAACCTGCTGCACCACCAGGTAGGCCCTCAAGTTTTCTTTTAATGTAAGGCTGTGGCTACTTGGTCTTGGTAGTCTTCCTTTGACTCTTATTTGCTGAAATGTATCAACATGAATCTACTGGGATTTCACATTTTCTAAAAGTGTATTTACAACCCAATGGGGGCAAGTAACTTTTGCTTTCTTTGGCAGTTTCTTGAAGATATATTTGAGTTTGTAACAGGTTTATTTTAAACACAATCATATTGCTTATGAGAATATACAACCATTGAAGCACAAATGACACATTCTGCTGGAAGCCTTGTTGGTGGGTGTGGTGTAGGGACATGCCCCTGAGGTGTGAAGAGGTGTGATCCTGTGTCTCTGAACCACACACAGTGTTGTAAACTAACACTACATCAATAATACATATATTATTATGTACACATATGTTATGTATATATCATATGTATATTACTGTGTATATGTATATCCATACACACACATATATTTCAAAGAAGAGGAATGTGGACAATGTTAAGGATTCAGAAAAAAAAGGATGCTACAGTGCTAATTTACTCTTTTAAAATAAATTGAGGATTTCCTATTTAGAGGAAGACTATTCCTTTTGCCTCTCTTTACAGAAAATCTACAAACTTTCTTTGGAGGAGTCCAGGAAGAAAGGCTATGATCTCAGAACTGATGCAATTCCTATCAAAGCTGCAAAGGCTTCAAGAGATATTGCAAGTGATGTAAGTCAGAAGGAAAGCAGTCACCTAGCCGGGGGTCTCTAATCTGCCCAAATGACAAGGGTTGAATCCTGGAAACACTGAGTGGACAAAAAAGTGGGGGCCAGGGAAGTGTGCCTGCTTGATACAATCTCATCCTGTCGTGTGATTGATTCTTAGACTTGCTTTCATATTTTCTCTGGAAGTTCTGGGGGGAAAAAAGCAGATTTCTGGACACATTGTGACCAAATTGATGTCAATTTCCTGACTCATGAGTGAATTGTCTTTGAACTCCATCACCAAGGTTATGGCCTGTCCAAATTCACAGCCCTTCTCCACATTTTCTTGGTGAAAAGTTTGTGTTGTTTTTACCTTTTATGATCTCTCTTCCTAACAGAATGTCTCATGAAGTGATATGCTAGGGATACTGATCTTTTGGGTTCATGACAACTGATTACTGAATAATCAGGAATTTTGGAAACAGTTGTTAAAGCATTCGTAACTTGACATCAGCCATATTTGGACTGTACACACCATAGAAATAGACAAACACTGCAAATTAACCCTTCCTCTATCCCCAGAGAGCTGATGTGCTAACACAACACTGCTATCACACATCACCTAAGTGAAAAGCAATGCTTTCATTTGGTTGTTTCCGCATGAAATTGATTCCTGCTGAGCCCTGAATGATCTGAGGGAAAGGACAGGAGCACAGTTCAGAGCACTTTCCTTGGCCACCCCAGTTATATTTTCTCTCTTCTGTCTCTGGTTTTCATCTTTCCTATGTGCCCATTGCTGTCCCATTTCAACATTTCCTAAAAACTTCACTTTGTTCTGCTGTTGTGCTGGAGTAATTTGACTCTCCTAACTCCAACCTACTAACTTGTACCCTCAAGACCACAAGAGGTAGACAGAATAAGAGGCTTTCCAGGTATCAGGATCTCCTTCCTATAGAGGGAAGCTAGATGATAAATAGTAAAAAAAAAAAAAAAAATCCAGTTTATACAAGTTTAGAGAGTCGTAAAAAAAAAGGCACTCTACAAATATAAAGGTGCTCTAAAATTATACATTATCTTATATGCCATAACCCAACCTGTTCTCAACAGTAAAGGACTGACTGATTTCTCAGGGCAGCATTAAACTGGTTAGAATATTCTTCTTTTTTTCCCCATTTGCTCTACTCTTTTTATGTACTATTAACACAACCATCTGTGGAAGTCGTGTTTTGTATCATTACAAGATTGGAATCTAATCCTTAGTGAGTTTAGCAAGTTGCTCACCTCTCTGGAGCTCAGATTTCATATCTATAAAACAGTGGGCAGTAATAACAACTTTCCTGTCTATGTCATATGTACAATTGTGACTATCAATTTACAAAGATAAAAGTGAAAATGTGTTTTGTGAACTGTAGAACTATGTACTAGTATCACTTTTTATGAAATATAAAGTACTGACACTTGAATAATTGCTTGTCAAAGGAATTTCGACTGAATAAATATTTAAATTTTCTTTGCAGTATAAATATAAAATCGATTATGAAAAACAAAGGGGGAAAATGGTTGGTTTCCGCAGTCTCGAGGATGATCCCAAATTAGTCCATTCCATGCAAGTGGCCAAGATGCAATCTGATCGGGAGTACAAGAGAAACTATGAGAATACGAAGACCAGCTACCACACCCCTGCAGACATGCTCAGTGTCACTGCCGCCAAGGATGCTCAAGCCAACATTACCAACACAAACTATAAGCACCTGATCCACAAGTATATCCTCCTTCCAGATGCCATGAATATTGAACTGACTAGGAATATGAATCACATACAAAGTGATGTAAGCTTCTCCTCTTTCTGGGTGATGGCTGGTTTCTATCATGAGCAGGAAGATCAGTCTTCTATGCCTCACTTTTGTGCCTAAGTTGATGTAAAACAGAATTTGCCTCTTCTCTTTATAGAATGAATACAAGCAGGACTATAATGAATGGTACAAAGGGCTTGGCTGGAGTCCAGCTGGTTCTCTAGAAGTAGAAAAAGCCAGGAAGGCAACTGAAATTGCCAGTGATCAGAAATACCGCCAGCACCCTAGCAACTTCCAATTTAAGAAGCTGAATGACTCCATGGACATGGTTCTTGCCAAACAGAACGCACAGACCATGAACAAGGTATACAGAACAGCTGTCCTTCCACATATATCCCATTGAGGCCGGGCTAGCAGCCTCTGGTCCCTGTTTGAGAAATTTATTTATTTGTTTGTTTATTTATTCATTTTTAATTTTTTTATATCATTGTTCATTTTTAAACAATATTGGCTTCCCACCTCCCCACCAGATGTAGTCCCCATAGAGTTTCCTTCACCCGTGCACCATCACCATGGTCCCCTGTGCTCCTCCCTCCTTCTCTCTGATCCCTCTTTGTTTGAGAAGTTTAAGTGAGGTCCACACTTCAAAGTAGGGGCAAACAGTTCCAGAGCATTCTCCTCTACCATTTTCTTTTACCTATCTCATGTTATTTCCCCAATTCTCCTAATTGTTAGAAAGTATTGATTTAGTTTTAAAAAACTATTATATATTTAGTACTTTCCAATTCATTTTAGAAGATAGAAAATAACTAAAATATTTCTTAAATTCTGAGTTTGTTTTTGGTATCTTTTTTGAATCAGATACTACTTTAGCTACAAAATAATTTAATTCAAATTAAGTGCCTTCAAAAACAGTTACATACTTACCTGTTTGTCTCAAGAAGCTACTCAAATTTCAAATGTCTTTTTTAAATCTTTCTAGCACTTGTACACTGTTGATTGGAACAAAGATAAAACGAAGATTCATGTGATGCCAGATACACCTGATATTTTACAAGCCAAGCAGAATCAAACACTGTACAGTCAGGTAAAGTAAACTATTTAAACTTACTAAATGATGTAATATAAATGATTGATATAAATGCTGAAGCAATGGAAATGAATGACTCAAACTGGCTATTCTATGGGATACTGAAAACCTGTGAATTCTGTGGAGGCAGGCACTGGGCTTGGTTGATTTATCTCAGTTCTCACACTTAGTACAGAGCAAAAAATCACTAAAGAACAATTGAAAGAAAAAAAAGCCTCATACAAATGTGGCATGAGTGAATTTTATAATATTGAGTCTAAACCTCAATTTCCTCATTCCTAAAACTGGTACTATTAAAGGGCCTCTGATGTTGGATTGCTGTGAAGGTCTATGTAAGGGTCTCAGCACAGTGCCTGGTACACAGTAAATGCTGAGTGACTTTCAACTACTTTTTATTATTATCTAATTTTAACACATGTGCAACAGATTTAACACAGTTGATAGATTTGACTCAAATAGGTTAACTCATTTATTGCAAATCTAAAAGGCACTTCATCATTTATTGCTTTTATCACTTAATTAAAACTGTTAGCATTTTTGGTTATCAGTTATTTTAATATTTGTATCAAGACACAGTGAACCCAGGCTGTATTTGGCATTAAGGAAAAGATTCCTGTTCTATCTGGAGGCAGAGCAGCCATATGAAACCGTTAATAAGATGAAAGAGAGCAAAGTGCAGAGGCACTTTGGAAAAAATTTTATGCTTTTGCAGTCCCCCCAAATAGCCTACCAAATCATAGCAAATAACATATAAAACCTAAAACAACACCAAATAGCCTATAGTAAGAGCAGAAATGATATGGTGTTTAGACAGCCTATATAAATGAATTCCTGGAGAAGGAGCTTGACTGTGCCACGCTCACTGTTTCTCTAAAGACTCACGTTCCAAACAAGTGCTAAAATGCTATATTTGCTTTTTGCCTTTTTATCATGAAAGTGAAAATCCTCTTTGGATTTCTTTGGTTTGTGAAAATAACAACTAATGTAGGTCTTTCAGAAAATTGAGGTGACCTAATGCAAACTTACAAAAAGTGGGGGACACCTGTATATCTGATATACCTGTGTTTTGTCTGAACAAAAAAGACCATGCGCAATTATACCACCAGTGTCTCACAGACAGAAATTGGAAGCCAGATCATGTGATGTTAAGTCTGTACTTTTTCTGCTCTTTTAAATAGCTTGTTTACTTTCTATCCATATTTCTAAAGATAAAGTAGGAAGATGTTAGAATCTGCTATTTACTCACTAAATATTTTGTTAATAAACTGTTGGGATTTTTTAATTTATTCATAATAATGCTAGCATTTCTTTAATTTTCAGAAATTCTATAAACTTGGATGGGAAGAAGCTTTGAAGAAAGGCTATGATCTCCCACTTGATGCAATTTCTGTACAATCGGCCAAAGCTTCAAGAGACATTGCTAGTGATGTAAGTACTAGTTTGACTTTATAAGAATATATTTTTTATCTCAATCAAATAACTTAGATATCTGATTTAGACATTCTGTAGATACATAAACATCAGTGTGCTAATCTTAAGAATTAATCACAAGGGCCTCCCCTGTGGAGCAGTGGTTGAGCGCTGGGTTGCGAAGCTGCCTGCAGCCTCTACAGCGCCAGTTCGATCCCCGGCTGCTCCCCGGCCACTGGAGGAGGGTCCCACATGGCGCGCAGACCTCTCCTGCCGCCCGCTGCTCCCCTCAGCAGTGTACTTCGGTCCTTCTGCCTGCTCTGCTCCCCGCTCTGGCTCTGGTGAATTCTCTCACCCTCCCGCGCTTCTGACTATACCCAGTGCTTGTATAAATAAATATTAAAGAAAAAAAAAAAAGAGATGGCGAGCAAAAAAAAAAAAAGAATCACAAAAGGTCATAGAAATTTGGTTATGAAAAAATTACCAGAATTTTACAGGGAGGCAGTCTCTTAAGTGTACTCTTCAAAATAAATAAGAATTTGGTTCAATATGCAGTTTGAAGTAAAGAGTGAAAAGAATGTCTCAAGGCAGAATCTGACATAAATTCTAAGAATATATTAGGGAAGAATCTCTTTAGTTTAATTAATTTAAAGTACTCCAGAAGTGTTGGAAATTTAATTAGATGATGTAATATTACTAACTGTCCAGTGTGCAGGTCAATACTTCATTTTAATGATTGAGGTTGTGATGAACTGAAAGAAATAATGATACTTGAATATTTCCAATGAAGTAAACTCATTTTCATTTCATGTTGTGTTCCCCCTAAGTAAAAGGTAGTTTAAGAATTTAGTAATAGCTTCAATAATTTCCTAACAAAAGAACACTTGATAGTACCTAATTTCTTTTTGGGTGGTGAAACTACTAGTTAAAAACTTTTGAAATCTTACTCTAAAATTAATTAAAAGTGAACTTTCCCATCATTGTAGAAATTGTTTCTCTTTTAATTTTAAATGATATTTGTATGTATAAAAAATTGAGGGCATTGGAACTATTTTATGAGCACTTAATTTAATAAATGAGAAAAATAGAATTTAGTTAGAAGATAATTTATATAATATTGGATTGTAACAATCCAATTCACATGTCCTACCTTCTCTGTAATCTTCAGCAATCATCCAGTCTGTGGATATAAGAATTTCAGTGTCCTTCAGGGCAGGTCACATCCTTATTGAATCATCTCTAATTATAGTCATATTTTTCCTTTTTTTTGAATTGAAATATGTTGCTAACCATCTCTAGATTGTCTTCTGGAATGTCACAAAGTAGTTTATTTCCTCTTGCAGTTAATATATCCTCAAACATTTCAGTTTTCTATTTGATGTCAGTTGTTTTAGTTTTAAAAGTTCAATAATCTAATGATTATTCCATTGTGATTTATTCTGTTATTTTTTTCAAAACTCCCATCAGGTAGAATATCTTAAAACTTAGTGTTGCTTTTCCATTCAGGCCAGAGAAAATGACCTTTTGACTTTCTTTTATCTGTACCCCAATACAAAATCTTTAACACTACCTTTTATAAGCAGTATTGTCAGATTGCTCACACTGCAGCTTATAGTCTACTTAAACTGAGTATTTTTAATATATATAACCATGAAGTTGGGTGTCAAGAGAGAGTAGAACATATTTCTGAGAAGTGTAATGATGTATGCTCAACACTGAGCTATTACTACTATCATTATTATTGCCACTGTTATTGTCAACCACTTCTCATGCAATTTTCCAGTTGAATCTAAATACTGAATTTCACTTTCACTTTCTTAAATTTATGTAGTTCATTTTGACACATTGTGACATTATTTTGATATCTTGTATAATTTTTCTTCTACACTAATATACTTATCTGTTTTTAGCCAAGTATACATGCAGAATATGGATCCTGAACAGAAAAAGTTTACATGACATAACCATATGGTAAACAACTAACAATTATGCTTTTTAGTAAATTTAATCTACAGTATAGACCTGTCCATCAAGTCCTGAATCTTCCACTCATGTTTTTACCATTCAGCCCAGAATTTTCCATCATTCTTTAAGAATACCACAAAAGCTTTAGCAAATGATACCCAAAAAGTCAAGATGTATAATGTCTAGAACACAACAAAATATATTTATGCCTCTAGTTAGCATTAATTTCTCATAATTTTTCTAGATCCTCAATATCACATATCTTTGGAAACCTCCACTTGAGTCCTCACGATTTTTTAATGATGTTAACATAGACATTTCAGCAAATTGCAAATATGCAAACAGCAAATTGAGCTTAAATTGACTTCTGTGTATGCTAGCAAAATAACTGCTTCTTTTGATTTTAGTTTAAATACAAACAAGGCTACCGTAAGCAACTTGGCCACCATATTGGATTCCGGAGTCTGCAAGATGATCCAAAGCTTGTGCTGTCCATGAATGTAGCCAAAATGCAAAGTGAAAGAGAATACAAGAAGGACTTTGAGAAGTGGAAAACCAAATATACTAGCCCAGTGGACATGCTAGGAGTGGTACTGGCCAAGAAATGTCAGGCCTTGGTTAGTGATGCGGACTATAGGAATTACCTGCATCAGTGGACATGCCTGCCTAACCAGAATGATGTTATTCAAGCTAAAAGAGTTTATGAACTACAGAGTGAGGTCAGTTTGTATTAAATTTAATAGTTGTTTATATATTGTTTTATAACTCATCATTAACTAGTTACAAAGAGACAAAAACTAGAAAGGGTTTACAGAATATCTAAAATGAATCTGTTGAATCACTTGAGTCAAGGTTCTAGATGAGCATGGGATTTTGATGACTTGCTTTGTATTTCCACAGAATGTGTATAAGTCTGACCTTGAGTGGCTGAGAGGCATAGGATGGAGTCCCCTGGGTTCCTTGGAGGCAGAAAAAAACAAGCGAGCTTCAGAAATCATCAGTGAGAAGAAATATCGTCAGCCTGCAGACCAAAACAAGTTCACTAGCATTCCTGATGCCATGGATATTGTTCTTGCAAAAACAAACGCCAAAAATAGGAGTGATGTAAGTAACTCTTTGGAAATAAAAAAAATTTAGTGCCTAATACCTGGTAGACGCTCAATAGCTTTTGCTTAATAAATTGCATAATATCGCATTGTGCACCATAGAACAGCACAGCATAATGTTTTGTATTTGGTTGTGTCATTTGAGTTATCAACTCCCCTGCACTGGATCATGTAAAAGTGGGTTAGTATCATTTTTTTCACCCTAAGTTTACTTGTTAATTTGCCCACTTATGTATCCAAAGCATAATGAGTAAACTATTGAACATATTTCCCCCTTCGCCTCTAAAATGTAGGTATATTAGTGACCCAGATTACTTTTTGTTGGGGATAGTATATATGAAAGGAAGGTATTCTGAGTACCTTCTATAGACACAGTGGAAATGTTATAAAGAATATATTTTCTGCCAAGTAATTATAGTGTATTTTCTTTAGCTGAACCAAAGTAAATAGATAAACAGCATGTATGCATCCCATCCTCAACTTATTTCCAAAATTAAAAGTTTTTTTCTAATCCAGGATGCAATGCAAGATCACACATTAAGTTTACTTTTCATGTCTTTAGCTTCCTTTAATCTGGACTGTTGCTCAGTGTTTGTCATCAAGTCCTTGATATTTGTGAATACTACAGGGCAGTTATTTTATAGAATCTCTCTCAATTTGGGTCTGTCTGGCATTTCCTCATGATTAGATTCAGTTTTTGTATTTTTAGCAGGATAATATTTGCCTTAACTTCCCCCATGTATCATGTCAGGAGGCTCATGATATCAATTTGCCCTAGTAATGATAATTTTAACTTTTATCACTTGGTTAAAATCGTGTCACCATATTTCTCCATGATCATGTTGCTGTTTATTAAGTGTCTTGTGGGGAGATTCTCTGACAATGTAAATATCTTATTTTTCTTTGCATTTTACTCCCTAATTTTAGTAATTCAGTGAGATTTTGTTTGGGTCACATCTTCTGTTGAAAAAGACAAGGAATCACTCCAAAACATACAGAAGATTTTGATAAATTCTCATGCAAAATTGTTTTGGGAATCTTAACACTGCCCCTCCAATATTTATAAGATATAATTACAAATAATAAGTATGTCATAAATGAGACTCCCTAGTTTGTAAGCATATCTTGAGTATGTCATCTTTTCAGAAGGCAAGAGCTATCTCCCAATTAAATACTAAGAGGGACTTTAACAACCAAAGATGGGGAACTACTGTTCCATTTGATAATATTGGCAAAGGCTCTAATTACTTACAGGAAAAATTATCTCTAACTTTGAAAAGGTCATCAATAATCTATATTTTGAAAGGTAATTATGCTTCTGATAAGTCAATAAACACTACCAGTTTTCTGCTTATGTTACCTGCTAATGCTATCGCTTATAATACTTCACATGAATTTAGTAAGTCTGTTTGATGTTAACTATGTAATTTACAAACAACACTAAAAAATTTTTATTTCTCTTTCAGAGACTGTATAGAGAAGCTTGGGATAAAGATAAGACTCAAATTCACATTATGCCTGATACACCTGACATTATGCTGGCTAAAGCAAACTTAGTCAATACAAGTGATGTAAGTTACCAAATTCACCACTTTCAGAAATTTTATTTTATTTTATTTTTTTTTTTTTTAATAGAGGCATGTTTTTATTTATTTATTTATTTGTTTGTTTGTTTGTTTGTTTTGTTTATACATGCACTGGGTACAGTCAGAAGCGCGGGAGGGTGAGAGAATTCACCAGAGCCAGAGCGGGGAGCAGAGCAGGCAGAAGGACCAAAGTACACTGCTGAGGGGAGCAGCGGGCGGCAGGAGAGGTCTGCGCGCCATGTGGGACCCTCCTCCAGTGGCCGGGAGCAGCCGGGGATCGAACCGGCGCCGCAGAGGCCGCGGGCAGCTTCGCAACCCAGCACTCAACTGCTGCGCCACTGGGGAGGCCCCAGAAATTTTATTTTAATTGCTTCTAAATCAGTGAATTTATTTGTAGGTAATTTTGAATACCTGAATCATTTTAGTTAATAGACAGCACATGACTTACATTTCTTATTTAGTGACTCTTAAACATCAAAGCATAACACTACCTGTCTCAGGAAGAGTTAGAGACATGTGCTATCTGTAGTCCATTATCACACATACCTTTGTAATCATGCATCCCCTAATACAAGGATACTTTCTAAGAAATATGTTGACATAGAATGTAACCACACAAACCTAGATAGCATGACCCTACTATACACATACCTTACCAGTATAACCTATTGGGTATATTGTCGTATATGCAGTCTGTAGTTGACAATAACATTTTTTGCATTGCCTGTCCATTTTTCTCAGCACCATTTGTTGGAGAGACTTTCCTTTCTCTAATGTACACTCTTGGCTCCTTTGTCATAGATTAAGTGTTTATAGGACTTTGTTTCTTACCTACAGATGTGGATTCTACTTTAGATGGTCCCTATATTCTGGAATAGACTCTACATCATAATGTATTAATTATATGGGTGAGAAAGCCCATCAGCATGATTTTTCCCTACTAAAGGAGTTAGATGGAAAGGCATTACAGTTTTCTAACAAAAATTTCTAATGAAATACCCAAAGTTAATTGGAAAGCAACATCTAATGATATTTCATCTCATTTCTCAAACAATTTACTTCTGCCTCAAACTCATTAGAATTTGTGAAGAACTGACATTTCATTTTGTTGATGTAGGTAATCAAAGAGCTTTAAAGTTTAAAACAGAATCATTAGCAATGGATGGGCATAATTTCCAATTACATTTGAATATTCTAGGGCATAGATGCTATTCTCAAGGACTCTTAAAATATTTAGCATGTTGGATTCATTATGCTGCTGTTGTTTATGGAAAACAGTTTTACTCACAGTGATCATCTCTTAACAGAAAATCTATCGAATGGGTTATGAGGAGTTGAAGAAAAAAGGTTATGATCTTCCCCTTGATGCCATATCGATCAAAACAGCCAAAGCATCCCGTGAAATTGCCAGTGAAGTAAGACTTTATTCCCTGTTTATATTGATTTGATGGAAACTCAACACTTCAAAGAAGTCTAAATTTAATATTAATTTGAACAAAATCTTCTAAGGAATAAATTAAAATAGAGTGAAACAATCCCAGAGCTGTAGTGTGGGAAGAAGATAAGCTCAAGGATGCATTTTTTATGTATGGTATTTGTAGCCTTTTATCTTTTCTTGAAAAAAAAAAAAACTTAATTCTGTGGCTCTCTAGGCTTAGTGAATATTTAGACTTAATGTGCTTTGCTACAAGGATAGCAAAATAAGCTATTCTTGAAAGGAATGAAACATATTTTTTTTTCCTTTAGTATAAATATAAGGAAGGCTTTCGCAAGCAGCTGGGCCATCACATTGGGGCCCGGGACATTAAGGATGACCCCAAGATGATGTGGTCCATGCATGTGGCCAAGATCCAGAGTGACAGGGAGTACAAGAAGGACTTTGAGAAGTGGAAGACCAAGTTCTCGAGCCCAGTGGACATGCTGGGAGTGGTGCTAGCCAAGAAGTGCCAGACCTTAGTCAGTGATGTGGACTACAAGAACTACCTACACCAGTGGACGTGCCTGCCTGACCAGAGTGATGTCATCCATGCTCGGCAGGCCTATGACCTTCAGAGTGACGTGAGTCTAAGATTTTCCATTGGGCAACAAAACACCATGTTTGCTTTCCTAAGTTTCAAAGTCACCCCCCCCAAAGTGAGGGAAATTGAGTTTATACAACTGAGGTCTACTTTCCTGGACTAGTGCATATGCTCTCTCCCACAACCTAAAGATCTGAAAGCATTATTCCACAAAGATTGAGCCATCAAAACCTCTGTTGCTCTTGTGGAAGCCTAGATTGTTGACCTGGAATTGGATTGTTCTTTAGTAAATATTTTTTCAGCATTTCTGTTATTTAAAATTTTTCAAAATATGCTTGTAGTCTGAATATTTTGTTGATTTGCAAGACATACCAAAAAGTTTACATTTTCCAAGAATTCAAGTATTAAAATATACTGTATAATATAAAATTTTATTTCTTTTGGGACATAACATTATGCTTACATTTAGTGGTTTGTCACTTGCCATTTCAGAATGTGTACAAGGCTGACCTTCAGTGGCTAAAAGGCATTGGATGGATGCCTAGTGGTTCTCTTGAGGATGAGAAGAACAAGAGAGCTACCCAGATTTTGAGTGACCATGTTTACCGCCAGCACCCAGATAAATTTAAGTTTTCCAGCCTTATGGACTCCATTCCAATGGTTTTGGCAAAAAACAATGCCATTACCATGAACCATGTAAGGCCTTTGTTTACTTAAAAGAGTTATTCATTGTATGTCTACATTACTGGCCTGTATTCGTCACATATTTCTTATTTGTTTTAGCGCCTCTATACAGAAGCATGGGATAAAGATAAAACCACTGTCCACATTATGCCAGACACCCCTGAAGTGGAACTAGCTAAACAAAACAAAATAAATTACAGTGAGGTAAGCAATATATTCATGATGCATAGAATATTTTCCTTACAGTATCCTTTGCCAATCAAACTGATGTTGATTTATGTCTATTTCAGAAACTATATAAACTTGGCCTAGAAGAAGCCAGGAAGAAAGGCTATGACATGAGGATAGATGCCATTCCCATCCAGGCGGCCAAGGCCTCCAGAGACATAGCAAGTGAGGTGAGTGCACCTGAAATGTTCTTTGCCTAAATTTTGGCTCAGATTTCTTTATCTCTCATGGATATATAGTACATCAAGTAAACTGTCAGTTTAAAGTTATTAACTTTAACCCATAAACAGTATGACTCTTTTTCTAATTTTATTTTCTCTCTCTCAGAGAAAGAAAGCAAGCATGCAATTTAATCAGTGGTTATCACTGAGTAGCTGAATCATGTCTGAATTTTTATTTTCACATATATATGCTTTATATTTCTGAATGGTTTATAAGAAGCATGTATGACTTATATATTCCCAGAAAATCATTATGTTTTTAATTAACTGGAAAATTTGACACTAGTAGTTACTTTTTTTTTAACATAGAAGAACTGGGGTGTAGGCCAGAGGTGTGGGGGTGAGAGGATTCACCAGAGACATAGTGGGGACCAGAAAAGGTGGATCTACTGAAATACACTGCTAAAGGGAACAGCAGGTGAGACAGGAAAGGTTTGCTGCACCAAATGGGGGTTATCTCCCTGGCCAGGGATCAAATCAAGGCTGCAGCAGTGATAGCACTGAGACTTAACCCTTAGGTCAGCAGGAGGCCCCTAGTAGTTATTTTTAACTAAAAGTTAAAATAAATGACTATATGCCTTTTTCTTTTTCCAGTTCAAATACAAAGAAGGCTATCGTAAGCAGCTTGGCCATCACATCGGTGCCAGGGCGATACATGACGACCCCAAGATGATGTGGTCCATGCATGTGGCCAAGATCCAGAGTGACAGGGAGTACAAGAAGGACTTTGAGAAGTGGAAGACCAAGTTCTCGAGCCCAGTGGACATGCTAGGAGTGGTGCTGGCTAAGAAGTGCCAGACCTTAGTCAGTGACGTGGACTACAAGAACTACCTACACCAGTGGACGTGCCTGCCTGACCAGAGTGATGTCATCCATGCTCGGCAGGCCTATGACCTCCAGAGTGATGTGAGTACTGAGAATCATTTTATACGAAGGTGTGAAATCAGTGAAATTGACATAGCTTGGAGAAGGTAGCAATAGGTTGCAACAAACTCACCAGCCCCTGCCAGCGGGGAATGACATGTCTTCCTTCTGAGTGTTAATCCTTTAACCTTTCAAGCCCAAAAAAAAGAATATAGTCTGATATCCTGCCTGCCCACTAAAACACCTGTCCCCTACTGCCCAGAAGTAGAATATTTCTATGAAACCTTTTATAAACTGAAATAGTATAAAGCAAAGGAGCAATTACTGTTAATTTTATTTATGGAAAATTTTTTATAACATTCCCAGACACACAAAAAATAACCTACCAAGTGACACCTGAAAACTAAAATAAAATGAACATATATTAAAAGCAGAAATGCTTTGATACATATGCAGCCTGTATAAAATAGTTTTGGAAAGGAGCTGAGTGGGACCACTATCACGGCTTGGGTGCTGCTGCCTCCTTCATGGCTGCTGCAAAATAATCACCAAATGCCAGTTTTGCTTTTTGGTTTTAGTTGTAAAAGGAACTGTCTATCCTCTCTGGATTCCCTTTGATTAGTGAAAGCATACACTGAGTTCTTTCATAAAATCAATGTGGCATAACTAGAAAAGCAGCAATACTTGTATTTTCAAGAGTGCTTTTATTTTATTTCACGTATTTTAGATGAAATTGTTTTCCCAGTGCAAGGATAAATATTTACTATTTGTGTCAACAGAATGTGTACAAGTCAGATCTCCAATGGATGAGAGGCATTGGCTGGGTTCCGATTGGCTCTTTGGATGTAGAAAAATGCAAAAGGGCAACTGAAATTTTGAGTGAGAAAAGCTATCGCCAGTCTCCAGACAAATTTAAATTCACCAGTGTGACTGATTCCCTGGAACAAGTGTTGGCAAAGAATAATGCGATCAATATGAACAAGGTGAGGCTTCAAAATTCAGAGAACCAAGGTAGGACTCCTGAGACTGAATCAAAGCAAAAGAAACATGGTTGAGAAAAGAAACAGAACATTCTAGAACAAAAGTCATCTGTTTATTATCACTGATATATGTTTTATATTTTAATATTTGTTAATTGTATCACGGTTTTGATAAAATGACACAACTTTACGGAAAAATTTTGTTTGAGTTATTCTCAACCTCTTTTTAAAAATTGTTAACATCCCCTGCCGCAGGCGAGGGTCCCACATGGCATGCAGACCTCTCCTGCCGCCCGCTGCTTCCCTCAGCAGCGTACTTCATCAATCTGCCTGTTCTGTTCCCCGCTCTGGCTCTGGTGGACTCTCTCACCCTGCCATGTTTCTGACTATACCCAGTGCTTGTATAAATAAATAAATAAATCTTTAAAAAAAAATCATTAACATACATTAGAACATAATAGAACATTTGTTCTATTGTGAACTGATTACTTGAATATGTATATGAAATATATATACATAAAGTTATATACATAGTTATGTATATATACATATATACATAAAGTTATATGTATATAAAATATATAAACTGTTATTTTTGTTTATAATTCCTATTAATGATGATAATTATCTTTGCTTTGATAGCGCTTATACACTGAAGCCTGGGACAAAGACAAGACCCAGATCCACATCATGCCAGACACACCAGAAATTATGTTGGCAAGAATGAACAAACTCAACTACAGTGAGGTAGGAGCAGATACTAATTCCATGATATTTGCATGCTGTTTCTCATTTCAAAAATCTATTCCACAGTGATATAATACTAAGTGACAGCTTTATAAAGAATCTCTATCCTTGCTCCATGTAAATACCAGTCCCTGCATTTCATAATCACCATCTTAAACATCACACTTTGAGTAAGAGAAACGATCACTTCAGAAGTGTGAATTTTAAGAACTAATGATTTAAGCAGTAATTATAAAATTAAATAGACTTTCTGCTTTATTAATTTGCAAGCAATAGACCAAATGTACATTTATCTTCTCCTTATGCTACATAGCTGTGCTAAGTATATTTTCCATATGATTTCTTATTTCTGAATTATAGTTTAGAATATAGTATAAAACTAAAACTAGTTTTAGATTTATACATTAAATTAAGTAGACAAAAAATAGTATTATTAAATAGCACTGAGAGAGAGACAGAGAGGATTCTGTCAGTGGTATATATATTAGTAAGATTATTTTCTTTTCACTTTCTGGGAGCCTAGGACCATGTGCCCCCATTTCAGAACCACAGATGTTTAGTCTGAGAAGTTTCTCTTCTAGTACAGGAGTCTTCACCCAACTAGTTACCATCTTGCCTAGCTTAATTGTTCTCAGCAAACAAATCAACCCACTTGTTTTGGAAAATTCCTTTAGAAAGTACTTCTGCTCTTTTGAGCCACAATTCTCTCTGCAGACCCATATACTGATAGTTGTCTGAGCTAGGCAGAACCAATGTGTGCTCCTCCACAGAGACAGACACACCACTGCCTTGGTCCTTCCCTGACATGTCACCCCACACATTCCTAGTTCCTGAGCATCCTCATATGACATCCCTGTTAGTGTGAGACTCTCAGAACTGAGCAAAACACTGAGAGTAAGGAATTCTACCAGAGAAGGATACAATCATATTTCCCGTTCTGGACTTTAACCTCTGTTTCTGCACTCTGCCTCAGGGCGCATTGGCAGCTAGGTCTCTGCTGGTACAAAAGGAACCTGGTGCCTCCTGAAATCCTAAGACACTTTATGTGAGGTTAAGCTAGATGCCCTCCATCTTGCATTTATTCATTTGACAATTTAAATCTCAGTTCAAAGATTGACATTTATCTCTTTTTATATTGGGCTTATTGTTGTAAGCCTGTGGAGGTTTTTGTGAATCTAAAATACTGTCAGCTTATGTATTATTTATTTCTTCAAGCTTTGTGCTACCAGTAAGGAACGTATTGTTTCTTTGACAGCATAAATTAACTATTCAGTCTGAATATAAAATAGAGATTTTCGATGGTTTAACTGCAATATTAGGTCATTTTATTTTGAGAGTGGACACCATAATTTTAGTGCTTATATAACTAGCTCTTAATTGTCACTAAAACATCAAGTTCTGCTCTAAAATCTAAGTCCCACTCTGAAATCCAAGTGACTTTTTAGCTAAACCTGTGATATAGGTCCTGTATTGTTGCAGGAAAGCATGTATTTTATGTCCAAGAATAGCAGACCTCCTCTCCACGCCCCTCCTCCCCCGGCCTATACCCCAGTTCTTCTGTGCAAAAAAAAAAAAAAAAAAAAAAAAATGGTAAGACATTAAAAAAAAATAATGTAGTTAAATGATTTCTCCTGCTCTGAGTTTTTGGCAGTTCTATAGCTTACAAGTCTTTTTATCACATCTGATAGAAAACTTGGTGAAGGAAACTTTGATTCATGCAGACCCAGCACATTCAAGGCACAGGGGCAAAGCAGAATAAATGTGGACTGAATTGATTTCCATGATCAACAGTTAAGTTTTTCCCACCTAACCACATTTTGTCACCTGAGGCCCATGAGTTTCAGCTCAAGTTTTCTAGCCCTTTTCAGAATTTTAAAATTAACATATAATGTCAGTATATAGTTAATGCAACATAAATTTTAAAGTAAGATGCAAAGGTGCAACATTTTGTATAGGTATCACTATAGATCTCAACTTCAGAAAAAAAAATACAGAAGATTGGGCCACCCCTGGTGGCACAGTGGTTGAGCGCTGGGCTGCGAGATTGCCCGCAGCCTCTGCAGTGCCGGTTCATTCCCTGGCTGCCGGCGAGGGTCCCACACACACACACAAAAAAAAAAATGTAGAAGATTTAAAACTCTTAAAAGTAAGATTATTATAGAAATTGCACTGTGTAGAACTTAGTGAATTACTTCAGTCCCCTGAAGTTTTTGGATATGAATGTCAACATCTGACTGATTTATTATTTGCTCAAATTCAGAGTCTGTATAAACTTGCCAATGAAGAAGCAAAGAAGAAAGGCTATGACTTGAGAAGTGATGCTATCCCAATAGTGGCTGCCAAGGCCTCCCGGGACATCGCTAGTGATGTGAGTTGTCAACTTTATTCTGACATTTCCACTAAACTGAATTGTTAAAAAAAGTGCTATCCTAGATCTTTGAAAATATGTCCTGATGTATTTGGGTGGGATTTTTCAAAACCTAATTTTGGGAATCTTGCATGATACCACTACACCAGCGGCGTCAAAACCTAATTTTGGGAGAAATGACAATTTTGATGTTCATAAAAGGGAATTTATCACCTTAAGCATATAGTAACTTCAGTGAAAACAAACCCACCAAGAATAGAGAAAGATTCCTTCACATGGAAATTATTAGAGTGCAATTGCAGGTTTAGAGATGCTTATATAAAAATTATCACAGAGCTTATACAAAGTGTAACTCACATAAGTTTCCCCAGTGAGAACCAGGGCCTGGCTTTATGCAGCACTTTACATACAACATTCAAAAATGCATATGACACTTTCCAAGACAATTCATCCCGGAAAGATTATGTAAAGAAGGTAGCTGACCAGTCTTAGATGTGGCTACCCCCAAGCTCAAACTGTTATCTGTAGCTACGTATGTAGCACCTACCTCCCAGAATAAAATCATCATCCTTTCTTGGTGCCTCAGGGGATTCTTGGGAACAAACCACTGCACTAAAAATCAAGGCCCACTATTCAGGACTATGGACTATGTCCTTTGTACTGGACAATCATGGTAGTGACTCAGTTTAGTTTATGTATTGAGCCTTTACCCCAAGTGAATTTATGCTAATAATATGAATAATGAATGAATAACCAAGTAGTATTGAGAACTGTGTTTTAAGAGCCTTTACATGTGTTTTCTTACTTATTCTTCATAATTGACTTGGGATGTAAATATTGTTATTTTTCCCATTTTGTACATTTCTTAAGCAACTTGTCTTAAATCCAGTTCTTGGTGGAGAGTGGGGTTGAAACTTTAGACAACCTCATGCCTTTCCACGCTACTGTATTGCCTCCTGTTGACTCATCTTTACTTTCTCACCCAGTTCTCTTTGAGATTGCAAACATTTGTTTTGGAAAATTGGCTCAAATTCCAGGAGGAGGTCTTTGGACACAGAACAATAAAAACATTGTAGGCACATGTGGGACTAGAACCCATATTCTATTAAGAGAATGCTCTAGCCAGTTGGACTGCTACATTGGCATCACTAGCGTGATTTGTTTTCAAATGATTCCAAAAATTGACCACCACCACTGAAGGCATGAATCCATTAAAAATAATGAATTCTCTTTTGTTGCTATGCAGGTAGCCCTGACCTAGAGTACTTCATCTTACAGAAATCAGATATTCATTTACCAGTAATAAAACACACAATATCACTAAGTACATATCTTTTCTGACATAGTTTTTAGCAAATTAGATCCATTTCTCTGAGTTTCCTGGTTCAAATAACCTCTCTTCTCTTCTACTTGCACAAGTGACCTCTCCCCACTGTGTACACTTCCTGCCTTTTAGAGCTTTTCCTTATTACCACACTACAGGTGATTTGGGACATATACTACAATAATACAGATTCTGTCTATCTTACTGTCTCTCTAAGTTTTTAGGGTAAAGATCAGGATACCAGCTTGAGTCAGTGCTTATTTGCAATGTTAGCTTACAATTGTGGGGTAAACAATTGAAACCTGATTTGTACATTTTCATCTTAGTACAAATACAAAGACGGTTACCGCAAGCAGCTGGGCCATCACATTGGGGCCCGGGACATTAAGGATGACCCCAAGATGATGTGGTCCATGCATGTGGCCAAGATCCAGAGTGACAGGGAGTACAAGAAGGACTTTGAGAAGTGGAAGACCAAGTTCTCGAGCCCAGTGGACATGCTGGGAGTGGTGCTGGCTAAGAAGTGCCAGACCTTAGTCAGTGATGTGGACTACAAGAACTACCTTCATCAGTGGACATGCCTCCCTGACCAGAATGATGTCATCCATGCTCGGCAGGCCTATGACCTCCAGAGTGATGTGAGTATGGCACCTGTAACAGAGCTGTGTGCAGAAATAATTAAAACTATATAAAAGTTATCCCTTATATATAATCCATTGGCCTGTTCAAATTAGAATTTATTGGTTAGTGAGTATAGTTTTATTACTTTATTGTGAATATGTTAATAGGTTTTTTAAGCAAATGAACTGACAGCTTGAACTTGATTTTATAAAAATAAAACTAGAATTAAGCAATGTTGGAAGTCAGGGTCCACCAGAGGGCGACATTTTCTTTCATTCTTTTAAGGGGGAATGAAAACACGTTTTAAAAATTAGTCTGAAATTTATTTTTAGTTTCCTTGCAACTCTAATGTGGTTATAATTGTAATAGAACACTGATGTCTGCTTCACTACAAAATGTTATTCTTTCATATTGAATGAAGTCACTGTGTTAGTAAGCTTTTGGATGGTTTCACTGACACTTTCTCTGCTTAGTACAGCTCTCTTTGTGGAAAGTCATGTGTTAATGACAGACCCTAGTGTTCCTTTAGAAATAGATGCATCATCCCAAATCTGTGTATAAGAAGTACATTTCCTTCATCATGTGTTTATAAATGTGTGAATGAATTATTTTGCATTAGAGGACCTTGGAGAATAAAGCAAATTAATAATAATTATACATTGTTCCTCGAAATTTACAGCCTATCCCTGAAAACTCCCACTTCTGTCCTATAGCTTTGAATATATAGAACCCTGGGTTTTGCACTTCACTCCAAAAAGAAAGACCTTGACTGGACATAAAAGGTAGTGGAAAACAGTTAATGTCTCACATAGAGTGACAGAATTGACAGACTGCCTTCATCTGTCTATTTACTGGCCTCCTTCACAGATATGTTTAAATAATGTGGGGGAACATTTTAAAATAAATGGCACTCTAGAGGTATATTTGTTTTTATTTTTTCTGTTGTTATTTAAGGGGCAGTAGCTAGGCAGCATAGAACAATTTCGAGACTTTTTGTCTAGACTGTAAAATATCAGCTTATATTTTATATTAGTTGCTATTAAAGGTGAAATCCTTCAAAGAACAGATAAAATGCCTAATTCTGGTTATAGTGCTTAATCAGTATATAAAAATCTGTAGCAGAAATATGAAGATAAAGATTTAAAATAAAATAAAAACTGAGGAATAAAGATATGGAAATATGATTCTGTAAATGAGTCCATGCTTCCTATCCTGGGAATTTGGTGGGGAAGAAATTGGGGCCCTGGACCAATAAAATGCTCACTTACCAGTGAACAGTGTTAAAGCCATTAAAGTTCTGCCTCAGGACTTTAGGGTTCTACATCCTTATTGTATTTTCATTCTACTCCTTATAAAAAAAAACTACAGATTTTTTTAAATATAAGAAAAATACACACAGGGCAATAATAATCCAACCACTGAAAAGCCCACTGCTGCTTATATAGTTTATCCACACACATAGTTTTATGTGCTATTTTTCATCTAATATTAATGACATTTCTGCATATCATCAATATTCTTTAAAATATGACTTTTAGCAGCTCCTGGTATTTCATTTCATGAGACCTGATAACCTGCTGTTGGGTGCATATGTGTTTCTTTCTCTCACACTGGGTTGACATTCTTTTCTTGTACACACGGACATTATAACTTTCACTGTACTGACGGACAGAAGATATTCACTTGGATTGCTTCTCTGCTAACCACCTGAAAATATGTGACCACTCTGTGTTATGCCTAGAGGACATTTCACAATACAAGTTCACAATACAGTGAACTTGTTTTCTATAGGAAAAAAACAACTAGAATTGTACTTTATTACTGATTCCATTTATGTCTTTACCCTAAAGGTTTTGTTCTTGCTGAAGAATTTCTGTCTTTAAACTCTTCACAGAATGTGTATAAGTCCGATCTCCAGTGGCTGAAAGGCATTGGCTGGGTCCCCATTGGGTCTGTGGAGCAAGTCAAGTGCAAGAGAGCTGCAGAGATATTGAGTGACAACATCTACCGTCAGTCCCCAGACAAGCTGAAATTTACCAGTGTGACTGATTCCCTGGAACAGGTGCTGGCCAAGAACAATGCTATCAACATGAACAAGGTGAGCCCCCAGTTGCCTCAAGCTCCTCTGATATGCTAAAAGATGTTATTATACTTTGATTGACTAGTAGAATTAAAAATTTCCACAAAAGTACCTCTTAAACTATATACTTAAAGTCTTTTAAATAATTTTTATTATTCCCTGTTCTAATCTTGATAGCTAGCATTGAGACTCAACCTCCAGTTGAATATTTGTCTATTTAAATTTTTCCTAATAAGATCAGTTATAATCCTTAATTTGAATTTTTGTAATGCCTACTTCAACTTCAAGTGGTTTTCTATCAACTTCTTCTTTGATAGCGTTTATACACCGAGGCCTGGGACAAAGACAAGACTCAAATTCATATAATGCCTGATACCCCAGAAATCATGTTGGCAAGGCAGAACAAACTCAACTACAGTGAGGTATGGACAAAGATCTGTGATGTTACACTTTTATTGTTGTTATTGTTTGTTTTTCTGCACTTACTTTTGTGGAGATTCTCAAGTCTCAGCTGTCATGGACACTCACTGTGTCCAAACTTTCATCTCTGAGTTGAATATTATATTCTATTGAATTCTATGGGTAAACTGCAGTAAAATTATCTTTTCAATTTATGGTCATTGCCATGTGATTGGGTAGAATTGAGCAGTGTTTTTGGCCTTTCCTACACATAAGGTTGCCAGATAATATACTGGCTCATTGTTATTATTAAATACTAAAACTTTTATTTGCTGTTTATCTGAAATTTAGCTTCAAGTAGCTATGTTATATTTTTATTTGCAAAATCTGACAACCCTTCAAGGGAGCCTCTAGTAACATGGACCTGTTCCCACCTGGATCCTGAGTAAAATTTAAAAGTTAAACAAAGGAGGAGAAAAAGAAGTCAGAATTTTCTACTACTTAACATTAAGTTAAAAAACACACTTGCATTAGAGCTAAATGGACCCTAGAATTTGGTTCTAAACCTAACTGGATCCCAAAATGAGGTTCTGAACCTAACTGAATCCAGGCAAAGGTCACATTGGAGGGGAGGTGTCCCTTAAATCCTGGAGAAACAGGAGGCACTGGGTTTGATCTAGAAGGAACAGGTTCAGAGCTGAGCTGGGCATGCCCAGTTATCCCATCTCTACCAATGGGTTAAATCAGGGAATCACTGCACCTCTCCAGAGGTAGAGTATAAAGTGACAGAGAAAGGAGAAAGACCAGATTTAAAATAATTGGGCCCCTTTTCTAGAAAGAAAACCTCAAGTATGGGAAACTGTTATTCTCAGCTAATAGAACTACCTACATATTATTTAAAAAATAAAGTGCAGTTTTATAGGCACATGTTTTACAAAATGGTGCAGTAAAAATTTATAGGCTTGAAGTTAACTATGTTTCAAGTTTTACTTTTCTCATTTTTTAAAACATAAAAATAGATGATTGTCATAAATTTTAAGTAATAAATGAATAAAAGTCTATATATTTTACATACAAATAATATTAAATATATTGTTCTGCAATTTCTTTTTCACTTAGAAGTATGTATGGATTGGTCCTCTGTTCATTAGTCTATATTAATAGGTATGCTTATCTATGTTGATGTACATATCATATTACTCTACATATGATATGTATTAATCTATAATGATATAGCAATCAACATTGATATTTATTGCTATATTTCAATTTTTCTAATGCTAAATAGCATTTTTTGGTAGAATATATTATATTACATTTACTTTCCACTATTGCTAGAAACTTAGATGGTTTCCAGTTTCTATTCTTTCAAAATATGTGGTGTGTGATTTTGTAATCTCCAAATTGTTTTTGTCAAACTTTTGCTTTAATTCTGACTTTCTTTCTATAGAGTCTGTATAAACTTGCTAATGAAGAAGCAAAGAAGAAAGGCTACGACTTGCGAAGTGATGCTATTCCAATTGTGGCCGCCAAGGCCTCCCGGGACATCGCCAGTGATGTGAGTAGCAGCAAGACCTCTACATATTTACATACATGGAAGAAATGATGGGGAAGTAACATTATTGCAACAGGAAGATGCACTTGGGTGCCAGTGGAAGCACATTTATTGTCTTATTTCTCTTAATGAAAGAAATGCTTTTCATTTTAAAAACTTTTTCATATTTTTAACTCAAAAAGACTTTAAATGTCAAGATCCTAAAGACAGAAAGGGGATCCTAACTTCAGTATAAAATTGAATTTCAGTCTACAATTCTTCATGTCTATAATTATTAGAAGTTCATATCCATATTTTAAGCACATAGCTCTCACAGAAAAAAAAGAAAATTCCAGAAGAGATTAAATAGATAACTTGGTTATATTTATTGGTTTAACATCAGAAAAAGATCTGGTACAGTCAGATCTAGAAAAATGCACCTTTCCCCAAATTGGCATTGGAATTTTGCCAGTTCTTTCTTTGAAAAAAAATACCTAAAGTTCTTCTTTTTGTATATGAAAACAGAAAAACAAAAACAAACAACCAAAAGTAATAATAATGAACCTGATTCCTCTTTCCACTGTCTCTGAAAGAAGTGGGTCCTTTGGTGGAGAATTCAGCCTCCAAAAATGTATGGTTGGGTTTTGTGTAATGTTATCCAAATTAGAGAGAAACATCTTGGAGTCAGCACTCAGTACCACCACAAAAACATTTTTCCATGTGAGGAATCCCCACAATGCTCAGCCAAATTTGACCTCTGACAGAGCAGGACACACAGGAAGTTAAACACAAGCTAGTCCACTTCAGGGAATATCATTCTCAAAATTATATGTCATATTTATTGTCAAACAGTGATTTCATTGTTCCAAGATAAAGAAAAGGCAGTATATAATTCTGTTTTTCCTGCTGCCTTTGCTTTCAGGGAGTTGATGTCTGAGTGCCATACAACTATGTAGTTTGGCCAATCTTCCCATTAGAATATTGCTATGAAGTCTAATCAGAATTTAGAATGAGAACATAAGTTAATATTCAGAAGACTCCATTTCTCTGCAAGAATTTCCAATTTAAAAATACTAAAATTTTAATCAGTAAGACTTTTAGCCTTTTCCATTCATTTGTTTAAAATGGCCACTTTTATTTCAGTACAAATACAAAGACGGTTACCGCAAGCAGCTGGGCCATCACATTGGGGCCCGGGACATTAAGGATGACCCCAAGATGATGTGGTCCATGCACGTGGCCAAGATCCAGAGTGACAGGGAGTACAAGAAGGACTTTGAGAAGTGGAAGACCAAGTTCTCAAGCCCAGTGGACATGCTGGGAGTGGTGCTGGCCAAGAAGTGCCAGACCTTAGTCAGTGATGTGGATTACAAGAACTACCTGCACCAGTGGACGTGCCTGCCCGACCAGAATGATGTCATCCATGCTCGGCAGGCCTATGACCTCCAGAGTGATGTGAGTACTTGGTGACTCCTAACTACCACTAGTGACCATGCTTATGACAATTAATACATAGTAATAAATAGATAATGGCCTAGGTAAAATGCTCATAAATAATAGCATTTCTTCTCTCCAACCCCTTTTTCATTGTGCTGACTTTTCTTTTAGAAAGACTATAATACCATGAGGGTATATCTAATTTGGTTTTCATGTGTTAAAGGACATAGATGTGGTGTTTGGCTACTCAAGTTTTCCAGTGTTTTTCTTTTATGTTTGAAATTGAGTCTCAACAGCTTCAGTAATACTTTATTTTATGTTTGATCTCACTAGAACGTCTATAAATCAGACCTCCAGTGGCTGAAAGGCATTGGCTGGGTCCCCATTGGGTCTGTGGAGCAAGTCAAGTGCAAGAGAGCTGCAGAGATATTGAGTGACAACATCTACCGCCAGTCCCCAGACAAGTTGAAATTTACCAGTGTGACTGATTCCCTGGAGCAGGTGCTGGCCAAGAACAATGCTATCAACATGAACAAGGTGAGCCCCCAAACTGGAAGAAATAACACAGAATATCTATGATTAAGTTAGTCTTTTTTTGTCTTATTCAGTTGTCATCCTCTATAAAGTGATTTGGCTATCTACTCAGTTACATTAAGATAATGAAAAAATACATGTGGGAATTGCTGCTTTGACACCTCTTGTGAAGTAGCCAAGTTAAGAATAGCTACTTGGCGTTCAAATAATTTAAAGTCTAAGAGAGTTATATATGGTATCATATTAAGATTTCTTTTTTACTGGCTATACTTATTTAAGTATAAAACAAGTCAGATGCTAATCTCCATAATATTGGTTATAAAGAAATGTAGAGATGTCATATCAAGGTACATTTGCAATTAACAAAAAAAAAAAATGCCTAAAGATGGGCCTCCCCAGTGGCGCAGCGGTTGAGCGCTGGGTTGCGAAGCTGCCCGCGGCCTCTGCGGCGCCGGTTCAATCCCCGGCTGCTCCCCGGCCACCAGAGGAGGGTCCCACATGGCGCGCAGACCCCTCCTGCCGCCCGCTGCTCCCCTCAGCAGTGTACTTCGGTCCTTCTGCCTGCTCTGCTCCCCGCTCTGGCTCTGGTGAATTCTCTCACCCTCCTGCGCTTCTGACTGTACCCAGTGCATGTATAAACAAACAAACAAAAAAAAAAACCAACCAAACAAACAAACAAATAAATAAATAAATAAATAAAATGCCTAAAGATTTGTTAATATACCCACAGTAAACATGGATATATCTACATTAGAAGGTAGCTTTGCTAATCATTATGCCACCAATGCTTGTGCTATCTGCTTAGAAAATACTTGTTCTTAATTAATTGGGATGGATGTGATCCTGTAATGAAGTCCATAGGATTTTCTTTTTCATAACAGTCTACACTTATGTTTAGTGATAATAATTATCCTGTAATATCAAAGAGTTTGAAGAGTGCTAATATACAGCACAAATGCAGCATTCACCGTTGTCATGATCCCTTAAATGGAAACTCCAGTATATAACACACTTTGTTTTCATAACTCATGAATGTTTTTATCCCTCACAGCGCCTATACACAGAAGCCTGGGACAAAGACAAGACCCAAGTCCATATCATGCCTGATACACCTGAAATTATGTTGGCAAGGCAAAATAAAATAAATTACAGTGAGGTAAGATCATTTGTTTTATTCCTTGATCTGGCCATTATTGATTGTATGTGTATGTACTTTTTAATATTATATATCTACATAAGATAAACATGTTTACATATTTTCAGTGTGCAAAACCTCAATCTCAACTATTAGTGACTGAAACATAGTGTATCTTTTAAAAAATGATTATTATTATTTATCAGAAAAGTACTTGCTTCAAATTTTATTCTGTGAGTTTGTTTTCTTTAGCTACATCAACTGTAAAATGGACAAAATTTCCTATTTGAAGGACTTCTGTAATGACACCATGATTTAGTATATATAAAATGTCTAGTTGAAGCCTGGTGCAAACCAGTTGCTTAATTAGTTAGCTTTAATATCTTCTCTTTATACTTAAGTCACCATAAAAATTAGATTTATTTAAAACAACTTGAGGTTTATTTAAAAGAAATGAAAAGAGAGCCTTAAGTTCCTCCATTTCAAAATTGTGTGAGGATGATAAAATACATTCTTGCATGACATGGATGGTGCTGGAAGGGATCATGCTCAGCGAAATAAGCCAAAAAGAAAAAGAAAAATACCGGATGGTCTCACTCATAGCAGGAATCTAGAAAACTTAAATAAGGGACCAGGAAAATGAATAACTATAAGAAAGTGAAAATCAAAATCAACAAAAAACTATGAACCAGAGACACTTTTAGGGGGGCGGGGCGGGAGGGGAGGGATTGGGGTCAGAATGGGGGGGCTGCAATTGTATGGGGAATATAACAATAAAATTTATTATAAAAAAAAAAAATACATTCTTGCATGAGCTCTCTCCATCTTTACCAAACTTGTCATCACATAACTTTGCAGTCTAGAAATACTGCTACCGAATTAGCTTCTTGACTAATTGTTCATGCTGAAGTCAAGAATTACCTGGTTTATTCAATAACACTGATTGTTTTTTACCTATATGTGTATTTTCAGTAAAAAATTTGGAGGACAGATTTTTCTTTAGTTTGAGAACACTGGGAATTTTAAGTAGCCATTTTCAAGACTTGATAATGTTTATTATTTAACCCACATTAATTACTTTTACCTTTATAGTGTAGTCCTAAAAAGGAGCCATGCTTATATCAAATAACCATGACAAAAGAAGTGAAGAGGATAAGATTTTCCTCCCTAGTGTTACAAAGCAGATCCAAGCACAAGCCTGATCAGAAGTTCTTGATTGACCTTGGTTTCAGATATTTTTGAATAAGCATTTTTTCTTGTGGCCACAGAGTTTTTCTATTCGATTAGCTTTCCCAGGTGGTCTGTCTCACCCCAAGGTGATAAAGTTACTTTCTATGGCAAACTCTAATGAAGCTTTAAAGTCTCTCTCTTTTCTTAAAATTAGGTCAGATGAGGTAGATTTTCTTTTCAGACTGCTGAGAGGAAATTGGGCTATTTTTTAATTCTAAAATTTCCAGCTGAACTTACTTTCTTTAAAATTGCATCCTTATGTTCATTATCAAAGAACTGTCTTCTGGATACTACACTTCAGAATGACCCAATTGATTTCTTCTCAGCCCTTTACCATTAGTACCTTCAGTCCATATTTAGCTCAATAAATGTAAATAACCACATCTTATTTTTTTCCTCTTAAATCCTCTCTTACCTGTTTCAGTTCTCTTGCATAAATAGCTCGCCAAATAATCTTTAAAATGTAGCTGTGATGATAACTACAAGTGTTCTCTTCTTTGAAGCTCTACATATTTTTCAAATGTTGGAAGAATGAAAGAAATCTTTTTGTTTGATCCCAATATATGAGATGATTCAAACACATTTTCTCACACTTACACAAGAAGACAAATTTGAGCATTTATTCTTCAAAGGAAAAATGTGATAAAGCAAATGATTCCCCAGTTAAACATTTCTAAAATTTTTAAAAAGAACAAATGCCCTCGGGGTTTATCTCAACATTTTAAATGTATTTTTACTTTGGCTTTTCCTTGTAAAATCTCACCTTGAAAAGGATGTAGATTGTCATATATTAATAACCCACATTAAAACCATACAATCATGTCCCTCTAGTACTTTTAAGTTACATAAAAATTAAGTACCTCTGCATCATATTTAAAATCCAGATATATTATTCCAGTTTTCTTAATTCAGTATAATTGGAGAATGGGGCACAATAATGAAGCAATTTGATTTCACTATTTCTGCCACACTTAAGGATTTTCTTTACATGTGAGAATTTGTCTTTACAGTCTCAAGCAGTTTAAAATATGCTGAACAATGTAGAAAAAAGATAAAGCCTTAAAGAGTTGAGGTCGTTAATGTTTTTCCACTAAAAACCAAAAGTGGTTTCTAAATACTGCATCTTCTAGCAGATTTTTTAAAAAAAACCTGACTGAATGTATCAGTACATTTCTGCATCCTTAAGTAGTCTTCCTTTGACAAAATGACTTTTTAGAATAAAAGTAGGTTCTATATCTAAAGTCTACTTCTTCTTTCCTTAGAGCCTTTATCGCCAAGCCATGGAAGAAGCCAAGAAAGAGGGCTATGACTTAAGAAGTGATGCCATACCGATTGTGGCTGCCAAGGCCTCCCGGGATATTGCCAGTGATGTAAGAGCTGATCCAGTCTTTACATTTGTTATCAACAGGCTAGCCACCTGCATAGGAAACCACATTATTAGAATACACTTGGAAGTCTCCTTAGCCCTTCATTGCACAACAAATGCATTTGAGATAATAGAATAGTGGGTAAACTGTCCAAAAATACAAGTAACGTTGAAATAACACGTGGACTGGAGTCTGGTTCTTTTGGCCCTCGTCTTTTGGCCTTTGCTTAATAAAACTGAGTGCCTTTATTAAAGTTAGACAGACATATTTGAGGTACTCATCAAGTCTCATGAGTTGTCCTCAAGATACGCTCAAGGCAAAGATGTGAGGAAAAACCAGCTTATCTAAGTTCTTGACCTGAAGGAGTCAAGTTCCCCATGACTTAAAGAAGGACATAGAACAGGGGAAAAACTAAACGACTCCTGATGTGGGGTCCATAAATATCTTTATTCCTTTACCCTAAAAATCATGACATCAGACTCCTGGACAACTTCAATATTAATCTAAGTATAGCAAAATCATCCATTTTTATAGATTTTTTTTCTTTTTTAGTTAATGATAAAAACATAAAATTTACTATTTTACCCATTTTCAAATATAAGTTCAGCAATGTTAAGAATACTCATGCTATTGTACCACAGACTTCTAGAACTTTTTCATCTTCTATATCCATTACACAAGAAAGTATTCCTATTTAAAATGATCCCATATTATTTGCAAAGAGGAAATTATTTATCAAAATGCCCAAGGAAAATAAAATGTAATGGACCATGTAAACATATCACTCAGATATGTGCTTAGGTAGGTTCACCCACATGACTAACTCCTGAGACACAGTTTATCACTGACTGAGTTCACTCTTTCAGTGTTCAATTTTCAGTCATTATTTGTGAATGTACAATTTTTTGGCATTATATAAAGGAATCATTGTGGAGCTATTGGAAGTGTGCACTTGAGCATACTGTCTTCTCCTTTGGAGGAAGCATGCCTGATTCTAGCATCACAGCAGCACATTTGGTATAACTTCCTGTGATTCAGGTTTTCATAGAAAACATCACCTCAAAAAGAACAACAGGCAATATCCCTTGGTGCTTCCTCCTTATTCACTGGTTTCTCTCTTCCAGTACAAATACAAAGAAGCTTATCGTAAGCAGTTGGGTCACCATATTGGTGCTCGAGCGATACATGATGATCCCAAGATGATGTGGTCCCTCTACATTGCCAAAGTGCAGAGTGACCTTGAGTACAAGAAAGAATTTGAGAAATACAAGACCAGGTACAGCAGCCCAGTGGACATGCTTGGTATTGTTTTGGCTAAGAAATGTCAGACCTTGGTTAGTGATGTGGATTATAAACATCCTTTGCATGAATGGACCTGCCTGCCCGACCAGACTGACATCATCCAGGCTCGGAAAGCTTATGACCTCCAGAGTGATGTGAGTATCCCTTAGGCTAGTTACAAGCAGATCTGAAACATGTCATGGCTTCTGACTAGTGCCATTGAACTGGAAATGCTTACATATTTTAAAAGTATGCAACTGAATATTTGAAAATAGTTTTCTGTTGGGAAAATCTATACTTTGTTTCTTCCCCAAAAGTTATATGTAAAAGAGGAAATAATGAATTATTATCATCAATATACAGGTTTATTCATTCCTAGTGACTTTGACTTCCTTTGAGTTAGATGAATTTAGACATCAAACATTAGATATGATTACAATTTTTGTTAAAGAAGTGGAAAAATGTGTGTATGTTGGTAGAGGATAATTTGGAAAGAGTGAGAACAGACAATTTTTTTAAGATTTATTTTATTTATTTGTACATAAAAGAGCTGGGGGTACAGGCTAGAGGTGTGGGGGTCAAGAGGTTTCACCAGAGACAGAGTGGGGAGCAGAGCAGGAAGATCTGAAATATGCTAAGGAGAGCAGCAGGTGAGACAGGAGAGGTCTGCTGCACCATGTGGGTTAGCTTCCTGGTCAGGGATCGAACTCGTGCTGCAGTAGCTGCTGATAGCTTCATAATGCTGAGACTTAACCCCTTGTACCACCAGGGAGGCACCAAGAACAGAAGTATTTTATGGTAAATTGTTTTAGTGACTTAAGAAACATTCATGGGCCTCCCTGGTGGCGCAGCGGTTGAGCGCTGGGTTGCGAAGCTTGCCCGCAGCCTCTGCAGCACCGATTCCATCCCCTGCGGCCAGGCGAGGGTCCCACATGGCTCACAGATCTCTCCTTCCGCCCGCTGCTCCCCTCAGCAGTGTACTTCATCACTCTGCCTGTTTTACTCTCCGCTCTGGCTCTCGTGAATTCTCTCACCCTCCCCCGCGCCTCTGGCTGTATCCAGTGCTTGTATAAATAAATAAATAAATCTTTTTTTAAAAATTCATATTTTATATTTTCTGATAGGAAAATACTAAGACTTTCTTGTCTTTTCCAATACTAGTCATCTACTACCTATCAACATTCAGAATGTCCTATTGAGAGCAAACAATTTGAAAAACCAGGGAAATACCTAATATATTATCCTTATAACACTACATTAAGCATTTGGTATTTTTTGATTTTAAAGATGGAAATAAAGGCAAGCATTTCTGTGACTGTATCACTCACATGGCATTGGTCTGAGTATGTGGTCTTACTGAGAACTATTAGAACACATATTCCAATGTGTTCTGCTCTGCTTTCATTCAAAAGTCTTATAATTTCCTCAAGGAATTTATAACCAAGGGCAGGATTGTGTCTTTCACTTGAAAAAAAAAATCTTTTCATCCTCTGAACCAAAAAATTCTCAGGAAAAAAAATATGCTCAGGATTCATAGTGCTTATGAATGAGTAGTCAATGATGTTAGGAGCTTTATCTGTTGATCAATACCTCTGTATTTCTCTAGCATGATCCATTTTGTGACTATGGAAATCTGATATATCAGGTAATAAATGTATTTCTTAACTGTTCATTTGCAGAATCTGTATAAAGCAGACCTTGAATGGATGAAGGGCATTGGCTGGGTTCCAATTGGCTCCGTGGAAGTTGTTAAAGCCAAGAGAGCCACAGAGATCCTGAGTGATAATATCTACCGTCAGCGTCCAGACACATTGAAATTTACTAGCATAACTGATTCTCCAGAGCAGGTGCTGGCAAAGAACAATGCTATAAACATGAATAAGGTGAGTCTTTACTCCTCCTCAACAGATGTCCAAAATTCACCATAGAATAAGGTAAAAATTTTGACATATTATAATTTTGTAGAGTCTTACAAGATTTGTGATTCCTTTAAAAGTGATATTTCCATTATATGTCATAGTTACTTATTAATACTTGAAATTATTAAATTTATGTTAAAGAGATTACAATTATAATTATTTCATTATTCTTTCCTAGACAGAATTTAACTCCTGCAACCCACTTATACTTTTCACAACTGTGGACTTTAACACGGATTATAATAACTCTAAGTCAATGATATAGTGAACTAAATACTCTTCAATAAAGTAATTTATTAGATAGGAATTTATGCAGCTCTAATAATTTTATTTCAGCATTTTATAGAAGAAAAGTAACAGGCACATAATCAAAAGAAAATGTTTTCAAACACCAAAATAATTTTTCTCATTCTTTTTCGTTATAGCGCTTATATACTGAAGCTTGGGACAATGATAAGAAAACAATCCATGTCATGCCTGATACACCAGAAATCATGTTAGCCAAGTCCAACCGAATAAACTATAGTGATGTGAGTAAAGTATTGATTTTCTGAATAACACAGAGGCAAAAATGAATGACTATAAGTTGTTATTAGTGAAATATTTTTCACTGATTTACTATACATAGTCAAACTAACATTGGTAAGAGGTAATTCATCTTCCTTGATTCATTTTTGGGATATGCAGTGGGTCAACAAAATAGGCCAGCCTTTATCAACAGGTTATTGGGGAATGGAATACTTTGAAGAGAGATCCCAATAGAAATGAAACTCTTAAAGAATTTCCCTACAAGTCAATGTGGATAGCAAGTCTTTGTTTTATACATGAGTTATTTAGGCAGGCACTGAATTGCAACCCAAGAAGTTATCATACCTTGTATTATATTGCTGCTTCCCTGTGCTCTGGTTTAGTTGTTTGCAAGCATTTCTAGGTACTGGTCCTGTTAGCACCAACATTTTTATCAGAGCAGTGATTCTGAAACCTTAGCCTACAGGTTGATCATAGTCCTTGATAATAGTTCACAGCAAGGTGAAAAAAAAAATGACAACATAATCAGTTTTTCATAAATATGAATATATACAATTTAAAAATGTTACCCTTATTCTTTATGCTTCTTTAATTTTATAATGGCCTTCTTTTGTGTTATTATAATTAAAAACGGTTTTTCACATATGGTTGTTTGGAAAAACAAAATTTTGGCAACTTAATTGACATCCTCCATATTTTTTTTTAATTTACCAATCAATAAAATCCCAAAGTTTAGAACATGGGCTCTAAAACCTTTGAGCACTTATGAAGCAATGTTTTCCACAAACCCGCCCTAACACTTGACTTGCTACATTTATTTCTGTATTTTAAATGAGGACAGAAAATAATTTAATAATAAACAGCCTTATTTTTTATGGCAAGAATAATGATTGATGACTCTCTTTTCTGCAGAAACTCTATAAACTTGCTTTGGAAGAATCCAAGAAGGAGGGATATGACTTGCGTTTGGATGCCATTCCAATTCAAGCAGCCAAGGCCTCAAGAGATATTGCTAGCGATGTAAGCTGATGTTTTCAGAAGAGGCATTTCTTACTCAAAGATGTTTACAAATGGCAGCTCTTATAGTTTTCTTGCCAGGATTTTAGTTGGCCTAACTAGTCTCTCTTTTAATAATTCCCCCATGTAAAAAGTTTTGTTTTGTTTCATTCTTTGTAACTATTATTGAGGCTCTCCCATCAAAATAACCCTAACAGGACACAAGAACAATTGAGAAGTAAACAAGTCTTTTTCTTAGTACCCACATACCTCTCATTTCTAGTTCTATTCTCATGAGAAACACCACCTGAGGGTGTCCAGTGTTTTCATTCTGTAATGGGACTTCTTGGGACCTAAATCCAGACTTTCCTCTTGAAAGGGTCCCATGACTTAGATTTTATGCTTTCATTATCAAAATTTTCTCTGGATGTTAAATTGGACAAGTTTACACTACAATCATCTGAATGTAAAATAGGCCATATTATTATCATCATCATCATCATCATCATTATTATTACTGAATTTTAAAAGTAGATAGAGTTTTAAACCAAACTCTCAGTAAAAGGAGATATTTTCTGGTCAAACTCTATCTAAATATAGTCCATATCTTCAATCAAGGAACTCATTATAAATGCTAATAATGGGATATATTCTAAAACATTCTTAATATTAAAACATTTTTAGAAAATAATTGCAATAACTTTAGTATATGCTCTTTTAGATTGTGTAGGATGTTCTACTTTTACTTTTTAAGTAATCATTTTATAAACTAGGTTACATAATTTTGTAGAAGGGGGAAAAAATTAGGAACCAGAAGCTTTCTATTCTCAGTTTGTGATGTGGCCTTGGACAAATCACCTAACCCCTCTAGTCTTTAGGTTTCTATATTATACAATAGGGTTGGTAATATTCACCTGTATCCCTCACAATAGTGGTGCAGAAAATCAGAAGAAATACGGTGTGTGTGAAATGATGAAATATGATATTAATAAGCTGTCCTTATCACTATACTCATACCCTTTCTATTTTCTCAGTACAAGTATAAGGAAGGCTACCGCAAGCAGCTCGGTCATCACATCGGGGCCCGGGATATTAAAGATGACCCCAAGATGATGTGGTCCATACATGCAGCCAAAATCCAGAGTGATAGGGAGTATAAGAAGGACTTTGAGAAGTGGAAGACCAAGTTCTCCAGCCCGGTGGACATGTTGGGGCTGGTGCTCGCCAAGAAGTGCCAGATCCTTGTAAGCGATATAGACTACAAGCATCCTCTACATGAGTGGCTCTGTCTACCTGACCAGAATGATGTCATCCAGGCTCGAAAGGCCTATGACCTTCAGAGTGATGTGAGTAGGTCTAATTTTCTTCAGCATATGTTTGAAGGTTTTGAAAAGGTGTTCCTACTTCTTTATGTCATGGAATCTTTCGGTAATCTGGTGAAACCTATTGATTGAGGATAATGTCATGAAAGGCATAAAATAAAGTTTCAAAAATGAATTTCAGAAGGAACCAATCACATCAAAATATGGTTAACAAAATAGTAAACTAACTCTGTAGTATAGTAACATATATCCTTTTTAACACATTAAATAAAAAGCATAACTTTTAATTCAGAAAAGTGATGAGCATAAATATGCTCGCAACAACTTGCAACAACTCTAATAGGGTATGAAATTATTTGTGATTTCTGTTCCTCAAAAAGTCCCATGTAATGTCAATACTAATACAGCCTGCTGTTCATACTTAAAATGAATGAAATGCTATAATTCAGCTAAAGGAGAATGAAAATAAAGTCATTATCTCTTTATATCTACTTCATCAAAGCCAGGTTAAGAATTCCTGGCTTGGGGGCCTTCCCGGTGGCACAGTGGTTGAGCGCTGGGTTGCGAAGCTGCCCGCAGCCTCTGCAGGGCCGGTTCGATCCCCAGCTGCTCCCCGGCCTCCAGAGGAGGGTCCCACATGGCGCGCAGACCTCTCCTGCCGCCCGCTGCTCCCCTCAGCAGTGTACTTCGGTCCTTCTGCCTGCTCTGCTCCCCACTCTGGCTCTGGTGAATCTCACCCTCCCGCGCTTCTGACTGTACCCAGTGCATGTATAAACAAAAACAAACAAACAAACAAATAAATAAATAAACATGCCTCTATTAAAAAAAAAAAAAAAAAAAAAGAAGAGAAATTTAAAAAAAAAAAAAAGAATTCCTGGCTTAAGACAACCTAATTGTCCAAATGAATTGATCACATTATCTTTTTTCTGATTATTTAACTTACTGGAAGTATCTAGTAAAACTTGTGACTGTAAGTTTGAGTTAATTTTTACATATTGAAAATTTTTTTCTAAGAAACTGAAAACAAAATTTCCCTAGGATTATGTTGGGAAATTTTGTTGTCATTTAGTGGATTGTCTTTGGAACTCAGATGCTACCTCATTGACATAGTAGCTCCTTCATTTTGTTGTTGTTTTTTTTTAATCAGGCATTGGTAGCTAGTCACTTTTGAAAGAATGATGACAGTGATGGCATGGTTAAAAAAAAAAGTTTCCCCAAAAGCCATAAAAAGAAAAAGAATTGTTACCTTAAAAAGTTACTCTTTAAAAACAAACCTACTTGTATAAATAAAATTGCACTTTACTAGAGAGATTCCATGAGTATTTAAAACATTGGTTACCCATTGCTTCGCTCCAGGGATAAAGGGTTTGCCACTCTAAACCTTAGTAAGACAATCCTGTGAGTCTTCCCAGAAATTTACACAGATAAGATTCAGAATTCTACATCGTCATGCTAAATCCAAATCAGACAACCAAGCGGTATAGGTAATTTCTATAAATATTTGACATTCTTTCCTTTTCAGGCTATTTACAAAGCTGATCTTGAGTGGCTAAGAGGCATTGGATGGGTGCCCATTGGGTCTGTAGAAGTCGAGAGGGTAAAGAGAGCTGGGGAAATCCTGAGTGAGAGGAGGTACCGTCAGCCTGCAGACGAGCTCAAATTCACATGTGTTACAGACACCCCAGAAATTGTCCTGGCAAAGAATAATGCCCTGACGATGAGCAAGGTGAGTGTCTGGCTATCACTAGTTGCCTGAATCACACCTTCCACAGATATGGAAATAAACAGGTCTGATTCTCATGCAGGCCTTCAGCACAGCAACTGCTTGAATTCTAGTTGTACCTGCATTGTGTCCCCTAATTCTCTGTGTGCATGTGAAGCATAGCCTGGGATAACTTCACTGGAGTAATGTACACTTCTGAGTAGTACCCTGGAGACATGCACAAGTGCATTACTTTTCTATTCATGTTCTCCTAGGCTGAGCAGACTTTAGCCTTTAGCATCCTTTGTTCATTTTATAAGGAATATACAGCCATTTACAATTTCATTGGAAGTCTGGGAACTACAGTGCTTCACAGCAATCCCAGCACACAGCTCAAATTAATTGCTTCACTTGCTTTTCTGCCTTAGTTTGTAGAAATCTGTTTTAGAAAATGAGCTGCAATTGCTACTTCCAACTTTATTACAAAAGATAGATGATCACCTCTGTCTTCCAGAATTCAAATTTGTTTATTAATACTGGGTTAATTCTTTATCCAGTGGGTAGGGCTTTATTATGCATATTTTAGATTGAGTTGAATTTATCTGAATTTTCTGACACCTGTATGGATATCATCCGAACATTTATGTACTAAGATTGAATGCCCAGTGAAGAATATCAAATTGGCTCTCAGAGAGCAATCTGTAGCATTGGGGTATCACAACTCCAGGAATGCTATTTAATACCACACCCATCAACAGTAACTACAGTGATAATAATAGTAGGAAACACTATAAAATATGTTGAATGCCAACTATGACTCAGGCATTTTATATGTTATGATTAATCTAAGAAAAAAAAAACCAAAAATTAACAAAAAAGATATGCTTACCCCTTCAACAAAATGAGGAAAGTGAGGTGTTATGTATCTTTGTTAAGGTCACACAGCTTAGACATAATGAAATTAGAGTAGGGGTTGGCTGTAATCGAGGGGTTCTGTATGAGAAAAATAATTGAGACCATTATCATACTGCTTCATATTAATTATGAAACTACTGTATAGTTGTTTAAATATTACCATGTTTCATTCTCCCACTACCTCTAGTTGCCTTAATACAGCTGTTTTATAAGTTAAATTTGATAATGTATTGACTTTAACAAAAGTTTTTACCATCCCTGTCTTCCCCCCACCTCCCATAGCATTTATATACAGAAGCTTGGGATGCTGACAAAACCTCTATCCATGTGATGCCAGACACCCCAGAAATCTTGCTGGCCAAGAGCAACTCTATCAATATCAGCCAAGTAAGAGATTTCTTGATTGTCATTTAAGCCTTTTTAGGAGTAATTAAAATTATTTTTCCGCTTGACCTACTTCTTTTCTGAACATATCTCTTAATTTTCTAAACACCTTTATTTTACTGTTGTCTTTTATCCTCTGCACAGAAACTTTACACTAAGGGATGGGATGAATCAAAGATGAAGGATTATGATCTCAGTGCTGAGGCTATTCCCATCAAAAGTGCCAAGGCATCCAGGGACATCGCCAGTGATGTAAGTGCTTCCCATCTAACCCTCTGTGCCTCACACTGCTGACCAGCCCATATTGCTGCTGGGTGGTAGGCCACACTTTGTAATCCTTGCCACACATATTCTCCTAGTCTTGCTTCCTACCTTCAATTAACTTTCTCTTTGTTGTCTCACAGAAGAAAAATCATTTTGGAATTGCAACTAATTAAAATTACCATAGGAAGTATTCCATCAATGAAGGTGCATGATTACACCACAGCTACTTTTTTTAATTTTGTAATGGTTGATTTAAAATTGTTCAGTGAGGGCCTCCCCGGTGGCGCAGCGGTTGAGCGCTGGGTTGCGAAGCTGCCCGCCAGCCTCTGCAGCACTGGTTCGATCCCCGGCTGCTCCCGGCCACCGTGTGAGGGTCCCACATGGCGCGCAGACCTCTCCTGCCGCCCGCTCCCCTCAGCAGTGTACCTCGGTACTTCTGCCTGCTCTGCTCCCCGCTCTGGCTCTGGTGAATTCTCTCACCCTCCTGCGCTTCTGACTGTACCCAGTGCTTATATAAATAAATAAAAATAAATCTTTAAAAAAAAAAAATAAAATAAAATTGTTCAGTGAGAAAAAAATAATAAAATTGTTCAGTGAGGCCAAAGTGTTTGCAATATGAAATTCTTGTATGTTTGCTTGAGTTTTCATGTTGTTTGTAATTGTCAGCATACATTAGCTTTTAAAACTGGGCTTCTAAACCTGTATTTCTGACATTTTAGTACAAATACAAGGAAGCATATGAGAAACAGAAGGGCCACCACATTGGAGCCCAGAGCATTGAAGATGACCCCAAGATTATGTGTGCCATACATGCAGGGAAGATTCAAAGTGAAAGAGAGTACAAGAAAGACTTCCAGAAGTGGAAGACCAAGTTCACCAGCCCAGTGGACATGTTAGGCATCTTGCTGGCCAAGAAATGTCAGACTCTAGTCAGTGATGTTGATTACCGAAATATCCTGCATTATTGGACATGCTTACCTGATCAAAACGACATTATTCAAGCAAGGAAGGCTTATGATCTTCAAAGTGATGTATGTAACATAAAATCTGGGAAAGGTGGAATGGGAGAAAATATATTTAATTGTCCAGTCAGTGTCTCTGTGGACAGATGCATGGGTTGCACACTGTGCAATTCCAGAGATTACCATTTTCATTATTGAATACAAATGTATATTTAAGAGTTACATAGTGGGAACACTATTTACATCATGTCCTTTATTCCCTGGTCTAGATTTCTTCATGCCATTTGTGATGACAATGAAAATATATTTCAAGCAAACATAAATTGTTTGAATATTTTAAAACTAATTGCCATGATTGCACTATGTCCAAAATACTGATTACGCTCTCCTTGGGTCAATTATCACTGGATGAAAATGAAATGAGTTCAACAAAATCACCTTTAAAAGTTTCTTCAGTTATATAATTTTTGGAAATATAAAATTATCATGAAATTTAGCATTTTTACCATTTTATTCCTATTCATGGATAATATAAATGATTATATCTTTGCAGATTACTCATTCATCAATATTAAAATCCCTGAGTGATGTTAAAATCTTTAAGCTCCTACTTTTTTAGAACCACCATTTTCTGAACTATATTTTTCAATTAAGGGGTGGCATGTCTAATATTTGGGAAACTTTTCTGTCTAACATCTTTACAGAGTGTGTACAAAGCAGACCTGGAGTGGCTGCGTGGCATTGGCTGGATGCCAGAAGGCTCAGTAGAAATGAACAGGGTGAAGAATGCTCAGGATCTACTGAATGAAAGACTCTATAGAACAAGACCAGAGGCCATGAAATTCACGAGCATTGTTGACACTCCAGAAGTTGTGCTAGCAAAAGCCAATTCTCTGCAAATAAGTGAGGTAAGAACCATTATATGAGCAGGTTTTCCCTTGTTTCCCAAGTTTTTAGATAATACCACTCAGGTTGAGCAAGAGGATGTTCCTCTTTAAAGACTGATTGTAATAGAAGCAACTCTAAGATCACTTGACTAGTTTGCTGAAGGAATATGCAAAGTAGAACTCTGATACTGTCAACATTTCCTCTACCATAAACACACACATTTTGAATAACTAAATTTAAAAACGTCACTCCACTTCAATTCAGGTTAAGTTCTGCTAAACACTAAAACCTGTGGCATAATGTTTCATAATAAATGGCATAATTTTGAATTAGTTTTGGTTCTCCAGAAACCAGCCACTAGGTTGTGTATGAGAAAGAGCTATATTTTTATGGAATTGGCTCACATGATTGTGGAAACAGGCAAGTTCAAATTCTGCAGGGTCGGGCAATGGGTTGGGGACGCAAAAATAGTTGTAGTTCAAGCCCAAAGGCAATCTGCTGGCAGAATTATTTCTTTTTTAGTGGACGTCTTTGTTCTTCTAAGACCTTTGATCAGTTGGATAATTTCCACCACATTAAGAAAAGTTCTCTGATTTACCCAAAGCTTACCTATATAAATGTTAATCTTATCTAAAAATTACCTTCAAGAAACGTCTAAAGTAATGTCAACCAAACATCTGTACACTGGATCTAGGCCAAATGATGCCGAAATTAACCACTGCAAATGTTTATGAAAATATTTTTCAAGTTAGATAGTTGCTAAGGCTTCGTGTTTCAGAAATACATTCTCTATCACTGTATTAAAAGAATACTTCTCTTCTCTCCTCAGAAACTATATCAAGAATCCTGGAATAAAGATAAAACCAACATCAGCATTCCTTCTGACACACCAGTCATGCTGCAAGCCCAAATCAATGCCTTGCAAATCAGCAATGTAAGAAGCATAGATATGAACTATAAATGCCCTTATGGGCCACTCTGTCAGCCTATGGAGTGTGTTGTAATGGTTCAACTACCTAGATGGGAAATGTTTACAACTTTTGGTGATAGACGTTTTCTTTTTTAGCTACCATTCTCAATGCAATATGAGTGGAAATTCTACCATTTAAAACATTAACTTAGATGCTTTGCTGGGTCCATGAACTGCAGAATTAGGAGATCTGAATACTGTTGTCTTCCTTTCAGCCTTGAAAACATTGTCCTATATCCAATGTCTACAGCTCAGTTTTATTGTCAATTAAAGGAGAATAATGAAATCCCTAATCAAGTGCCACTTACACAAGGAAGAATGAGAAGTAGCAATCTCTGGGTTTTTTTTTTTTTACAGGTTTTTATTGATCCATTGGATCATTCAAGTCAATTAGAAAAAACAAAAGATAATTTTTAATTATACCTAAAGAGCAGGATATGTATGGTATCCATATCACATTCCTTTATCAGAAACATCTGAAAAGTTAAAGGGTAATGTTAAGAAAAAAATCTTACCAGGTCTTATATGGTACCTTGATGAAAGTTCACTAGCTTCAATAGTAGAATTCTATTTCCCACGTAACTCGTACTGGAAGATTTTCAGATGTCTACTATATTGTGATTATTGCAAATATTCAAACATTAATATAGTTAGATGTGTAGCTTAAAATTTTTTATTAGAAGTAACCTGTATGCCACAAATAGCCATAAGACAAAAAAAAAATTCAAAAATGACTTTAAAAAATGTGTGTTACATTACATTATGTGTTTTGATTAATATTATGACTACTTTGAATATATTCACATATTTTCAGTTCTTGTAAGCAAACCTGTTTGTTCCCTCAACAGAATGTCTACCAGAAGGACTGGAATGAGGCCAAGCAGAAAGGCTATGACTTAAGAGCAGATGCCATTGAAATCACACATGCAAAAGCCTCCAGAGAAATTGCCAGTGAGGTACAACTCCTTTGATTCCTTGTGGGTTTTCCCCTCTATATAAAAAATAGGGAGGATATTTTCAAAGGATTTTGGTTTTTAAAAAAAAATTCATGCAAGCAGTTGCCTCTTGACTTTCAATTAACAAAATAAGACAAAAATATTGAGGTTGGCATAGTGAGGTTACATGTGTAAATAATTTCCAAGTTATTTCTAAGTAGAAGTAAAATAACATGAAGTACCTTGGGCCTCCCTGGTGGCTCAGTAGGTTGAGCACAGCACTGTGAAACTGTCTGCAGCCTCTGTAGCAGGGGTACGATTCCCAACCAGCCAGGGAGATTCCCACATGGCGTGGCAGACCTCTCCTGTCTCGACTGCTGCTCCCTCCGCAGTATTTTCGGTCATCTGCCTGTTCTGCTCCCCACTGTGTCTCTGAATTCTCTCAACCTACCATGCCTCTGGCCTGTACCCCGCTTTTTGTATAAATAAAAAATAAATATTTTTTTAAAAATCATAAAGTGTCTTGGGAAAAAATTGGGAACTAATACAATGTCTTTTTATTCCCCAAAATATTTAAGACATGCTCCATCAATCTAAACCATAGATGAAAGTTTCATTTAAGACTTATACTGAAATTACAATTTATATACAAGATGTTATACTGGAGCTTATACGTAATGATCTTAGTACCCTTTTGAAGTTCATTTAATATTAATTCTAAAACTTAGCAACAGCCAAAATAATTATTTTACCAGCTCCAAATCTCTAAGCCACCTTTATTCCTTTTCTCCTAGTGCCAGCTGCTTCTTATCTTATATATTTACCTGTTTCTTCTTTTTCCTTCCTCTTTTTTATCTCTAAATATCAAAGCCAATCCATAGTATTTACCTTGTTCCCAATTCTCTCTCCATTTTGGTCAAGCTTTCCTATTTTATCAAGTATAGGAAAGAAACAAATTGTTTTATTCTAATCCTAAGTCACTTAGGACAGTGTGGACAAGATGGAAACTCCTGTTCACAATATTTCTCTCCTCATTTACTCATGTTCTCTATGAAGCTACCTAAGATAGCCCTATCTTATTTCATTAAATTAAACTGTTATATATTGAATCCACTTATGTTGAGGCTAAGAAAATATTTTGAAAATATTTTTTAAAAAGTCCTAAAATATTATTTGCATATATATTTTTATCTGATTTTTCATGTCTTTAGTACAAATACAAAGAAGGTTACCGCAAACAACTGGGCCACCACGTGGGTTTCCGTAGCCTGCAAGATGACCCGAAATTGGTGTGGTCCATCCATGCTGCCAAGATCCAGAGTGACAGAGAATACAAGAAAGCCTATGAGAAGTCTAAAGGAATTTACAATACACCATTGGACATGATGTCAATCGTTCAAGCCAAGAAATGCCAGGTCCTGGTTAGCGATGTTGATTACCGAAATATTCTGCACCAGTGGATATGTCTGCCAGATCAGAATGATGTGATCCAGGCTAAGAAAGCCTACGAACTCCAGAGTGATGTGCGTATATTATCATTAGACTCTTGGGGAGGTGTCTGTGTGCTTAATCACAATATTTTCCCTCGGTATGAAATTTAAACTGCAATCTTCATAGAAAACTGACATATTCTGTGCAATTCATAGTAGTACAGTCTATCCAAACATTTTCTATCTTATGGAAGATTCCTGCTTATGTGGCAGTGCCTTATTCATCAAGATGGAGAACAGTCTCCTATGTAATAAGGTAGGAAATTTCAGTGTCAGTTATTCTGATCCATTACATTTGTGCAATAGGATATATAAATTTCAGACACACATATATACATAAGGAATTGTTGGACTTCAAAACTTGTCTGACGCATGTAGAAAAACATATACATAGAGAAAGTGGTGTATTTAGGTTTAGATATGTATCTTTTCTCATTATACATTCATCTAAGGAACTTTTTCACCAAAATTCTTGCAAATGTCATTCCCCATATTACAGAAAAGGCAGATTTCAAGTGGTGAGCATGGAAGCGCAACATGTATAAAAAATTATGTGTCATTGCTGTCTGTCATTTCACACGTGCCATTTGTGATTCTCCTTCCAATTCCTGTAGTACACTGTGACTACTCCCAGAGGTTTGAGAGAGCTGTCACACCTAAAAAGCAACATACAGTGCTGATCCTTGAGTTCTACAGACTTAACCAGCCATGTGATTTAAATAGAGGTAGTGGTGTGGTTTGCTGACATTGTGCTCTAGTGGACAAATTTGATTCTTCTATGTTACGTTCCTCTACTTCATTTAGAATGTGTACAAAGCAGACCTGGAATGGATGAAAGGTATCGGATGGTTGCCAGAAGGTTCTGTGGAATTGAAGAGAGTGAAGAATGCCCAAAATCTCATAAATGAAAGGTTGTATCGTATAAGGCCTGAGGCTCTCAAATTCACAAGCATTGTTGATACTCCTGAAGTCATCTTGGCAAAGACCAATGCTCTACAGATCAGTGAGGTAAGCCAGGTTTTTTTGTTATGTTGAGGCAAATCAAGGAAGTCCCACTAAGAATTCTAATTGTGAGCTTTTTAAATGCTAATACCAACATTAGAATCTTGAACATGTGGTATCTAAAGAGGATTTCATATAGTCGGTCAATTAACACTCCACATTTCATTAGCTTAGATAATTCATTGGTCTGTGTAAGTGTGGGGGGACATCTGGGTGTTCCACAGACTCTGCTACAGACTTGGCTACACTTTGATATTTTGTCTGTAATACAGGTCTAGCAGTTAGTACCAGGACCACAAAATCGCCACCTTTTTCTTGACATTCAATCATGAAATGAATAGAAAAGTCCAGGATCAGTCCTACTATAAGACAGCATGATAGTTATTTGAACCAATAAAGATAGAACTTGAGGGCCTCCCCGGTGGCGCAGCGGTTGAGCGCTGGGTTGCGAAGCTGCCCGCGGCCTCTGCGGCGCCGGTTCGATCCCCGGCTGCTCCCCGGCCACCAGAGGAGGGTCCCACATGGCGCGCAGACCTCTCCTGACGCCCGCTGCTCCCCTCAGCAGTGTACTTCGGTCCTTCTGCCTGCTCTGCTCTCCGCTCTGGCTCTGGTGAATTCTCTCACCCTCCCGCGCTTCTGACTGTACCCAGTGCATGTATAAACAAAAACAAAGAAAGAAAGAAAGAAAGAAAACATGCCTCTATATATAAAAAAAAATTAAAAAAAATAATAAAATAAAGATAGAACTTGATTAGCAATGTGGATTATTAGTTACCTGCAATGTGCCAGACAACTAGATGAGAATAAATGGAAAAGGATAATTTCACTATCGTGTTTCTGACTCATGTTTGCATGTCACCATATATACATGTTCTTGAAGTCAATATTGGCATCTTTTAAGTAAAAACACAAATAAAACAAAATGTGATGTACATTTATATATGAAAATATCCAAAGAGAACCTTTAATTGTACCTAGATTTTATTCATGTGGCAACTGAGTTATTTGCTAATTAGCCATCCCTTCATTTTCATTTTTACTAGCCGTTGTATCGCGATGCCTGGGAGAAAGAGAAGGCTAATGTGAATGTGCCTGCTGACACTCCAGTGATGCTGCAATCCAAACTCAATGCCTTGCAGATCAGCAATGTAAGACACTACACATGCTCTTGCTTTATGCAGTGTTCTTTGCTTAACAGAAACTTGTTGCTATGCTCCAAAAAAAAGTTAGCAAAGGCATTTTCCTACCACTCCTCTTATTTCTAGTCTTTCATTTAATGATAAATGACTGCGCGCACGCGCGTGTGTGTGTGTGTGTGTGTGTATGTTTATAAGTGACCGTGTGTGTGTTTGTGTGTTTATGTTTATAATAAAGAGAGAGATGTGTACTTACCTTTTTTGGAAGGAAAATTGCACTAGTTTCACCAAAAACACAACATAAAAATGTACAGATCCCTGTACAGTGATACTTACAGTTCCTTTTTTAGTAACTCATCATTAATTTTTCCTATTAAAAGCCAAATGATACTTTTTCTGATTTTTCACATGATTTATTGTCTTCTAAATTTCCTTCTTTAAACAAAAAGTTATTGAGCAGGAACCTCACTAAATGTCATTAAAAATCTACTATAACAAGTTCAATATGAAACCAGGGCATTTTATAAATCACAAGGGGATTGCTGTTAACTATAGCTGTTAACATCTGTCTTGAACACATCAGTAATGCTGACTCAGTAGCTCCTCCTTCAGACTGACTGTATCACTGCAATCTTCATTTGCAGAAACACTATCAGCAGGCTTGGGAAGATTTCAAGATGACAGGTTATGACCTGAGAGAAGATGCCATTGGGATCCAGCACGCCAAGGCTTCCAGGGATATTGCCAGTGATGTAAGAGTTTCCCCTTGCCCAGCCTTAATATTCACTAACAGGTAGACACACAGGAAACTAATTCTGTACTAACTTTAATGCAATTCCAAATCATGTGAAAAATTGTGTTATTGAATGGAGGTCATTGTCATTAGTATGTTGTTTTAAAATTATGAATTTAAAAGTAACATAATTTAAGGATCCTCTTGCATCACAGCATGGTTCTGCTTTCCTTATGTTTAAGCATAGTTCTTAATTTTCATTTCAATGTCTTCTCAGTATCAATTAATTTACAAGCTCATTCAGAGATTCAGTGGATACAGAAAATTCTATTATTTCTCGAAGTGCTGCATGCTTTTGTGTTTCCTGTGATAATTTTATGCTGTACTCAGACAAGCATTTAAAAATAATGATATATTTGTTTTAATGTGCGTTAGAAAAATGTAATGCACAATGTATGTGCTTCTTTTCCTATTTCAATAGGATTATACATTTTAAAATAAATTTTGCACTTTAAAAACAAATCTATTTAAACAAGGAATCAAGTTGACTTAAAATATGAACTACAGGTAGTACTTATTTGTAGCAAAATATGTGAGGGTGGCAAAAATGACTAAAGTTTTGGAGTCACTGGACTAGCCTATAATGGGGGAATAATACAAGAGCCCAGTTCTCACCTTAGAGGTGCTCACAATGTTTGTATGTATATAGATATAGAAAAAAATTCATATGTCAAGAATATGAATATAAAACATATATAAAACTTAAAGTATGAATTTAAAGAAAAATCAGTATCTAAAAAGATAATACAAGAGAAAGAGTTATTTTGAGCAGGCAGCCTAGAAAAGTGAATTTATAAAAACAGCTCTTCTTCTGTTCACATCCCTCCAGTATCTATACAAGACTGCTTATGAGAAGCAGAAAGGCCATTATATTGGATGTCGTAATGCCAAGGAAGACCCTAAACTTGCTTGGGCAGCAAATGTATTGAAGATGCAGAATGACAGGCTGTACAAAAAGGCCTACAATGATCACAAGGCTAAGGTTTCCATCCCGGTTGATATGGTGTCTATCAATGCTGCCAAAGAAGGCCAGGCGTTAGCGAGCAACGTGGACTACCGCCAATACTTACACCAGTGGTCTTGCTTTCCCGACCAAAATGATGTGATCCAAGCCAGGAAAGCCTATGATCTGCAAAGTGATGTAAGTGCGTGCTTATGTAGGAGCCTCAAAGAAGGGCTTGTTGGGGAGGAGAGTGATGGTGAACTAGTTCCCAGGAAAAAAGTCTTTTGCAACTTTGCCTGGTCACTCCTTCTAGTGCTTGGAAAAACACTTCCCTTTAGTATTTTAACAAGCTTATTAATTGTCCACCTTACTGCTGATTTATTCAGAAAGTTTTCATTTTTATTGTTAGTGGTACTACCAGAATTTTTCTATAGATTAGTTAACATATGCAGTGTTTGCAGTTTATTAAACATCAGAATATCCATGGTCCTTCAATGGAAGAATGACAGGGCTGTCTTCTTTGAAATTCATTTCCAAGGTTAGTAGCAGGCTCAAAACTCACTAGTTTTCATTAACTTGTATTCTTCACAACATTGTTCTTCCTTAACTTACCTAAAATATTTTTAGATTTACTTATATTTTCATTCCATCAACCCTTAAAAATGATAGATTCCACGAGGTTATTTATTTCTTGTATAGAATGGATAACTTCTTCTAGCTACTATCTGAACTTAGACACTTAAGCTTCAAGAGATGCTTTCTTACAATGAATGAGTTTGGTATAGATATGACATCACTTGAAATGAATTGCCAACTGATGGATGTAAGCCAGATTCTAGAGAAACGCAGTCTCTTCATTAACCTGAACCACATTAGTATATTGAGATGTGCATATTAATCAAATTCTTAAAAAATGGGGAATGAAATTTCAAAATATGTTTGTAATCCTCTTCGAGAACCCTTTCTTCTGACTTGTGGGTATCTGTCCACCAGACTTTAAACATTAGAACATACTATGTCAGTCTTCATTAAAGTAGAAATTTTCATACATTTTCCACTACCCTTACTACTTTTTTAGCCTGATATTTTATCCTATTAACTAGTTTTTAATATACCATTTCTGAAGAACATAATGAGTTTTAAAATAAAATTAATAACTGTCATTTAACATAGAACAATTTGCCTGCATGAGCTCTTGCCTATATCTGGGAAACAGTTTTAGATAACCAATTCAAAGAATGGCACTATTTTGAGAAAAGAAGATGCAATTGAAATAAAAATTGTGGAGCTAGGGATTGATTTCTTAATTGCCCCTTTAAAAATATTAAACATACCCTGTGGTAAGCACTAAATGTGAATTAAAAAAAAAAAAAAAGAAACAAGACAAAGTCCCTGACTTTAGGGCACTCATGATGATAGCAAAGAGATAGATATTAACAAATATCAGTTAAAAAAAGAGATTGCTCATAGTAGATCCTTTTTTTTTTTTAAGATTTATTTATCTATACAAGCACTGGGTACAGTCAGAAGGGCGGGAGTGTCAGAGAATTCACTAGAGCCAGAGTGGGGAACAGAACAGGCAGACTGATGAAATACACTGCTGAGGGGAGCAGCAGGTGTGGCAGGAGAGGTCTGTAGAGCCATGTGGGACCCTCGCCGGTGGCTGGGGATCGAACCGGCACTGCAGAGGCTGCAGACAGCTTCACAGCCCAGCACTTAACCACTGTGCCACCAGGGGAGGCCCACTCATTGTAGATCTTTAATAAAAAGAGGGAGCCTCCCTGGTGGCACAAGGTGTTAAGACTCAGCGCTGTGAAGCTATTTGCAGCCACTGCAGCACAAGTTGGATCCCCGACCAAGGATCTACTCACATGGCTCAGCAGACCTCTCTTGTCTTGCCCTCTGCTCTCCTCAGCAGTGTATTTCAGCTAGTCTGCCTGTTCTGTTCCCCACTCTGGTGAATCCTCTCACCACCACTACCCCCTCCCCGCACCTCTGGCCTGTACCCCAGTTCTTGTATGCATAAATAAATAATAAAAAACCTTTAAAAAAATAAAGTCCGCACTGGTTAGAATGATTATTACTTGGTATTCAAAAAAATCATCTGTGCTTCCTCCAAAGAGTGATCCCCTGCCTTGTTTTGCTTTTTAGAATATGCATAGATGCCCCAACACAGACCCACTGCCACAGAAAACAAACAGTATGAAACGTGTTATCAGCTCATGAAAAGCTGCTGCCTTATTTTACCATAATTTTCTAAAAACTGCTTCCTAACTATGTTTTCTTCTCTAGGCTATCTACAAGGCTGACTTGGAGTGGTTGCGTGGCATTGGCTGGATGCCTGCAGGGTCTCCCGAAGTACTGAGAGTCAAAAATGCCCAGGAGATCCTACGAGACAGCGTGTACCGGACACCTGTGGTGAACCTCAAGTACACGAGTATTGTTGACACACCTGAAGTTGTCCTTGCCAAATCCAATGCTGAAAATATTAGTATTGTAAGTTACTTTCCCCTTCTATTTTAAAATTGTTGTAAATATCCTATTTGTAGGATAACAATAATATTGATGGTAGCAAAGACTGTAATAAAGTTAGCTGAGTTATTTTATTATCACTTATTAATTTTAAACAAAACCTCAAAATATTAATAAAAAGTCTTAATAAAGGTTTCATATAAAATTTGAATAACTTATGTGAAAAGATTCTGTAATTTTTCAACTTAATATGAAAATTTTTTGTATCAGAAAAGTTCAAATTTGTGCACTGGAACTAACAAAATTAGAAATTGTGAGGTAATTTTGTTATTGGTTCTTTCCATAGCCAAGGTACCGAGAACTTTGGGACAAGGATAAAACTTCGGTCCACATAATGCCAGATACTCCAGAAATTAATCTCGCTAGAGCCAATGCTCTTAATATCAGCAATGTGAGTACCACAACAAACTCCCTTTCTATTTGGAAAGTCGCCCAGTTGGTTCTACATCACCAAAGCACTCTTCATTATCACAAGAGATTGGCGTGTGGGGTGAGGAAGGTGCCTTACCACCAGCTCTTCACCAGGAGTGAGACTGGAGCAAAACCCTGGCTCTGAGTCACTGAGCAGGACAAGTAACTGGTGAATATGCCAAAAGGGAGAAAAGAATAAGAACAAAAAATATGAAAGAGGAATAAAGAGGCACATAAATAAGAAAGGAGAATTAGCAATAGAACTCAAGAACTCAAAATAATTCTGAGAATTCTTTGCAAAAATACAAATTAATTTTAAAACCTAGTGAATTCTCTTGGAAATAATAAATTGCCAAAACTGATCCCAGGATAAGAATAAAAACATAGCAAGAAATAAATAGGATTATTGAAAATTCCCTCTTCCTCTCAAATGCTGGGATCACTCAGATGATTGTACAGAATTCCTTCTGAACTTCAAGAAATAAACAAACTACCATAGAGCTTGATGAGCGAAGGGAAGTCATCACAATTGCTAAAACTTATCACAGAGAGTTCCATAAATAAGAGCTGAATTCCAGTACAGTGGTGGACAGCAATTCTTCCACGTATTCTCTCTTTTAAAATTTATTTATTGTTTTTTATGTACTGCTGCTCCATCCACTTTTCTTTCATTAGTTCTTGAATCTCTTGTTACTGGTAAATTTGAATGTAGAATAATACCTTGTTTTTTCTCCTCTTCAGAAAATTTACCGTGAAGGTTGGGATGAAGTAAAAATGAGTTGTGATGTCCGTCTGGATGCCATCCCTATCCAGGCTGCCAAGGCCTCCCGGGAGATTGCCAGTGATGTAAGTGTGGCTTTGTTTAACCTCTTAGTTTTCAAAGCAAATACCCTAGATATATCAATAGTACCTACTGTGATTCATCTACTTTGTTTTCCCATCCCCAGTATAAATATAAGCTTGACCATGAGAAGCAGAAGGGACACTATGTGGGCACTCTCACAGCCCAGGGTGACAACAAGATCCGGTGGGCCCTCATAGCTGGCAAGATTCAGAATGAAAGAGAGTACAGGCTGCCATGGGCCAAATGGAAGACAAAGTTCCAAAGTCCTGTGGATATGCTCTCCATCTTGCATTCTAAAAAATGCCAGACTCTGGTCAGCGATATTGATTATCGCAATTACCTTCACCAATGGACGTGCATGCCTGACCAGAATGATGTGATTCAGGCCAGGAAAGCCTACGACCTGCAAAGTGATGTGAGTGGCTGCATTTTTGGATGAACTCTTCTATCATTTTGCCATGACTGCCAGGAAATTGTGTCATTATATCTTTGTATCATCACTTCATGTTTCATACCTCCAAGAACTTGGCTCTAGTTATATGGTATCAAAATCACCAAAGCCATAAAGGAATTAGACTTTGTATCAAGAAATAGATGGTAATGTGAATATAGTTCTTAGTCCCATCAGGTTAAAGATAATTGCAGTGAATATATTTCTATAGAATTTAAATAGTGGGGCCTCCCCGGTGGCGCAGCACGGTTGAGCACTGGGTTGTAAAGCTGCCCGCAGCCTCTGCAGCACCAGATTGATCCCCGCCACCAGAGGAGGGTCCCACATGGCGCGCAGACCTCTCCTGCCGCCCGCTGCTCCCCTCAGCAGTGTACTTCGGTCCTTCTGCCTGCTCTGCTCCCAGCTCTGGCTCTGGTGAATTCTCTCACCTTCCCGCGCTTCTGACTGTACCCAGTGCTTGTATAAATAAATAAATAAATAGCTAAATAGCTAAATAAATAAATCTTAAAAAAAAAGAATTTAAGTAATGATTAAGTTTTATATCATAGTATTTGCCATCTATGGACAGGCTATAGGCATTGATATGCTTTTTTAAATTGACACGGTTTTTAATTGTTTGAATTAAGTTGCTAAGGTTTTTAATCAGAAAATTTGTATATAAATCTAGGATATATATTTTTATCCCAAAAAATTGGAGGATATAGCTCTGAACATACTGGAAACAGTAACCTGGACCAGAATTGAGGTTAATTCCTTTTAAATAGAAAATATGTTACCAAGTTTGTCATATAATCTGGTTTCCTAATTAATTTATATTGTCTGCCTCGCTGCTTGAGCATGTCATCCTTGAATTGTATTTCTCCAACCAACCAGTGGATAAAATTAATAGTACCATGTGATAAGGATTGCTGGATTCATCCTCACCTTGTTTTCACAGGCTGTGTACAAGGCTGACTTGGAGTGGTTACGTGGAATTGGGTGGATGCCAAATGATTCCGTTTCTGTCAATCATGCCAAACATGCTGCGGATATCTTCAGTGAGGTATTCCATGATTTTATCCTCTATTCAGTACACTTTCTAAGAAACTGAACAAAAAATGCACAAACTTAAGCCAAAATGCAGCCCTTATCTATTAGCAACTATAACAGTTTCAGTTGCTATCATTTAAGTCAGACATACAGTTCCCCCAATTAATCCAGTGCTTCCCCTATTATGTTATGGGACCACATCCATAATAGAATATACAGGACACTCACTGATGCTCCAAATTGTAGAAATGGGAAACTTCTTTTGTAAATAACAACAATACATTTGGGATAAGTTTGTCCAGTTGAAAAAATGTATTGAGTATTGTGATCTACATAATGATTTACTACATCACTTTGGGTGCTAAGCAAACCTACTACTTTAATATCTTTGGAAAGCATGAGAAACCAACGCTTATATTTAAAAAATGTTACAAATATCAAATTGCCAAGAAGATGCCATTCAAACATGGAATTTACTCTTCTTCTAGTGAGAGATCCTTGAGAGTAGGCTTTCTGAACTCAAACAGCACCAAGGGCTATGACTATCTAAAATATATATTCTTTCCCATAGAAAAAATATCGCACAAAAATAGAAACTCTCAACTTTACTCCTGTGGATGACAGAGTTGATTATGTGACAGCAAAGCAAAGTGGTGAGATCCTAAATGATGTAAGTACATAGCTGTTGTTTTAAAACGCCCGTTCATGAAAATATCATTCCCCCTGTTTCCCCTGCTTACACTCAGCTTGCAAACAGTGATTCTAGCATATGCTTGGACTTTATGTTTTTTTTCACATCAAGTTCCTGGTCTTTTATTTTTAGATTAAATACAGGAAAAATTGGAATGACACCAAATCCAAGTACACCCTCACAGAAACCCCTCTGCTGCACACTGCCCAGGAGGCAGCCCGGATACTGGACCAGGTAGGATTTTACCCAGATGCTGGGTCTTTGCATGGGAATGGAGGACCATCATACAGCTGCAGGTGATGCATGCACATGGTCTAGCCCTCCATTCTTTACCCTAGATTTCACTCTTAATTGTGGTTCTCTATCTTTTAGTACCTCTACAAGGAAGGCTGGGAGAAACAAAAAGCCACAGGTTACATTTTGCCTCCAGATGCTATCCCGTTTGTTCATGCCCATCACTCTAGTGATGTTCAGAGCGAGGTAATTATCCTTATATGAGTGTGCTTTGCAAAGACTGGCCTTGTTCTTGAGGGAACCTGGTTATAGTAAGGGATAGGACTTTAGAGTGTTCCCGTCTGCCCCGTGGACCTGGTTGGGCTTGGAGATGGTTGATATTACTGCTCCCTCTGGTCCCTTTTCATGGGGTTAGGGTGTTTTGTTTATTTTTTCTTGATTTCTTTAAAAGTTGTTTTAGTTCTTTACTTTTTTCTTCTATTTTGTGGCTTCCTTAAAACCTCTAAGCCTTCAAATAAAATCATGCCAGAATTAGAAAAGAAATTTTGTTTATATATTAATATTTCTCCATCTATGCTCATTTAAGTGCTTTTTGTTATTTACTCTGGGTGGGAGGGGGTAACACAAAAATCTGGGCAACTGAATTTTCTGATATTCACAGCCCACTTTCCCTTATGTGTTTGTCAATGCTAATGGAATCTATATTCTTCCTCCCACCAGCTGAAATACAAAGCTGAACATGTAAAACAAAAAGGTCATTATGTTGGTGTTCCGACGATGAGAGATGATCCTAAACTGGTTTGGTTTGAGCACGCAGGCCAGATTCAGAATGACAGACTATACAAAGAGGACTATCATAAAACAAAGACCAAAATCAATATACCTGTTGATATGGTATCAGTCTTGGCCGCCAAACAGGGGCAGTCCCTTGTCAGTGATATTGATTACCGTAATTACCTTCACCAATGGATATGTCATCCTGACCAAAATGATGTTATTCAGGCAAGGAAGGCTTATGACCTACAGAGTGATGTAAGTGATTTTTATTTCTTAATTATCTAGAAATATACAGTATACTCTAAGAATTATAAACAGCTTTCTGGAATTATAAGCAGCTTTCTGGAAATACTAGTCTTTGAAACTTTGAACCATAAATATTTAGTTTGTTCCCTGAAGGGAATTAAAGTTAGATATGAAGTAGAGAAAACTTGGTAGCAGTGCTCGACTGATAGCTTTCCCTATTGACTGCCTTTCTGAATAACTGTTAATTTTTTTTAATCTGCAACTTTTGAGCCATCTCTAGCATTAGCAACTCCTTACTCATATTTGCATGGGAAATAAACCACTAATTTAAAGTAATTGACTTGGATGAGAACTGAGATTGAGCTGTGATTTTGACAGTTATTGAAGACAATATAGTCAAGGACCTAGGAGTGTGCCATTCTTGCTTTGTATATTATCTCATTCCCCAAAGTATATATGAAGGAGCAGCTTGTAAGGAATCAAAGCAAAAGAGGAACATACCTGAGGACCTAGAGCTTTGGTAAACAGGAGAGAGAATAATTGGCTATCTGGCACTGAAGCATGAATCAAGTTGTCTACCTGCTACTAGCAGTCCATAGGGAATAGAAACCCAATGTATCTATCAATATGTTGTACTCAGGTACAGAGATGCAAACCCTTCCAGAGTCTTTTCATCATAGGAACAGGAGTCAAAGACTGCCCTCAATACAGGTGCTGTTATTTGGACCTCTTGCCTCACCGGTTGCTACAGCAAAAGGACCCATTTTGAACTTGAATCAGATTAGCACCACTTCTCCATTTGGGTGGGGTGGATGCAGAGAACCCAGGACCTGAGTGCAGGTGTGGGGGGAGGGTAGAGATAGAGAGGGATAGAGAGAGGGAGGGAAGCCTTCTCCTACCTCATAATACATGATTATTTATTTGTGTAGTTTTCCTTATGTAGTCTAAAAGCCCTACATATTTCTATATAATTAAATATGCTAAATCCATCTAAAATTAAAACCTTCTTGGAAAAATATTTTCATACACTCATAGCTGAAAGTAACAGCTCCCTGCTCTCACAGCACTTACCACTTTCTGCTTTGTAAATGACTTGTCTCAACAATAGACTCCTTCTTTAAACTTGTACCTTAAAATACCTAGCACAGTGCCTCATTCATAGTAACAAGCTCAAGAAATGTATCTTAGATCAACAGATGAAATGATTAAATCAGTGCAATAATAGCTGCGAGAAAGAATCTTTTAAAAGTTTCTGAAAAAAACTGTTTCTACTCCACTGTGCCCTGAAATGCTGTATCTGAGTCAATTATATCAGCATCTTATTTCTCTGCCTGCTTTCAGAATATCTACAAAGCTGACCTGGAGTGGCTCCGAGGCATTGGCTGGATCCCCCTGGACTCTGTGGACTATGTGAGGGTCACTAAAAACCAGGAAATGGTGAATCAGGTATGCAAAGCCTGTTCTTACTTCATGCCTCAATGCCTTACTTGCCATGTAAGGGTAGGCAGCTTTGTTGGGGAGGGAGAGGCCTGTCTTAATCACCTCTATTTCTTTGCAGATAAAATATAAGAAAGATGCTCTTGACAACTATCCTAACTTCACAAGTGTGGTGGACCCTCCAGAAATTGTTTTAGCCAAGATTAATTCAGTCAATCAAAGTGATGTAAGTACGCTTTGAGTATAATGTGGCACATAGATTGGGGAGTTAGTTGTCTATCGTTGAATGGATTTGCTTAACTCCAGGTAATTGCTTATAAGAAAAAGGAGGGGGTATAAATAATAGGGTTACCTTAGAGGGATGTTTTAAAAGTCACTAGTAGGTTGTATAATTTTAGCAATTTTAAATAATATCTATATTTCATGTCCAAATTATTCTATTTCATTAGCTAAAATGGACTGAAATTCAACCAATTGTTAGTTTTGTTCTCTAAATGTAGACTGATTATTATCTTTCTAGGTAGATCTTATGAAAGTTTAAATATAGTCATTTTTACTATTTAAGGTAATAAATTACTAAATTAAAATATTTTAAAATAACAATTACTTTATAGTTATGAGAGATTTTGTTTTTTCTTCATAGGTAAAATATAAAGAAACATTTAATAAAGAAATAAAGGGCAAGTATATATTTTCTCCAGATACACCATATATCAACCACTCCAAAGACATGGGAAAACTCCATAGTACCGTAAGTTCTCTTTTATGTGTTAGGCACTGTTCCAAATTGAAATTCTTTTAATATTTATGTTCATGGCTGATTTTGTGATCAACTGAACTTTTAAGGAGATCTGTTATTTTTGTTGCATTTTAATTCAGGTTAAAAGTATAAAGGATGCTGCATATGTATGTGTAGTGTGTACGCATGTATACCAATAGAAAGCAGTCCTTGGTGATTCCCTTTATGCAAATTTGTTTTCACTTTTATCACAGCCACAAATATATTTAAATTCTATGTAGATTTATAGATTGCCTCAGAATCTATAGATTTAATTTGTAACAAGTCAAATGACTATCCTGTTCTTTGGTAGACATACGCACAGATCTAAATAAAGATTAAATCTGAGTTTAAACAAATTTTTGCCTTGATTTTACCTTTTTCTTTTTGGTGCTATCTCAAAGATGTTGAATGCAAACATTTGTTACACATATTTCTTTGTTCTAGATACTGTATAAAGGAACATGGGAGGGAACCAAGGCCTATGGTTATACCTTGGATGAACGCTATATCCCCATCGTTGGTGCCAAGCATGCTGACTATGTGAACAGTGAGGTCAGTAGGACTTTTCATTGCAGAAGTTTCAGAGTCTTTATTAGGGAGCAAGGATTAAGTTAGAAAACCTCAGTGATTCTCAATGTTGTCTCTGCTTCACAGCTTAAATACAAAGAGACGTATGAGAAGCAGAAGGGACACTACCTGGCTGGAAAGGAAATCAGTGAATTCCCTGGTGTGGTTCACTCTTTGGATTTCCAAAAGATGAGGAGTGCGGTAAGCCTATGTTCACTTAAGGACTCTGTATTCGGAAAAAAGAGAAAACACAAAGGTCACTATTTACCTGTGTTATAAAAGAATGGGAGATTTTAAAATAAGAAGGAATATATCCAAGTATTATTTTTAAACCTAAATTTATTCTAAAGGTTCTGACTTTTATTATATTGGAAACTGGACTCTAAAAGAGATTGATCTGAAAAATTTACATTTTACTTCTTTTCCTATTTCTGTCTTTAAAAATACTATTTAGTTGAACTACAGAAGAGATTATGAGGACACCAAAGCAAATGTACATATCCCCAATGATATGATGAACCATGTGTTGGCTAAAAGGTGCCAGTATATCCTCAGTGACCTGGAATACCGAAACTACTTCCATCAGTGGACATCTCTTCCAGAAGAGCCCAACATTATAAGGGCCCGAAATGCACAGGAGATCTTGAGTGATGTAAGATGTCCTTTCTGCAGTTTGCTTGGTTACTGGCTTCACCCAGCCCTGCTCAGTCCTCCACACTCCAGTTTCCCCTGTATCTATAAACCCTGCTGCTCCTCAACACAAAATAGCTAAGTAACCACTCCATGATTTGTAAGAATCCTCTCCAAGTATGGAACACCTATGTCAAATATTTAATCTTTTTGCCATTAGACGAAAACTTATCTACTAGTCTCCTTGAGAGGAGGTGTTTGACATTGTGGGTGGTACATGATGTCAATAGCCGATGATGTTGGCCTTGATCACTTGTTCTTTAGGACAGGGCATTAAAGACCTTCCAGCTGTTGAGATGCCCACCCTACGACCACTAAGCACGGCCACAAACAGTTAGGAAGTCATCCAAATGTTCCACTGTAAATTCAATTAGTACTTGTTGCCTTTCACGGTTCTTTCTTGCAGAATGTGTATAAAGATGACTTGAATTGGCTGAAAGGCATTGGATGCTATGTTTGGGACACACCCCAGATCCTCCTTGCCAAGAAATCATATGACCTACAGAGTCAGGTAACTCAATGTTTCCGAAGGACTAACTCACTCTGGGTTAGTAGAACCCTTGGTGTTCTCGGGGTGGGGGGTGAGAGCCAGGCTGTATCTGTGCTCTGTTTTCCTATAGAGAGCCATAGGCCCCCTGCCCAATAAAATCTTTTCTGATGATCTTCTGTGATACTGGGTCTTCTTAGTTTGAGTCTCTCCTGTGGTTTAAGGCATTAAATGTTTATAACAGAAAATTATCTGGAAACATGAAAGTGTTCATAATGAACTATTTTCAAACATCTATGCCTTAGCTGACTCAGGCTAACTAGTGAAAAGTAGAATGCAAATGCATATTTTGACCATAGATAGGCTTAAAGTAAAAAAAAACAAGTATTTGGAAAATTCTGCAGCAGAAACTCAGCTCTGATAGGACAAACTAATAGAATATTGCACTGCTAGGAATTTGAAAAACAGATTTGAAAAACACAATAAAATGAAGATCCAGACCCAGTAAAGATCCAGACCCAGTAAAGATCTTGGTTAAGAGAAATTATTAGTTTTAATAATCATGTGGTCTGCAGGATTATAGCCTTTTTGTTAGAATTAAATCACAAACCCAGAAATAAAGGCATGTCTTAGTTGGCACAAACTGCTAAAGCTGATCCAGACCTATATTTTACCATTTACATGACATTTTTTCCTCACAGATACAATATACAGCAGAAGGTAAAGAAAATCTACAAAATTATAATATGGTGACAGATACACCGGTTTATGTGACTGCTCTTCAAAGTGGCATTAATGCCAGTGAGGTATGTCTTCCCTAGACTTGTCTTCTAAGACAAAGCTTTATTATCTTTATACAATTTTAAACAATAGAAAGGAATAACCCATTTTTTGGTCTTAGGTGAAATATAAAGAAAATTACCATAAGATCAAGGACAAATATACAACAGTCCTAGAAACAGTGGATCATGACAGAATCAAGAATCTGAAGGATCTATATAGCAGTGTGAGTTGAAATTTTTTCTTAAGTTTGAACTACCTTTTTCCCCTTTGGGGACCATAAAAGAATAAAAGGAATAGACACTCTACCCAAAAAGGTGTTTCTGTATTTTTCCTGAAAGGAAATTTGAAACTTCCTGAAAATGTCTCATTCAAATTATGTATCTCATCTGTCCTCTTAATTACAATTAAATAAACTCCAATTTGGATGTTGCACTCTTTCACCCAGTTGATGTAAATTCAGCAACCCTACTTTCTTGCAGGCAAATATCATTAAAGCACTTTTGCTGATTAAACTTCTCTGGCTTTTCCAATGGCCAGGGGTTTTCAGATTAACAAAGGCACTTCCCCCCAACTCTGAACTGTTAATTCAAAACACATTTTTAAAACTTCATTTTGAATTAATTTTAGAGTTACAGAAAGTTTGCAAAAATACTGAGGAATTCCCACATACATTTTAGTACAATTGTCAAAACTAAGAAATCAGTATTGTTATAACGCCAATTTTGGATTTTATCTTGTTCTCTCCAGTTTTTTCACTAATGTACTTTCCTATTCCAGTTGTCAAGCCAGGATTCCACATTGCATTTAGTTGACATGACTCTTTGGTCAATAACAATGAGATTGTTTCTCAATTTTACCTTGCCTTTTTCTGATCTTGATATTTTTGAAAAATACTCACTGGTTATTGTGTAGAATGTTCCTCAGTTTGTTTGTATATATTTTCTAATGATTAGACTAAGGGTGTACATTTTTGGCAAGGGTAATGCAGGTGATATGCCCTTCTCAGTGACAGGTGGTATGTGATGTCACTAACATGATGTGGACCTAGATAACTTGGCTAAATTGCCCTCTTCAAAGCTACTCCACTGTACTTACAATTTCCCTCCTTTCTGTTAGCAAATATCTTGCAGGAGACCCTTTGGATCTATGCAAATACCCTGATTTTCCTTAAACTTTCAGACATTTTAACATCCATTGAGGGGTCTTCCCTGCCACATTTATGCTGTAGAATATACCTACTAATGATTTTCTGTTTCCCCCATTCCCATACATTTATTGTTTGGAATCCTGTAAGGAACAATTGTTCCATCCCTACCTTTGGTTTCTTTATATCAGTATGAGCGCATATTTATCTTTATTTTAAGGGATATAGTCTAATACTATTATTATTTATTTTATTGCTCAAATTTTTCAGCTTTGTTCATTGGGAGCTCTTACAGGTGACTCATTTGACATGCCCTGTTGCTTTGTCTTCTGAGCACTTCTTTAATTCCCAGAAAAATGCACTTGTGAGTTAATACACATCAATGCATAAATCAGTAATTTATTGTGTTTGTTGCAGGATGGTATTCCACTCTGAGGATGTACCACAGTTTATCCATTCATGAAAGACATCTGAGTTGTTTCCAGGTTTTGACCATTATGAATAAAATTGCTGTGTACATCTTCATAGAGGTTTTTGTGTATCCATAAATAAATACCAGTAGGTAAATAAATACCTAGGAGTGGCAACACTTTTTGAGCTCCTACAAGCTACAAAAAAATAATGAATAGATTTTTTTAAATGTTCCTGATTTTTATCCTCTGGGAATTCTTAGAATTATAGGCATGAATACGGCACCAAAAATTCTGATAACTGTCAAGCTATGATAAGTACTATATACTGAACAAAATAATGGACTAGAAAATTGTGGTTATGGAATAAGACCAGTTCATTCTTTTAGGGTTCTAACTACAGAGTTAGAAGATCTGGAGGTTATTAAGGAGTGTCTAAAGACAGAAATGGAGGAATAATGCAGTACTTGGAAGCCAAACCAAAATGATTTTTTTCCTGTGTTCACAAAAAGATTTTTTAACACTTACAGAACCTGTACAAGGATGCCTGGGAGAAAGTGAAAGCCACCAGTTACATCATCCCTACCAACAGTGTGTCACTGACACATGCTAAGAACCAGAAACATCTGGCCAGCAATGTAAGTCAAGTACAAATGTGACAGCCCTCCACCCTCTACCATTTCTGCTGTCTGCTTCCAGAATTTTTCTGGCTGTTTCATATATTTCCAAGAAGTACCCCCAGCACTCTCACAGGGGCATAGTAATTACATAGCAAGTAATTCTAGATGCTTATCATCACCAGCCAGTGGACTTAGTTCTTCCTTTCAAGGGTCCAGGGAGAATCACAAATACTTGCAGAGACACAGATGTGACCTTTTAAGTTACCTACCTACAGATGGTGTGGATAAATATGCAGTTGACCCTTGAATAATGTGGAGGCTATGTGTACTTACTCCCACAAAATAGAAGATCCACCTGTAACTTATAGTCAGCCCTTACTATCGGAGGATTTACATCCTTGGATTCAACCAATTAGCTTTTGCAGTTGTTTCAGTCCTTGAATTATATATTTTAGATCAGTATTTCTTAACCCAATTTTGACTGTGATCCACACAGTCACAGTCAAGTAAAAAAAAAAAAATATTCTTTATTGCAAATCAACACACATTCACACAAACTTCGATAAACATACACATAAAATCATTGAAGTATATGTGAGTTCTAACATAAATGTTTTACAGAAGAGTACTTCTTGCTACACAAAGGACAATTCCCTCTAATTATTTAAAACCTATTTTAAAACCTATTTTTTTATTTATTTGAAATCATAGTGACCCAGTATAAATTGATTTTGCTACCCTCTAATGGGTCCACAGATGTGTAGTTTAAAAAACTATGTTGTTAGACCATATATGAAATTAAATTTTTACCTGGAGGAAAAATTAATATATATATTTTGCCCAGACCCAATTGTATTTGGAATCTACAAATAGATAAACCAAAGTAGCAAAAATTTTATTGGGAAGAGGAATTTTGTAGATAAGATTTAGGAAGCTCAGCAAAATTTTTTTTCCTTTAGTTATGGCAAAAATTGAAGAGGCAAATTCTTAGTGAATTGTTCTTGGACTAAAATGACAATTAGAGAAGTTAATCCTTCAAAGGAGGATTCCAATAGTGTTGTTTATAAAAAAAAGAAGGTACCTTTGAACACTACCTATTTTATATCTGAGGGATAGGATAGATGCAAACACATTATCTAATGTTCTGGAAAATTCTGATGGAAATTTTGGTTTATTTCTCATTAGGGAAGGGATTTGCAGAAACTCTGACATAAATATTTTCCTCCCCACTTTTTTTTTTTATAAAGATGTGCACCTATGAGTGTCGATTAAATTGCTCTTCTATCATGTGCTAAGTGATTGGATCTTAGTCTCTGTGAAGGGCTGAACTCTATTCATGAAATCATGGAGCCTTAATTAGTAGGCAATATGGCTTAAGAACTAAACGTTTTCCTATCAAAGTTGGTTGCATTGTATTTTTTGAAAACCTTGTTGAAACTATGATACAAGGATTGTGTCTCTTAAGTACCAGATTGTCAGTTTTTAAAAACAAAGACATTCCTGAGCACGTTTTTAATTTTTTTCATTTATGGCTAAGAAAAACAATGCTATTAACACACAATGAAACTATTTTAATATTGCATAAGCTATAACATGGGTTCACTGAGTAGCAATAGAAGTACAAGCATAGGTATAGGAGCTTTTAAAACAGTAAAATTTTATATCTTTCTGTCATTAAAAAAGTACTTTCAGATAAAATGTGATTAAACTTCAGGATCACCATGAGGTAGGCACAAGAGCTGTATCTCTACCTGTACAGATGAGGAGATAAGATCAGGAAGTGACCCTGAGTTGTTTGGATTGCAGAGTTGAGTCCTTCCCATTAAATCTCATACTGTTTTAACACAATAAATCCATTGCTCTTCAAAACTGTGCTTCTTCCTTTGTACATTCTCTCTGTAGATCAAATATCGGGAGGAATATGAAAAGTTCAAAGCTCTTTATACTTTACCAAAAAGTGTTGAAGATGATCCAAATACAGCCCGGTGCCTCAGAGTTGGCAAATTAAACATTGATGTAAGTAATCCCAAAGACCTTACTTCACATTAAAGTCAAGTAAAATAGCTATGTATTACAAATCGGAGCATTTCTATGAAGCAATGCATATGGCCCAGATTTGGCATATGTGAAAAATCTTAAGTTTTATTTCTACCCCATTCTGCTTCCCCATTCCAGCAGTCCACCCCTGCCCCCAATGCCACCACCAAATCTATAGAAACGATCAGAAAAGTACAGTCCCTACACTGTCCCCAGATGATTGCTGACTTCACTGGGGGGTAAGAGAGGCATGTGTGACCATGATGCCCCACAGTTTCCTGTATAACTGGCATGTTGCTTTAACATCACAGCGTCTGTACAGATCAGTTTATGAAAACAACAAGATGAAAATCCACATCGTGCCTGACATGGTAGAAATGGTTACTGCTAAGGATTCTCAGAAGAAAGTCAGTGAGGTTGATTACCGCCTGCATCTCCATGAGTGGATTTGCCACCCTGACTTGAAAATCAATGATCATGTGAGGAGAGTCACAGATCAGATCAGTGATGTAAGTCCATTGTTTCTAGGGGTACCCCTCCTTGTCTATATGCTCTCTCTGAAGAGAAGCAGACTCACCTATTTCTTCACCTCAGCCTTTTTCCAGGGCTGCTTTCCTGTTTACCCATGGATCTGATTGGATATCAGAGCACCCTGGAAGCAGGGTGCTGTGTGCCTGTGTTTCCATGGCACTCTTGGCTTCATTACATAATGTCTTTGCCTCTGATTCCACGAAGTCTTCTTGGGTTCAGCAGTCATCTTGGGTTAAACAAAGTGGCTTTGTTATTAAAGTTAGGCTTCAACTTTATTTTTCTGATCATCGCCATCTATTGCAATCCTCTAGATTGTGTACAAGGATGACCTCAACTGGCTGAAAGGCATTGGTTGCTATGTCTGGGACACTCCTGAAATTCTCCATGCCAAACATGCTTATGATCTTCGCAATGATGTGAGTCTGCCTTATTTTGGTTTTGTTTAGTATATTTCCTTTTCTGTATAGTCTAGAGTCAAGGGGATTTTATGAAGTATGGACTTTGTCATAGTCTCTGTCTTAAGTGGTGTTGAGGATGGCGAACCTGGAGAAAGATGGTAAGGAACAGAGAGAAGTCATTTCTCAGGAATGCATTTGGCATTGCTATTAAATAGTGCAGTCAGACTGTATTTTATCCTCTGATATAAAGGAAATGCTGGCTTTTCTTTCCACCTATTGGGCTACTTTGGATATATTAGCACTATTCTCGTTCTGGGAAAATCTTGTTTGTTTGTGGCTCATACATTATCTATTTGTAAACAGTATTTGCTAGGCAAATTAATACTGTCATCAAGATTTCAGTGAGAATGTAAGAGCAGTTGTCAAATCTCCTAGGAGACTCTAGAAGCTCTATTTGACCATAAGCATTTATGCTGATTGTCATAAAATTCAAATATATCCTGGTTTGTTGAATAAGTGGTAGTGAATATAAATGCCAATGTAATGAGTTAAAAAGCAACCGAACCCTTTTTGAAAAACAGCAATTTCCAATATGGTGAGCGGTTTAGCCGAACTTCATTTTATTCCTTTCTGCAGATTAAGTACAAAGCTCATGTACAGAAAACAAGGAATGACTACAAGCTAGTCACTGATACACCCGTCTATGTGCAGGCTGTCCAAAGTGGGAAACAAATAAGTGATGTAAGTACAATTGGGGAAGTTATTATGGGCAGTGAAAAAGACAGAGCCATCTCTTAGAAAATAGTGACAAAAGCCAAAGACTGTGCCTGGCCTTTTCTAACTGGGAAACCAGAGTTGGTGCCTTAGACAGTACTTAAGATTCTGCTTTTATTTCCTAAAACCTGATGCGTTCATCAAGATGTTTCCTGGGGCAGAGTTGTAAGCAATCTAAGTCTATGAAATACTTGGTGTTTTAGAGCTTCCAGAGTTGTTTTTTGTATCTTGTGTCCAGAACAATAGTTTGTGTCTCACTCTCTAGGCTTTCTAATAAATTAGAGCTACTACAGTGGACTGAGAAGGAAGTAGGCTCTGAAGTTAGAGATGTAGATGGAGTACAGCCTCTACCACCAATAATCTGTGAGGTCTGGGGAGAACATTTAAACTTCAGTGTCCTTATATGGACAACAGGAGTGTGTGTGGAAAGCACACACCACAATGACAGACAAAAGTGGGCAGAACAGACAAAAACCTCCTCATTTTTTTTTGACCCCACAGGTTAATAAGTATATATTCAATCCCAGCAGTGAGTTAGAACATCATGACATTATTTTTGGACTCTTAGTGCTGAGCTCTTCTTGTGTCTGAGCTGCCTCCTCCACTTATTTTTCAATGTGATGTGCTCTGATCCTACTTGACAAGGCACAATAGTATTGGGTTTTCGGAAAAGTCATGATGCATTTTTTCCTAAGTTTTTCAAGAAGAAATGCATCATGACTTTCAGACAACCCAATATATCAGAGAGAGTTCTCAAGGCAGGGAGAGCAGGCTACTTTTTTTTTTAAAGGGACTTGGATTTCCATTTACTTGACTTCTTGCTAGCAATGCTATTGCAGTTTCATCAACTCACCCCACATCTCTGCTCCCCAGGCTGTCTACCACTATGACTATGTGCACAGCATCAGAGGCAAAGTGGCTCCAACTACAAAAACAGTGGATCTAGACCGGGCCATTCATGCATACAAGCTGCAGAGTGAGGTAAATTGTGAGGACTGGGCAGAAATTTAGGACGCAGCCTACGAGGGCCTGGCCATCGTGTCTGTAGAAGCATCCTCAGCGTGGCCATCCTCTGAGCCCAACACTGCAAATTGAAAATGATCTTCTGTGGGGCCTCCCTGGTGGCGCAGCTGTTGAGCACTGGGTTGTGAAGCTGCCCTCAGCCTCTGCAGCGCCGGTTCGATCCCCGGCTGCTCCCCAGCCACCTGAGGAGGGTCCCACATGGCGCGCAGACCTCTTCTGCCGCCCGCTGCTCCCCTCAGCAGTGTACTTCGGTCCTTCTGCCTGCTCTGCTCCCAGCTCTGGCTCTGGTGAATTCTCTCACCCTCCCGTGCTTCTGACTGTACCCAGTGCATGTATAAACAAAACAAACAAACAAATAAATAAATAAAACATGCCCGTATAAAAAAAATTTAAAAAAAAAAAAAAAAAAAGAAAATGATCTTCTGTTCACATGAGTTGAAAAAATAAAACAAAATCCAGCATTGTTTGTCTTCCCTCTCAGCTGGCAGCATCCTATCATCAGCAGTTAAGTTAGTCCCTGGGCATTTTTGGAGCAAAGTTTGCAAATTGCGAAGAAGAGAGCCAGTCTATCTCTGCTCTCTCTCAAAAAACTTAAAATCAAAATAACAAAACAAGACATACAATACATACAATAATAAAAGATTATTAGCAATAGATGATAAAGCTATAAATTTCTACTGGAATTCAGAAAAAAAAAGAAACAGAATTCCACTCATGCATTTAGTGGCCTGGCAATATTATTACCTGGGGGTGCTACTTTGGTCTCAATCTCTAATGCTACTCTTCTGTATTGAATGTTTAAAGCAATTTTGTTTTAATATTTTAAATGTTATTTTTGCTCCTAGAGTGCCCCTGAAAGACAGACAGATTATGGTCATAGACAGAGACTCCTTTCCCCCTTCTGCAGAGGATATGAGTACCCTGATCTGTTAATGGGTAGGAGGGGATTCCAAAGATGTGCTTTGTAATTACAATAACCTCAGGCATGGATGATAGCTTGAATATCACCTAAGAGTGGGGTGAAAAACCAAGGTGGCAGTTGTTTGCCCATTTTCTCTTCCTTTTTCAATTCTTGTAGATGCCATGCATATAGAAATTTTTTTTTCCTACTCTAAAATTGCTCTCCAAAACAATGGGTTGAGAGTGCTCTGACTCATTGTCTGACTACTAGAATTTAATTTCTTCTGAAATCAATTCAGTGAGCAGAAGTACATTAAATATTTAATCAATAACATAATTTGAGCTTCATGTGACGTGTCAAAAACTCAGGTCATTTATGTAGGTGTCATTGAATCTGCTCCTCCTCATTCCTGCAGAATCTGTACCGAAGATCTGGCCTGCGCTACCTGCCCACAGGATATAGGCTTCCAGTTGACACACCTCACTTCAAACATATCAAAGATACCCAATACATGAGCAGTTATGTAAGTAGTGTCTTCCATGTTAAGATGGGGTCTGATGTGGAAATGGGGATCCTAATATTCATGAATAGCTTATTTTCACCACCACTCCCCAATCACATCCTGAAGTTTCAACAAGATATAATAATGGGAGCAATGGTGAGGAGACAGTGGATGTTCTAGGGGTGCTGTACATTTGGTGTCATCCTGCCCACAGTGCAGAAGCCTCCTGAGCCATCCCAAGTCGCACGCTGGAAATGCATGTCTTTCTGATATGTGGCAATAGCACTATCTTCCTTCTGCAATTTCCTTTCTTCATTGCAGAAGATTTAACATCAGTGTATGGTCCTTTGAAAAGAAAAGATTTCTCTCCTAGCTGTTGCTCTGATACTTACCTCATTACTTACCCTGTATGTGCGCCCTTGTCATGTAAATGTCAGATAACTTGCCAAGGTTTTAGCACTGATCCTAACCTCCCCACTTTTCAAGGTTAGGAGTCAATTTCATTTACCCCCATGCGCAAGAGAAATTTTGGCTAACCCAGTAACCCTAACCTACAGGCCATACCACATACTAACCATCAGCTGAAGAATAAGCTCTTCCTTCCATAATGTTCTACAGAGTCCTGGTACCCAAACTTGCTTGTCAGGCAAAACCCAATAGCCAGTGTCCCCATAATATGGTTTCCAAAGCAGAGTCACATTTTTGATAATCTAATTTATTTGAAAACTCAATTCCTAAAGTCATTCATCAGTCTTTAAAATATTCTCATTTCTTTCCTAATCTCCTGGCGATATTGTAGTTAAAGAGGTTTTTCTTGCATTTTGCATACTTGCCTATTGACAGAGTCATCAAGGTGACATTCAGTTTTTTCCCTCTCTGTACCTGACTTCGTTTGCTAACAAAAAAATTTTCAAGACTTGGATGACTATCAAAATTTTGTCAATGACTACTTTGTGTTTAATATTTAAGAGTACTTTTCAGATGAAAGTGATGGTTCTTTTCTGTTTGAGAATTATGATGCTGCTCTTTGTTTATGTGTTATTGATCTCACTCTGACTTTGCTTTTGCAGTTCAAGTACAAAGAAGTTTATGAACACATCAAGGCAAACGGGTACACACTTGGACCCAATGACGTTCCATTTGTCAATGTCCGGAGAGTCAATAATGTCACCAGTGAGGTACTGTGCATTCTAATTTTGTGAGGGAATTATTGAGCTTCAAAGACCATGGCTTTGTTTGAAGTGCATTAAGAATTTATTTTAATTTAACTGTAAATTTGCACATCAGCAAGGATTAAAAGGGTCCTTTTTGTCACCATTTTTATGCTGATATACTTTGGCAAAGTTTTTCTACACCTGGTAATGCCATTGAAAACTCAGTTCCAATATAATGCAAATTAATTCCTTCTTTTGATATTTGCTTTCAAAAATCTTTATTAACATTACATTTTAGCCTGACTCTTGACCCTGCTTTTCTACATTATTTATATACCTAATCCTACTGCTCAGCTATCTAATAGAAAGTGAAAGACTTTGTGCTCAAAATTCTTCAGCTAAAAAAAAAATCTTTTTCTCCTTTTTCCCAATCTTAATTGCTTTCTGTATCTTTAATCTCTCTTCTTATGGCTCTTTATGTCAAGTATTTATAGCCAATTAGTCAATAGATGTCCTGTCAATGCTGCACTAAACACCTGGAATGGCTTTTCCTTCAATTTAGAGATTGTATCGAGAGTTATACCACAAACTGAAAGACAAGATTCACACAACTCCAGACACACCTGAAATCCGCCAAGTCAAGAAGACACAAGAGGCTGTCAGTGAGGTGGGTATTTTTTAGGAGAAAAGACAGGCCATGGAACCCAGAGATAAATTCAATCATTTTGTCTCTAATAATATGTGTTTCTGGACTTTTCTTAGTTGATCTACAAATCAGACTTCTTCAAGATGCAGGGCCACATGATCTCACTACCATATACACCGCAAGTGATCCATTGTCGCTACGTGGGAGACATCACCAGTGATGTAAGCATACATGGGGTCTTTCTGAAAGACTCTTACCAAGAGGCAGGCTTCCAATAGGAAGCATTTAAGTCAGCTGGTAGTCTGCAAATAGCCTTTTCTTTTGAGTACTTCTAAACAATTTGGAAGTAAAATAGTGTGGCAGTAGAACCCCACATTTCTCCAGCTATGGAAATGCTAAAAGGACCACTAGGAAATACAAGAAGTGCTGAGCATACCATCATTTCACATTCAACACTGAATCATTATCAGCTCCTCCCTCTTAGTGACTTTGTTCCAGGTCACATTTAGTGTTTTCCCTGATCATCCCTAATCCCTCGCCATTTAACAACATCCTGTTGTCATTTGTTTTTCTCTTTGGATGTTTCCTTCTTCTAAAAGACGACTACCTTCAATCTATGCTAGTAGAGTATACTACTACACTAACAATATAGTAGTCTTCACATCTCAGCTCAGGTTTAGAGATTTAAATTTAAAAAAACCCATTATTTATTTATGTGCAAGTAAAGTAAAAGTAAAAGGTAGACATTTTGAACCAAAATGAAGGCTGCATCAATAAAGAAGCTTGACTGAACTGTCTTTTTGTTCCTGATTTACATTTTCCCATGTCCATCAATATTTCTGGTTCTGCCACACAGATTAAATACAAAGAGGATTTGCAGATCCTGAAAGGACTGGGCTGCTTCCTGTATGATACTCCAGACATGGTCCGTTCCCGGCACCTGCGAAAGCTCTGGGTGAGAGCACATCTTCATAACAGTCACTACTCTACACACCTTCCACACACCCTAGCACAACCTCAAGGAGCTGGGCAGTAGGAATCTTTGCCTGCAGCTACTTTTAAGGGGTATTTATCCTTAACCTACTTGATAAGTCATGACCCATTTAAGCTGATCTGTACCTTCTATGAAAGAGGGTGAGCTGAATTAAATGACAATTGTTTTTGTTCCTGCCTGGGATGATATCCAGAATACACAGGGGACTTGCTCCATTCACACATGCTAGCTATTTGAATGACAAATGTATGACCATGACATGCAATTGCTGAAGTGATTAATCTACTTGCATTTTAATTGTCGTTTCTTTAAGTCTAATTACCTGTATACTGATAAAGCAAGGAAGATGCGTGACAAGTACCAAGTGGTCCTTGATACTCCAGAATATAGAAAAGTGCAGGAACTAAAGACACATCTAAGTGAGGTAAGGATACTTAACCTGTCACTAAAGGGACTTGAGGCTGTTTGTGGATGAAATAAAAGAACTGTGAAAATAGGAGAATTGAAGGTATGAAGGAGAAGGACAAAGTCACTGGAACAGGATCCAGAGTGGCAGGGGCAATGGAAACGAGCACCCAGTAGGAAGCTTGAATCTTACCTTTTATTTTGGTATAAGGGGGGAAAAGAAAAGGAGGGCTAAAGAGGTAAATAAATCATTGGTTTATTGGATTGAAACTGAGATTGTTCCAGAGGGAGGGTTCCTGATTTTTCTATGAAATAAACAATAAAGACATCAGGGCAGAGAACAAAACATGTCAATAAAGCAACGTGATAACAATGACTGCTTTCTGTCCAGCTGGTGTACAGAGCAGCAGGCAAGAAGCAGAAGTCCGTCTTCACTTCAGTTCCTGATACTCCTGATCTTCTAAGAGCCAAGCGAGGGCAGAAGCTTCAGAGTCAGGTAGATCCATAAATGAAGATTGGTAAACCTGTCAGGCTGGCATCACAGGGGCAGTTGTGTGTGTCTGATCACCTAGTTGTCCTTTATACAACCTCGTGCCCATTTACTTCAAGAAGCAGGTTTTTGGGGACCCCTAATAACTATGGTCATGTTTTAGAGGAACAGGTAATGTCATGCCTTCTTTTCTAAGTACTATACAACTTTTTTCATTGACGTGTAGTCTGTGGAGTCCAGGTAGTAAAAATAATCACTTGATTCATTCCATGGGACCTATTTTCCACAAATAAATGAAACCATATTTCATGCATTCAGGCAAAAATTGGGAGAAAAACATGCTGAGGGCTCTATCAGAATTCCCTCATTCTTCTATCAGTGTTCTTTCTCCATGGATTTAGATTGAACCACATTCATCAGTAAGAATATTAAATAACTGGAGTGCATATATGTTTTCAAAGATGAGCCACAGGGAGAAACAAATGATAAGAAACACGTGTGACAAAAAACCCCAGAATAAATGGGCACCACCCTCCTATTTAAGGGTTAGAAATGAATGAAGATTAAACACCAGAATATAATGCATTGCCTCTGTAACATCTGATCCCTATTCTCCAATTATTTAGTATCTGTATGTTGAACTTGCCACCAAAGAGAGACCCCATCATCATGCTGGAAACCAGACCACAGCTTTGCAGCACGCTAAAGATGTGAAGGACATGGTCAGCGAGGTAAACTGGGGATTCAGCACCAAAGCACTAGGTTAAAAAAAAATTCCTTCTTTCAAATCTCTACCTGCTGCATCTGATCAGGGATGCAGGGCTACATATTGTGCCCAGCAGCAGCAAAACAGAGCAGGCTTACTGAGCATGATACATTGTGTCCTTTGGCTGGGTCTATGGTTGTGAATTGAGAAGGATGGTTGTGAATTGAGAAGGATGATTTAAGTGTGATGATTTAAGTCTCTCCCTTCTTTCTTATTTCTTAGAAAAAGTACAAGATTCAGTATGAAAAGATGAAAGACAAGTACACTCCGGTTCCAGATACACCAATCCTCATCAGAGCCAAGAAAGCTTACTGGAATGCTAGTGATGTATGCATCCCTTCCTTCTTTCTTCTGTTGTGATAGAGAAAGCTGTAATTGAAATACCTAAGAAGCAGAAGGTGTTGCAGACATTATAATGATATTCATAGTTTAAAGTCCTGGGCTACAACAAAAGCAAAAAAATTAAAAAAACACTGTGGGGGGATTAGGGAGGGGTGGGGAGAGAAAGAACTAGAGTCAAAATAAGGGGGGTGCAATTGTATGGGGACTATAACCAAAATGAAAATGCATACATTGTACAAAGATGAAAAATGATGTAAGAATTATATAAAATAAAATGTTTAAAAACAAAACAAACCTACAAACCGTATGAGTTAGGCAAAATATCTAAAAATAATGCTGAGAGATGCTGAAAGCCTATTGTTTTTGTCATTGCTCTTCTGGGCAAAAATATGAGGCTTTCTTGTAATTCATTAATATCTTTCCCTGCATATTTGATATCTAATTGTTACTTATCCATAAAATCATGGTCTTGGAGTCAGTCAAACATGGTTTCAAACCCTTATGTTGTGACTTGCCTCCTATATATATATAACCATATATAATTTCCCTGAGACTGTTCTCTTACATATGGGGTAGAGATAAGAATTTTGATCATTATGTTAGACTAAACAAGGTCATGTACATAACATTCCTAGCATGGTGTGCCGGGGTCCTAATTGATACTCAGGAAATGTTTGTTTGCTTTCTTTTCTCAATCATCTAAATCATGAAAATGACGCATTTGTTAAACTGGGATGGACAGACTTTCATTTTCTATACCCCATAATCAAAGATAAGACTGCTTTTAATTGTAATGAGTTTATCTGTTAATGAAGACGTGGCATTAATCAATCCAGGGTTGATGGCCAGTCCTTCGTCTCCAAGCCCAACTGTGAATGCATCATACCCATTACCAGAACCAGAATTTTTGGAAGAATTGTTGGAACTTAAAGCTAGACCAAAACTCAAGCACCTTGTAACCCTTCAACATAGCAACACAGCCCTAGGATATCAAGGCATCTTAAAAGGCATCATACTGATCTTTAAACAGACGAATTGAAGGGATACAGCAAATTGGCACAATATCTCAGTTCTATAATTTCATCCAAAATTTTTGTTTGGAGCTGAGGTGAAAGGTGGAAAGAGGAAAGGCAATGTGCTTAAATAGAAGCTAAGAAAATGATACACAGCCTGCAAAATCTTATCTCCTATGTTATGTTTAGACTTTTTATTATATCCCATGTTTATTGCTTAAAGACTGCTGCTGAGTATTGCTGGAAGTCAACCTCCTTTGTATCATCACTGTTTGGTGTAGCCACTCAATGAAATTGGTCCCCAGGCTCATTGTGCCCCACTGGATAGTCCTATTCCTAGAGTTTCATCAATACTGATAACTCTAAACTTTGAAACAGTTCAGTGTGATATTCCATTGTTTATATATACCATATCTTGATCCACTCTTCTGTTTCAGGGCACTTAGGTTGTTTCCATAATTTACTGATGGATCAAAAAAGATAAACTCATGCCATTGGCAGCAACAGGGATGGAGCTGGAAGGGATAATGCTAAGTGAAATAAGTCGAAATGAGAAAGATAAATATTGGATGCTGTCACTAATTTGTGGAAAATAGAGAAACCGAATGAAGGGCCAAGTAAAGACAAGAATAAAAACTAACCCTTGAAAGTTGATTACAGAAGTGAAACATCCAGAGCTAGGAGAGGGAGGGAGGGGTAAGAACAAAGAGGGAAAAGCACAATGGACTATGGTGGTGGACTATGGGTGGTTGGTAGTGGGTGTACTGTCCAGCAATATCTGATAGAGGGATCCAAATACTACATCAGTTAAAAATAAATAAATAGAATTTAAAAATAAAATACAGCAGTAGTAGCTGGCAAGGGTAGTATCTGGCATTAAGTTTAGCTTATCTACCTTGGCTATCCCCACAAATAGAGCTAAATGCTTTTAGGAGATTAACCATCTGAAAAACAAACTTCAAGTCAAAGAAAAGTCATCTTTCGTTGTGTATTTGCTCAGCGGCTCAAAAAGAAATATTTGTCAGCTATTCAGAGAAGTACCCATCT